TAGGTTACTTCCTATTCTTTCAAGGCACATCCGAGACACACCTGAGACACATCCGAGACACACCTGCTTTTTGTTTTAGAGGATTACTTTCGTTTAATATTTCCCTCTTTTCACTATCCCCTCTCTAACAAAGATGCAATTCATTCATTATTTTGTTGGTCTCTGCGCCATTCACATGGCACTTGCAGCTCCAATTGTTGTCACAAGGGTCCATACAGCTGATGCCGTCACTGTCACTGAGACATATGATACGACTACAAATACTCATACTGCGCCAACAGTTGAGATTCTTGTTAGTGATGGCGTCTCTTACACGTTCACTCTCGATACACCAGAGAAAACTTTCTCTACAGCACAAACTGCCACCACAACAAACACAGTCACCACTTTGACACCATCCACTACATCTACTAATGCCTTCACTGTTGGAACAGTAAGTAGTACCACTGCGGTTACTACTAGTGAGACTGATAATGGTGCAACTGCCGGTGATAACGCTCAAACTACGACTCAAGATACTACCACAGCACCACAGACCACTGCTACTACTAGTGAGACTGATAATGGTGCAGCTGCCGGTGATAACGCTCAAACTACGACTCAAGACACCACCACAGCACCACAGACCACTGCTGCTACTACTACTACCCAGCCAGCGACTGAGACTCAAGAGACGACTGCTCACTTGCCGGAAGATGCAACTATTTCAAGTGTCGTTAAGCCAGTTGATCCAACTAATGCAGAAACTACTCCAACCACCACAGCCACTCCAACCACCACAGAGACCTCTCATTACATCAGTATACCAACAGTCGTTGCTTCGATAGCTACTCCAACTGCTGGGACCACAACAACCTCATCAACAGCGGAGGCAACTTCTACTGCAACTTCTGGAAAGCTCCCGTTGCCAAGCGCCATTGTCTATTCCCCTTACAACAATGACAACAGTTGTAAAGATTACGCAACTGTTCTCACAGATTTGACTATGATCGCAGGAACTGGTATTAAGAGCATCCGTGTTTATGGTACTGATTGCGGATCTATCCAAACCATCGAAAACGCAGCCGTCAATGTTGGTTTGAAGATTAACCAAGGTTTCTGGATCACATCTGACGGTGTTGATTCGATTGATGATGGTGTTACTGAGCTCATTGAATGGGCTACCTCAAACTCATGGGACGTTTTCGACTACATCACTGTTGGTAACGAGGCTATTCTATCTGGATATGCTACAGTTGACGAGTTGATTAGTAAAATTGCAGAAGTTAGAGCGAAATTGGAAGCTGCGGGTTACACTGGTGAAATCACTACATCTGAGCCACCTGTAACTTTCCAAAACAACCCATCCTTGTGTAATGATGCCTCAATCGACTTTGTTGGTGTTAATCCACATCCATATTTCGACACTTATTCAAGTGCATCCACTGCTGGTACCTTCGTCAAGGGACAGGTTGAGATCGTTGCTGGATACTGTTCAAAGCCAATTGTTGTCACTGAGACTGGCTATCCATCTGCTGGTGATGTGAATGGTGGCAATGTTCCAAGTCCAGCAAATCAAAAGCTTGCACTTCAAGAGATTTTGAGTGAAATGGACAACGCTGTAACAATCCTGACGACGTTCAATGACTACTGGAAAGATCCAGGTCAGTACGGTATCGAACAATCATTCGGGTCTATCCAGTACTGGCAATGAAACCCTCGAGTATGACTTTATTATTGTTTTGTTTTGATTACTTTTTTTTGGAGTTAGATATTTTCAACCCTTTATAGTTATTTCTTTGTATATTAATGAATAGGACATTTTTTCATAGTAAACAAAAAAATGGTAGAGAGCTGACGTTGATTTACTCTATGTGATATTGAACTATTCAAAGTCATACCAGGCGTTGTAGAAATAAACCACAGAGAATATGTAGAATGCAAACGCACCACTCAGAGTTACAGTTCTCATACTCAATCTCGAGGCCAAAAAGTGACCACCAAGCACAGCAATGGAGGAGCAGATAGCATGGCCAACAGTACCACCGAGAATAACGAGTCCATAGTCAGAACCTGCAGCCATTGCAATGGTCGAGACTTGAGAACGATCACCCCATTCAGCGAGGAAGACCATGACGAAGGTTTGGACCCATAATGGGGAAAAGATGGACGAAGAAAAGACCTTAAAAGAGTGTGCAAATGATGACATACGAACTTGGACCCACCCTAAATTTGTCTTTGGAGCTGGTTGAGTGACAGGCCCGTTCTCCAACTCGCTCATCTTACGATTCAAGTCAATGACGGAGAGTTCTTCCTTGACCTCTGCAAGTTCCTCCTCAACCCCCAAATTCTTCGACATTGCCAATCCATCCTTTGTTAGAGTGTAACCAAAGACCAGAAACAAGAACGAGGCCACGAATTGAGTGACTCTTTTTGAAAGTATTGTTGGTAGAGTATGTCCCAAGATTCCAGAAAGAACAGTCATAACAGCCAGCGAAGCGATAGAAGCCGTGAAGATCACCACTCTTGAATGACGCATCGCCATCAAAGCAGAGATCAGAAAGGTCTTATCACCAATTTCAGACACCAAGATCATGGAGATGGAGAGAATGAATGGGTTGACAGACTCGTTAGGGTCAGTTTTCAGCTTTGGTGAGATGTTAAACCTATCCAATGGAGCCACAGAGGATGAAGCCAACGACATCACAGTTGGCGAAGAAGAGCCCATTTTGGTGGTGGAGCCTTGGACAAGGTCTCTCTTACCAATGGACAAAGCATGCGGTTTGTCACTAACAGCGGAGCCTGAAAAGAATGCTAGAGCATTGACGACACCGAGAAAGAAAATAATATAGGTAAACCTCATGGCGAAGTTGATTTATTTCTTATGGTGGAAGAAGTGAAAGAAGTGAAGAAGGAAGGGAGTACGTGCTGGCAAAATTTTTCCCATTTTCTGTCGAAGAAGTTAGGAAAAAACTCACAGAAGGGAGTGTATAGATGATAGCTTAGCCGTAGATTCATCCTCCTACTTCTTCAGATCTGCTTTATGTCTCGTAGAAACGTCCAAGACGCGCGTGTCGGTGGCCCCTATGTGAGGTTTTTTATGCACAGTACCTTTTGATCCTGCGCTGACCAAAGCACATCAAACTATTCAAGAGGGTCATTGAAAGCCACAGTTATCTTCGCATCCATGCCAGATTGGAACCTGGACGAGCTCATTAGGAATTGAAGCAACCGAAAGCTTACATTTTGACGATTTTCTACTAGTGAAACTATCTATAAGCTGTCGTGATTGGGGCCTTTCCACAGCACTGCGTTGTTCCTGCACTTCATGCATGGCTGCTTTCAATTTCTTGGACCGTTCGGGAAAACCGTCGAGAAGTTGAGCCTTTACTACGGTTCTGGACTTGGTATTGATCGCTGGAGAGTGTGCTCCGCCATCAATTGGGGGCATTACACACAATGGTGGGTTTAAAAATAGCTCCATCTGCCTCTGCAGGTCCCCATTGCTTGTTGTAACCATACAATGTACAAGGAGGACAGCTGTGTAGGAGGAAGTAGTGTAGTGTTCACTGGACTGCCTGGCACTTGCTGCTGCAAGCTCTTGTGCTGTGGAATGATTGAAGTGGAGGGCTGGGAAGTGAGTGGTACGCTGTTACGATTGCCTCTCTTCCTCTGAACAGATCTTCAACTGGGCTTCAACTACTCAGGGGTAACGGAGAAGATCTATAAATAATCCAGCACACATAAGATGACTAACTACACAGAATTCCCAAAACAAAGTTAGACTTCGTGGCCAAGTTGGTTAAGGCGCACGACTGTTAATCGTGAGATCGTCAGTTCAATCCTGACCGAGGTCGTTTTTTTTTGAAACGATTTTCAATGGCACTGAGGCTCGTGCTGCCCTTACCGGAAAGCTGCTCATCGAGCAAAGCTTTCGAAGAGTTTTGAGCTACTGATCAATCACCACAGTTGTTTTCTATATATATAGCTGGAACAATAGAGACGACTATGAGCACAGCGGACGAGACAGAAGAGCAACTTATCGCGAGACACAAGAAGGAGCAGAAGAACCTCATTGCTACCGTCACAGGGCTGAAGAAGCAGGCCACCAAGTCCAAGCGTAAAGAGGTGAACAAGAAGTGCCTAGAGATGGAGCTCGACTTGAAAGAAAGACATGAGAAGGAGCTGAAGGTGAGTATGGTGGAACAGCGTACTGGGGTCTCATATACTGACAGTATCCATCCTGTAACCATAGGAACTAAGAATTAGAAACGGTGAAGAAGAAGCCGAAGAGGAGATCACGCCAGAGATGCTCTTAGCACAGGTTGAGATCGATGCAAAGGAGAGCGAGCCTAAAGCGGAGAAGAAACCGGAGACTGCTGAAGTACAACCGAAGCCGAAGCGTAATAGACAGAGGGAGAGATTACAGAGACGCCAGGCCGAGATTGAACAGAAGAGAGCAGAGGCAGAGGCAGAGGCTGCAGAGCAGCCTAATCTGAAAGAGATTGAACAAGAACATTTGGACACATTGTGTGCGATGAACAACCTAGTACAATTTGATATAAAGCCAGATGGTAACTGTCTGTTTGCCTCGATCGCAGATCAGTTGGAACAACGTCAAGGTATCAAGATTTCCGTACAGGAGTTGAGAACCAAGGCTGTTAACCATATCAGAGCAGATCCAAATACGTTTACACCGTATCTGTTTGATGAGGAGACCATGTCTTTGAAGGACATTAACGAATATACCGAAACCATTGAGAAGACATCCGCATGGGGGTCTGATTTGGAAATCTTAGCACTTGCAAAGGAATTCGATTGTCCAATCAGTATCATGATGAGTGGGAGTTCGACTATGAAGATAAACGAAGACGGTAATGGTGAAGAGTTAAAGTTGGTCTACTACAAGCATAGTTATTCGCTTGGTGAGCATTATAACTCGCTTCGTGATGCCAATTAGAATGTGGGTATTGATAACGAAATCACTAGCTTCCGATTGTGTTACCTGTTTGTACGTTAATTCCATCCATTCTCTTTTGTATGAGTTTCGCCCTAGTTCGTACATTTTCAACTTTCAAAAAGGCACCAAACAGCCTTAGAAGCTCATCATCATCAAACTGTACCATCTGAGTGAGCATGTCCTCCTCAAGGAGATCAGAATCAACAAGCCGCGAGAGGTCTCTGTATAAAGTCCTCAAATCCTGGACTCTCTTATCCTTAAAGTACTGGTCTCTCCAATCAATCTCTGATGGAACATTGGTCTTCGATCTCTTCAAAACTACCTGATGGCCAGCATCAGCAGCGTCAGGGAGAGGTCTTTTCACTCGAATGCCTTCTCCTTGGAACGTTTGATCGAGGCCTTGAGGATCAATGAGGCCCTGCACACTTGATCTAGTATCAACACCAAGCGGTTCCAGCCCCCTCCAAGGCCTTGTCGGATCGAGAACGATATCCCTAAGCCACATGTATCGAAGGTCGACGTTCCCTCTGAGGCTCTTCAGACACCGAGAGCGGAACTTAATCCTATAGCACTTGGTCTTGCACAGCAATGGCATGTACTCGTCCCAGCTCTTCTCCACGATCGCGACACATTCAGGCTTAATGCTGTAGTAGTTATCAGGATCCAACCACTCCTGCAACGCCAAGTACTTAAACATGGGCAGCCACGCCAGCAAGATCTCCTTCCTCTTCCCCAGGTTCTCCTCCGTGAAGGCATCCGGACACTGCTCACTCATCTTGTTCAAGATCGTTGCGAGCTCTTCTCGCACGTTCCTGGTCAATACGCTCGTTTGGTGTCCAGCGCATGCTGGTGCAACAGGGACGCAAACGTTGCACTCGCAGTATCTGTCCATATCCCGTTCTTCAAGCTCGAGGCACACATTTCCCTCCTAGCTCGCTGTTCTTCTTGGTGAACCTCCAAAGGGAATAAACAGCTAGAGAGAAGGAGACATATCACAACACGGGAAAATGCCCCAGCTTGTGAGAGATAAACAACGGAGGTGTCTGGGTTAACCCGCACACAAGTGCACACCACTTTTTTAGGTTCGCTTCCTCGCGCTCGTAACCACAGTAACGACGTAGACCGAAAAATGGTCTCGAGAGAGCCCGAGAAAGCTCATCGAGACATAAATGAAGCAGCCGAAGGAAGACGAAGAAGAGGACAACTGACCAGCCAGCAATGTTTAAGAGACTGTTCTGCACCACACGGGCCAGCCTTGCTAAGAGGGTGCCCAAGTCAAAGGGTAAATCAGCACCTACCAGCAACGCAAATGCCCTGTTAGGACGCCAATCTTCCAAATTGAGTGTTGGTATAGTGGGGCTTGCCAACGTGGGTAAATCCACTTTCTTCCAGGCCATAACCAAGAGTGCCATTGGTAACCCGAATAACTACCCCTTTGCCACGGTTGATCCTGAGGAGGCGATGTACACTGTGCCATCTCCAAAGCTGGAAGAGTTACGTGAGATATTTGGTTCCGAGAGGACCTTGCCGAGCTATCTCAAGATTGTGGATATTGCCGGTTTAGTGAGAAATGCTTCTAAAGGTGAGGGTTTAGGAAACCAGTTCCTGAACGACATTAGAAACGTTGATGGGATATTCCACGTTGTACGCGGGTTCGATAACGATGAGATCACACATGTGGAGTTGACGGTGGATCCAGTACGTGACTTGGAAATCGTGACCGATGAATTGCTGTTGAAAGATCTGGATACAGCTGAAAGCGCCTTAGAGAGGAATAAGAAGAGCATGAAGAGTATGAAGGCAGGGGACAGAAAGGAGCTTGAGAAGGAGAATGCCATTCTGGAAAAATTGACCAATATGATGATGGAAAATGGTCGTCTCTTGAACAATGAAAAATGGACTGAGGATGAGGTTGACGTTGTTAACAAACACAAGTTTCTCACTGCAAAACCAACAGTGTACCTGTTGAACGTTTCGCAAGAGGATTACCTCTCCGGAGAGAACAACTACATTGAAGATGTGAAATCCTGGTTGAAGAGTAACTCTCCAAAGGAGAAGCTTATCATGTTCTCTGCAGATTATGAACACTCACAGCTCGAAAAGAAAGACCGTAGTGAGGTTATCAACGAAATGGTTGTACAGATGAAGGATCAACTCAACTTGATAAGTTTCTATACATGTGGTAAGATAGAAGCTCGTGAATGGAACGTCAAGAGAGGATCCACTGCACCGGAAGGAGCTGGCATGATCCATACAGACTTACAAAAGGGATTTCTCAACGCCAACGTTTTGAAATACGACAAATTGATAGAACAAAAGGATCAGGTCATCAATGGAGAAGTGGAAAAGTCCATCAAATACGACAAAGTCGGCAAGGCATACGAGATCGAAGACGGTGACATCATTGTGATTAACGCAATTGGAGGCAAGACCAGATGAGAGTAAGACTACTCCATGGCTACACTTCTGTTGGCTTGTACATATATTCTCAGCTTATTTGAATAGGAAGATTTTATACATATCCCTTTACATAGGTGTTAGTACTCTCTAAGGCGTGAAGCATGATTCTCCGCTGCTTTTCTGGAATCAATTGGGAACATTGATGGTAAAATATCAGAGCGTTTGACAATATTTCTTCTCACGAACAGAAAAGTCGAAGAGCTGGGTTTATATTATAAAAAGTCACTAGGACTCGGTCTCATCATTTAGACATGAATGTAGCTCCTTCAATTGAAACAGGTCCAAGTTTCGAATCATAATCATTTGAAGATACTCACTCTGTTTTTCTCCCCATGGATTTAGAACCAGAGTGAAGTGTAAAGTAAAGAGAAAGAATGGAAAAAGTGAAATTTTTTCTCAATGTTGATGAGAATAACTTTCGTTGAAAGTTTTTTAGGGCTTGAGATTATATCTTTGTTCAATTAGGCATGACGATCCGTAACTTCTACGAATTTCGTACAAGGTTGTATAGTGTAGTGGTTATCACTTTCGGTTTTGATCCGAACAACCCCGGTTCGAATCCGGGTACGACCTTTTTTTTTATCAAAAATGTATCAGCTCCATATGAAGGTCACATCAATTCATGCTGAAGCGGACTGGCCAACTGTTTCGTACTCTTTGGGAGTACACTGACCAATCATTGGACAGTTGGTGCAACTCTGTGGTGTTTTTATTACATGAACTCACCTCTGCGCGGATATGCGTAACGAAGTGTTAAGGCTCTTAACCGTGATGCGTTGCGTATTATATGGCTCAATTATATTTCAGTGCCGTCTAGTTGGACGAATAGAAGTTATGGTATATGTTCCACTTATCTTACAATGGTATCTAGAAGATGATAGCAGCTAGACCGACCTTGTATGGAAACAAAGAATCATAATACTAGGAGCTATATTGATTTTATATGAAAGAAATTGTCTATCAACATGCAGCAGTCCTCTTTTACACTGCAGCGTGATACCTCATTACACCTGTTTTAGGAAATAAAATTCGCTCCTTTTTATGATTGGCTGGCTTCATCCCAGATTCAGTGGCTCGGTCACCATGTTAGGTGGCACGCTGGAAAGCCAATTGAAGATCCTTTGACGAAAATTACCAGTGAATACCCCTTCAAACATTTGAATTAACACCCTGCATCATACTACGTGCTGTTTTTTTTTAACTCCAGTTGGATTCCAGGATCACGAGTATTGTTGATCGAAATATTCAAGGGCCTAGGAAAGTTCTCAAAGGATCTCTTCATCAAGTCCAGTGAAACGTGTGTACTAGCGAGCAAAAAACAGTTGATTGTACAGAGATAATGAATACTTTTTGGATCTACTGTAGTCGAAAAAAATGAAGTATTTCTTTTTGACTTACTTAATTTGAATAGGCATGTTGGTGAGAACACGGTAGTGGTCTTTGAGTTTGATCAGTCGCAGCACTAATAGGATCATACACAATGCATAGCCTACTGCTTATTATTACGATGTTATTTCCCGTTCGAGGACGCAGTTCTGATTATAATTGAACATCGAAGCACGGCAAAAATAAGCTATATGCTACTACTCTATAAAGACGTAGGCATGCTTTTACATATAATTGCCCAAATAATAGCTCATTAGACGTCAAATTTCCCTAATTAATGGTCAATTATTTGATATACACCCGAATAATGTTTGAACAAATGAAAGCTTATATGCGCAGAACGGCATCAACTGTTCAGTGCGTGCATATCAGGCAGATTGTTTTGAACAGGAACATACATTCACAGAGGTTTACAAGATTTATGTGAGGTTCTCTTTGAACCTCCTTTGTCTGTTTTTATGCAATGGACAATTGAATAGATTATTATCACATTCCGTATGATGAACAAGGTTAGTAGTGTCGATGTACTGGTGTTGTCATAGGTGCTAAACACAAGGTTCTTGGTGTAACAAGGCCTTACTTATATTGATGGGGGTTTCGAGTAATTACTTCTCCTTTTCATTGAGTGTTTTCATGCCAACTATATGCTCCTTTAAGCTAGGCATCAACTCTTAAACTTCGCGTATAAGAAAGTCTCTAAGACCTCATTCTCTTTAAGCTTATTGAGCATTCACAGCTGTGGCCAAAATCTTTCTGCTGATGTTGAGAGTGCTTTTATGTATGTCAGGTTAAATAGAGTATACGGAAACTCAGCTAGTGGTTGTACTCTTCCTAATTCTGGGTGCAAGTTGATCTAAAAGATCGCATATCTGAACATATTGCTGTTGTGAATAATGGCCTCGCCATCTCCTCTCTTCAAAAGCAAGTATAAATACCCATGGCGATCGACTAGTTCTCGTAGGCTAATTAGTTCAACAGAAGCTCCCTAGGCCAAGAAACTAAGATGCACTTGTTCAATAGCTTAGCGTGTATTCTGCTATCTTTAACCACTTTTGCATGCGCTAAACCTCCAGAGAACCATAACCTGGAGAAAAGAGCATCTGATGTCCAAGGTATTGATATCATCACAGATATCAAAATCGTTGATGAGAATACGGGTTCTTCAAACACTTACCCCGGGAACTGGTTGACTGTCAGCGTCAGCTTCTTCAGTGAGATGCCAATTGATAAAGGTTCTTTCACGGAATTTTCCATTCCAGGTATCGTTGATGGACCAACTTCCGAAACATTGTCCGTTAAAGATAGTTATGAGACCTTTGGTCGTTTGACCAAGATCAACGTTGCAACAGGTAAATACAGAATTCAGTTCTCTGATTGGACCTCGGAAAACTACAACTTGAAAGGAACCATGACATTCAGTGTTCATCTGGAGGAACCGGTCACCCAACCACAGACTAAAGAAATCATTGCTTTTGCTGCACCAGATAAACAGTTCACATCCACTTTGAACATCATGAAGATGCCTGATGATTCTCCATTTGTTTCTGCTTTCTGGGATGGTGCAACTGAAAGTCCAAAATGGCTTATTGATGTTCCTGGAACCCTTGGTCCATGGGATTCGTTGGAGATATGGAATGAGAATCCATACGACTCAAGATACACCTATGTTTCAGAGTACTCCTACACCTTCAAGTGTGAAAACTTCAAAACCTCAATTGGATCTCAAAGAAATTCACTGGGGAATGCAACAATCTTTGAAGATGGACCAACTAGAACATCTGATTCTTACTGTGAATCAAGTAGTTTCAGTGCAAAATACGACACATCAATTGAATCTTCCGAAGTCCTGCGACTCAGCGTTGCTACATCACGTATTTGGTTTGCTACATTGCTCAATAATACCATGAATATTGTTATCACAAAGGGCTCAGAAAACCAGACATACGCTATTGACAGTATTATTCATTATGACAGTTTGAGATCATTCGATGAGTTCACTGGACAGAAGGATAGAGCATCAGCATCCTCGACTGTGGTGTCTTCAACCGAGTCATCGTCTTCATCTGAAGAGGAGTTAAACACAAGTGAGGAGACGTCGTCTAGTGATGATGACTTCTCCAGTGACGATACATCTTCGAGTGAAGAGACATCTTTGAGTGAGGAGCCATCTTCGAGTGAGGAGCCATCATCCAGTGAAGAAACATCATCCAGTGAAGAAACATCATCTAATGACGATGACTACTCGAGCCATGAGACATCCTCCAGTGACGAGACATCCTCCCGTGATGATGACTTCTCGAGTGAAGAGGTCATTTCATCTGACGATGACTCTTCAGCCGGAGGTGGCTCCTCAACTGTGGAGACTAGTACATCTTCAGATCTTCAGACTGACGATGAATCTTCAACAAGTGAGGACCTGCAATCAACTGAAAAAGAATCAAGTTCTGAAAGCTCAGAGAGCTCCACTCATTCATCTTCTGCTGGGAAACTCACTGAATCATCTGAGTATGTGGGATCAGTCACTTCGACCGAAGAATCATCTATAGAGTCAATCTCAGAGATAAGTGATCCCGAGTCCACAGCATCAAGCTCTTCTAAAGTATCTGATGTGAATACTGATACCGAATCGGTATCTACATCAGAAAGTGAAAGTTCATCAGAAGGCATAGTGATTCCAACTTCAACAGCAGAAATTCAAGAGCCTCAAATAACTGGCCAAATTGTTGAAGGGGACTATATACAATGGCGTATCACAATTCCAGGTGAACTTGGTCCTTGGACTAATGTTAGAGCCGAGGGATCTGCTGACGGCACCTTTGACTTTGTTAATGCTAGTTATGCTGTTGATAATGTTGTCTATGAACAAAGTATCGACTCACCAGATTATCTGGACTTGCAAACAGACCTGTATTCTGAAGATGGTGTTCTTATTGATATCGGTGGAGAGGCTGTTTCAGGAGATTCTTTCACTATTGCTGTACTTCTGACAATCACTACGCCTGATGAGAGGCTTATGAAGAGAGATACTAAAACCTGGACCTTGACCTTTACTGTCGAGCGTGAAGGAACTGCTTCATCGTCTTCTACATCGCTGAGCTCTTCAATTAATACTGTGTCTGAGAGCTCTGATGAACCGGTTACCTCTTCATCATCTGCAGACACAACGGTATCACCATCTGGTATCACCACCTCAACTCTCACTGAAGAGCACCTTGAGACCACAGTTGTGACTCTAACTGACTGTGACAACCACACATGTACCAAATCTTTGACTACTGCTGCTATCACCACCGTAACGACTACCATTGAAGGTGTTGTTACCACTTACACCACCTATTGTCCAACGAGTGCTGAGACACAGCACACTACTAAGGGACCAGGTGTCACCTGTAACGTCACCAAGACCCACCAGAGTGTTCCAGGCGACGACGACACTGATACAAAGCACGATGAAGAAGATAAACCAGGTAAAAGTCCTGTGCCAACTTGCAGAGTCACCAAAACCAATGACAAAAGCCAGGCAGCCACTGAGACAGGACATACAGATGCTGTAACCAAGACTACGGATGCTGAAGCTGTCACTGTCAAGACAATCACTTCCTGTGTCGAAGAAGTGTGTCACACCACCGAGGTAACAGAGGTTATTACAAAGAAGCCTGGTGAGACTACTGTATCAACAGTGCCAAAGAGTACTTCAGAACATGCGTTAGAAACAGTTACCACTACAAAGGCCACTGAAGGTGATGAGACAATCACAGAGGAAACAGTCATTCCAAAGCCAAAGGCTCCTGAGGAAACTAGTCGTGAAACTGATACAGTCATCACTGAACAAGTCACAGTAACTGCCACAACTGAAGAAGACACCAGGGATGAAGGCTCTGATGACTACAAGACCACTGTCGTTGAGCAAGTTCATGAAACACCAGAGGAACATACTGATACTGTGACAAAAGAACAAATGGAGACTGAACAAGAGCACACTACTACTACCAATCATGAGGGAGCTGGCACCACAGAGACTCTGGAAGACCAGCCTTCTGCCACAGTTGTGGTGGAGACCCCATTGAGCACTGTTCCCTCAGTGACAACGTATGAAGGTTCCAGTAATAGTATGAAGACGTCTGTCTTCTTCGTTATTTTTTCATCTTTCTTGATGCTACTGATATGAGATTCTGCCCAGTAAAGAGCTATTCACATTTCTTATCAATGACCTCTTTTGAATCATACAACTATTCTTGTATGATATTATATACAAAGTGAGGCCCTGACGTCTTCGTCAGAGCCTCCAGATCTAATGTATACGATTTTAAACTAGTTTTAATCATCATGATATCGATTCAACATGGATATACCGTGCCACGCAATAAATAAATAAGCTGCTGGAATAAATAAAATAGAGAAGCAAATAAATAATAAATAACAAATCATTAAACGTATCAGGCGTGTCTAATGTCTGTTTCTATGTTACCCAAGATCGACAGCTCCATCTGTCTCAGCGTCTCATCAAAGGAGGCAGAGTCAAACTTTGGTTGCTTGCGGTCAACATCCTCCAGAGCATTGGTGAATGTAATCAACTCGCGGACGTTCTTCATCGGCAGGAACTGCAATGACGATAAATGTTCTCTAATCTCGTCACACTGGTCAGTAGAGCCCTTCAATTTACACATCTGGTAGTCGTGTAATAGTGGCGACACCAGCGATTGCGGGTTTTCAAAGTGTTTATCGGTCAGTATAATTACAGAGATTCCAAATCTCTGTGCAAGGTTTACAAACATCTCTGATTCATGTGGAGAGTTCACAACGAGGTAATTCTTCAAATTGAAAGCCCTGTGGAGTGACGAGCTCGACTTCAAGTACCTCTCCATCATAGTCGCACTCAGGTGCCCGTCCATGCCGTTAATAACCTTGGAGTAGTTTATATTTTGCTTATGGTGTTTTGAGAAGAGGCTCTTGTTCGACGACCGTAGAAGTGAGCCATAGAGAATGGGTGTAATGCCCAGCGACGCAAAGTAGTCACCTCTAACCACTCCAAAGTCCAGTCCGGAGGACTCGTGCACATGCTTCAGCAGAGAGATACCGTCACCCGTGAGTCTTACATGTTTGATCATATAATCCTGGAGCCTGGCCATCGAGCCCCTTGGGTCTCTGCCAAAGAACTCACGGATCTCCTCGGATCGTAAGAATGGGTAGTAAACCTTGGAGTATAGCTTGATCAGGTCTTTGTAGTCCAAGTTGCCAGTGTTGTATCCTTTCATCAGCGACTCAAACGACTTCTGGAGAGCCTTTAGCTCTCCATGGGAGATCAGCTGCGTCTTCCCATTATCAAGCAGTGCCCTGTTGATGTGCCATGTCTGTGGCTTCTGCTGGAACAGCACAGAGTCATGGATATGGAGCTTCGTCAGATGTGGCTTCGGTCTTAGTGATCTAAGCATTTGAGCTTATCTTTTATGGTATTCGATGGGCTAAACGGTGTTGAAAGAGAGAACAGGACGAGACATAATTACTTCAGCAAGGGGACGCTGTCTCCATGGGGATTAAAACAAGGAAAAAGGCCTAAACGGGAAATTACCATAAAGGGAATACATCCGGACATATTATATACATCCGGGCACCTCACCCAACACCCAGACACCACACCAAAACACCTGCACACCACCTATACGTGCAAAACTTCTTCCGATGAGGACGTTGATGTTTCAATTTTGGGCAGGAGGAGCTCTCCACGGGTCCACCACGCTGCTTCTAACACTGCTGGAGAGATGCCTCGTGATCCATTGATCGGCATAGTCGGCAAGCCATCGAGCGGGAAGTCCACAACGCTGAATTCGCTGACAGATGCTGCTGCTAAAACAGGGGCCTTTCCCTTCACAACCATTGATCCTAACAAAGCTACCGGTTATCTGCAGATTGACTGTGCCTGTAAGAGGATGAACAAAGCCGAGCTGTGTAAGCCGAACTACGGTTGGTGCACCAATGGTAAACGTCATGTTCCTATCTTACTGTTGGACGTTGCTGGGTTGGTTCCAGGGGCTCATCAAGGCAAAGGTTTGGGTAATAAGTTCTTGGATGACCTCAGACACGCGGACGCGCTGATCCATGTTGTCGATGTCAGTGGCACCACTGACGCCGAAGGTAAGAACACTCGAGGCTATGACCCACTGCAAGATGTTGAATGGTTGCAAGACGAAATCAGACTGTGGATTGAAGGCAATCTGAAGAAGAGATGGGGCTCAATCGTCAGAAGACATACTGCTACAAAGAGTCCTATTGTGGAGACCCTGCTAACGCAGTTCGCAGGTTACTCTGCGAACAGAGAGATGGTGGCTCGTGCAATGGACAGGCTGCAATCTGTGGGGAAATTGGAGGAATGGGACGATGCAAAGATCACCGAGGTGGTGAAGGCATTCATGGCGGAGAAGTTCCCTACAGTTCTGTCTTTGAACAAGATCGACCACCCAGATGCCGATAAAAACGTCAGTAAGATCATACTGAAGTACCCTGATACCAAAGCAGTGCTCACAAGTGCAATCACGGAAGTGTTTCTTAGGAAATTGGCCAAACAGGGCTTCATTAAATATGAGGAAGGCACTGAGTTCATAGATACAAAGGAAGACCTTCCAGACGACCCAGACCTCAAGGAGCTGGACGACAAGCTAAAGAATCGGATTGAGAACATTCGTGACTTGGTTCTATACAGATTTGGATCCACAGGCGTGGTTCAAGTACTACAAGCAGCTGCAGAAGTTCTACAGCTGGTTCCGGTATTCACCGTGAGAAATATCCACACCTTCACTTCCGGGAACGGAACCAACGTGTTTAGAGACTGTACGCTCATAAGAAGAGGCACTCCCGTGGGTAAAGTGGCGAGATATATCGTTGGTGATGTCACAATTGCGGCCGTGGAAGGAATTGGCGGACAAAGGGTGAGCGAGGACGATGTCGTTGACATCGGCAAGAACGACATTTTGTCCTTCAAAGTGGTTCCAGGTGGTAATAAGGAGTGAAGAACATACAAAGCATCCCAAGATGTGGTTTAGATTAGAAAATCAAATCGTGCGGTCATTATAATATAAACGTTAACAGTGTAGTGATGGTGCAATGGAGCAAATAAAGATGCGAGAAATACATGTTAAAGATGCCAGTTCTGATGTTTGGATCACTTCTTCTCCTGTGGATAGCAGTCGAGCTCAATCTCCTCGTGTGTTGCCTTGCCGTAAGATGCCTGTTCACTGGTATCACCACTAGAAGCAACAAACTTGGCTTCTGGGTCACGGCCTTCTTCAATCTCAATAACCTTCTCAATATATGTCTTCAGCAATGGAGAACTCAAGTCTCTGTGGAATTTCTCAGGACCGATGAATGTGGTTATAAAGACGTAGATGAAGACTGCACCTGTGAAGCAAGCAATGGTCTTTGCATAGTCGTACTTGATTGGGTTACCTTCAGCGTCCCATTCCAATGGCCAGAGCTTAGCCAATCTTGTTTCAATGGTGGAGGAAGCAGAAGAGGCCAGGTTACCTAATTGATAAGCAAGACCAGAAACCAAGGCTCTTGCGTCTGGAGGAGACAACTCAGACAAGTGAATTGGCAGGACACCCCAGACACCGATGACTGCGAAGAAGAGGAAGAAACCACCACCAAGAACGGCACTGTTGTTGTGCATCATGTACGCTGGGTAGACGAAACAACCACCGATAACACAGCAGATGAGGATAGCCAGTCTACGGCCAGTGACTTCCATAAAAGTACCAGCAATCAAACCACCGCAGATGGCACCCAAGTTGACCACCACAATGGCAACTGTTTGAGCATCTAGGGACCATTCCAGCTGAGAACGTAACATGGTTGGATACATATCTTGGGAAGCGTGAGTCAAGTAGTTCGTACCAGCAAGCAAAATAACCAAGTAGGTGAATAGCAGCCAATCCTTCTTGAGCATGGCCTTGACTGAGCCCCATTTCGTCTTGAGAGTTGGCTTGACGTAAACTCCAGCCTCGATCTGATCTTGCTTGATCAACTCTCTGGCTTTCAAGACACGGGTGAAGTAACGAGTCTCTGGGAAAACCAGTCTCCAGCAGATCAAGATGAATGGGAAGCAAGAGGAGAACCAGAAGAGGGCCTTCCATGAATGCTTTGTGCTTTCGAAAGCTCTCCAGAAGATAGCTGCGAAGATCATACCAAAGGCATAGGCAGAGAAGAACAGACCAGATAAGAAAGAACGGGCTTTCAATGGGGCATCATCCATGGACGTTGCGGCAGCGGTGGCATAGGTACCACCCATGGCAATACCTGAAATGGCTCTGACGGCCATAAACTGCTGGTACGTCTGACAGAATCCCGTACCAATCTGAAGAGCACAGAACATGGCAGCAGTGGTGATGAATGGCCATTTTCTGGAGTAGTTATCAGTCCAGAGACCAAAGATAACAGCACCTGCGGAACGAACCATAAGAACAGCAGACAAACCCCAAGTGATGTCAGCTGTGGAGACGTCAAGAGACTGTGCGATATAAGTACCGGAAACAGCGGTCAAGAAGAAGTCAAAAGACGCTGAGAACCAAGCAACAAACCCCATGAAGAAGAAGTTCCAGTTGTTCCATGACATTTCTCTCAATGAAGGTAGCGGGTTCAGATCTCCGACTGCGTGAAGATGGAGATGGGTTAGAGACGTGAATCTTGTCTTTGAATATTCAACGATATTTGGCCAGTTGATGATGATTTCTTGTTCATCTTCGATGACAACGTCGTCTGGGTCCTCGTGGATAGAGTCCTGACGAGTTACTGACTCTTCAAGTTTGTGCATTGTTGTATATGTTGTATGAAGTATAAGGCTGAAGTGTAAGTGAACCTGGGAGATGTTGGGATCAGAGCAGGATGTTGGTTTGTATTTATACTAATCACGCTGTAGCCGACGCCAGTACGAATCACATAGACAACCTGAGTGATTAGGAAACATGGGTCATTGGAACCTGTGAGTCCTCTGACTCCTGGCTTGCATGGCAATGAGTGCACACCTCCAGCCAGTCAGAGATTGGAGCTGCATATCGTGCGTGGCTTTCCCTAGCCTTGTGGTATTTGAAAGAACAGGTGTGAGGCCTTATGAGGGTGTGGCTGATCACAGAGGCAAAGGATATTCACCGTGTTTAAGGTGAAAGCGAGCACGGACTCCCGCAACTTCGTGATCCGCCAGAGAACCTCAGTGCATATCTGAGCTCTGAAGCTCTCGTCTTGATACTAGCGAATCACCAGTGTGCCTGAACGACCAGCTCAATTGTCCATGGAGTTAAGAACACTCAGACAAGACACATAAATGTCCACGACATGTGAACAGAGCGGAACCGTTTTAATTTTACATCTCAGCGCTACCAAAGTGCCAGTAGAAAAATTTTCTGCTGCTGCGTTGACGCACGAAATATTCCGGGGTACACGCACCTCAAACTCTAAATGCGGTACAAACTCGAATTAACCGTTCGCCCGCTGTGCGCAGTGGTTGAAGGGTTTTAAGCACTGTGTTGCTATCGAATTGTTATACAATCGCAGGGCAAATTATGTGACGTTGTGGGTGGCGTAAATTGCGAGGACGGAGTTCTGGGAAAGTCGTAATGCGATTGACAAGTGTTTCCTTACAGGATCGGCTCCAATCTACCAAGATCGATGGATCTGGAAGCTTGGTATTGTGTGTGTGTGTGCAGCAATGAAGCAGTGTTGGAGTATTCAACACTATAGGTTTGTCTACGCTTTCCGTGTATTGATAACGGGTGTCGTATCCCTTTGCGCAATGGTCCTATTGGAGATATAGGAATGGTCTTCCACTTCTCCGGTTTAAAATCGTTTAAAGGTTTTACGGTAGACTTTTTTAATGCCTAAACAGCGGTGTTTTCCAGGTTTGGTCGGTACGCCAACCTCGCAAATTCCGAATTGGGAAAAAATAGCCTACCGTGAGCTGCTTTCTCCGGCGTGCTCGTGTGGTTTACCCTTTGCGACAATTTTCTTCTCTCTAAAAGAGATGGTAGTTTTTCCGATGACTTTGACACAAAGCGGTAGAGGCCTGTGGCACCGTGTAGATGGCTTACAAGATGGTTATAGTAATTTGTTCAGCTTTATCTAAGTAATCTTTGGAGATAGAGAGTCGAATCACTTTTTGGCAAAGGTGCAAACGGATCTTTCATCCCGAGCCATGATTCAAAAGGTCAGCATGGACTATTTTACTTCTGACGAGTCATCGACTCATATTGTATATGACTTTTGCTGCCTATTGTTCATTTGTGAGGGAACAATCGCGTGGGGGTTGGGTAATTTTGTTCGAAAGCGGGAATTTTTGAGTTTCAAAAACGCAACTCTGCGAGGAAACCCGTGGGGGTAATCCATCTCGAGGGCTAACTACTCGCCATCACTAAGTTGCTAAGCAGTGAATACCAACCATTGGTGACCACGGAATCCAAGACGTCGTCTCGACCGGCATGATATGGTTTGACAGACTCACTACTGCTTCCAGGGACATCCCCATGTTCTCTGTTTCTCAACTGTAGTTAGTAGTTGGTACTTGCACAACAGGAAAATGGTGCCACCCCACGCAAAAAAAGAAAAGAGTGCTATAATCGGTAACCACCAAAAGAAAGGAACCCCGTGGGGGCAACGAGCTTAGGAAACGGGGCAAGGGATGTTACCCTACCTTGGATATGTCACGTGACGGTACCGCGAATTCGTTTTATAAACACCTCACAAACGAAAACAGAAAAAACTTTCAGTCGTGATCTTTCTTCCTCCATCCACCTTTTCCTTTTCTCTTTTCCTCACCAACCAGGAGATCAATATCAAATTTTTTAGAAGAACCTCTGGTTCTTCTTTTCTGAAATTCATAACGTACATGGTTCTTGCCTTTTACCAGAACCATCCGGGTATTGTCTTCACTTCAAATGGTTGTGTCCATTGGCATTTTTTGGAAACCTTTTTCTGTTTTGATAGGGAACTCTGTCCTTCTCATAACCTTTTTTAAAATTTTCTCCATGAGTGCATGGATTCATTTTAAAAATGTGGATTTTCGCTTGTGATGGCGGAGTTTTGCGGGAATGCTTGCGTTAAAATGTCGTTACTCAGGGCTCAGAACCTTCCTTTGGGCAGTACATACTGTGTGTATCTTGCGCACCGTAGCGCTGTCGTAAAGTGATACTGCTCTTTTAGCCATGTGTCATGGTGTATTGACGTGACCTTGATAGCGGTGGTGGATTTGCTTATAGCTGAATGGTTTAAATCAGCACAAAGTTGGTAGTACACAGTGCGGTGAGCACTTCCTCATTATATAGACCTCATGGCGAAGATGTCTCATAGATATCTAATACAAAGGGAGTAAACGTGCAGTGTCCACCACTACGGATTACCTTGGGGAAAGCCCCAGTCTGGGGGGGGGGGGCAACGTAGTTACTGTATCAAAAACAGTCAAAACTTCTCCAGAAAAATCATGAATTGCGTAGTATGAGTTCCAACAGTATTATAGATGCACTCTATAATGAGCTTTTCTGACAATATTGAGCAGTACATTTTCAGAAATAAAAAAGCTCTACACAATCGAAAAATGAAGCGACACTAGCATTTATTCATGGTAAATCAATTATCAAGACTCGACAATCAAGTAACAAGACTCCAAGACCAACTGCAATTATCGAACGACTCAACTATACAGTTAAAGGTATTTCCCACACTCATCAGACGAGTAATGGATAGTAGTGGGTATAGAAACACCCGGACACCGCACTCCTGGCCCGCGCTATCTTCGCTCTTTTCCGCCACATTCCAGTCCCATACGCGCGCGTTTGTGGGCCTAGCCTAGTCCCGCCCTAGTCCCAGTCTAGAACGTTGCCCATTGAGCCACTTTTTAGTTCCACCTTTGTTTACCCAATGCGGAAACACACACGAAAACACACACGAAAACACACACGAAAACACACACGAAAACACACACGAAAACTCACACGAAAACACGTACACACGCGCGTAGAAGACGCCGGGCCCCCAACCGCTTGGGCACTACAACCACCACTGGGGACTGTGTCAGACATCCTTGTTGCTGCAACTCAACTCACAAACCAGCGATTCACTTTAGACCACCCAGTCTCAACTTGCAACCCAGTCTCTACACGATTGGCGGGATGTACCGCCACCGCATCTGAGACTTCGCCTAGTCCACCGGTGCTCTCCCTACAACCAATGGCCTTTTAAGATTAAGCTTCCATCACCGTACATAAAGGAGCAGACACAGAGGTATTAAATATAAACATTAAGCACATCGAAACCTTTTTCGCTCCCTCTCTGCCTTGCCGCCGTAAACTTGTTGATGTCCCGCTGCCCCTAAAACGTATAAACTGCGCTCATCGTAAAAACGTATACCGACAAAAAGCAAAAAAAGTCCCTCCTCGAAGATTCCCCGAGACGGAAAGTTTTTTTTTAGTCTAATTATCATACGCGTTTGTTAATCATCGACACATCATCCGTTCTTTCTATCACAGCCAGTGAAGACAGAGAAGTGGTGTACATTGCCGCTACAGACGCTCGAACCATGGCTGCTCCAATGACATCTTACGCCTCGGCGGCTCCATCAACATCGTGGGCCTCACCATCAACCACTTCCTACGTGAACATATACGTCCGAGAGACGTCGTCGGCCGGCTCCTCGAGCTCTTCGCATTCTCGTTCATCATCGTCAACCTCGTCGAAGTGCACAGATGCCCAGTACTGCCAGACCGGTACCAACATGACAGGCATGACCATTGGGCTGGCGGTTGGTATACCGGTTGGAGTGTTTCTGCTGATCATCGCAGCGTTGATCTTTAGAGCGTATCGGAAGAATAAGAAGGAGACCAAGGAGGAGATTGATAATGATCCGGACTTCTATGGCGACTCCACGGCGCTGCCTGACTATCCAACGTCCAAGGCGTTCTATAACGGCGAAGACTCCCGTTCTTTGTATTCGTCCAGCCTTCAGCAGAACAACCCATTTGCCGAGTCCGCTAGGTACCCGTCAGGGGCATTCTCAAGCAGAACAGCAGGTGCCGGTGGACAACAGCAGGGCTCGCTGTACAACTACGGCAACGGCCCTCAGTCCTCAGGAGCCATCTACGATGCCTTTTCACTGCCATATGAGCAAAACCTGGGCTCAAAGCATTCGCTGGATGAGTTTTCAAGACATATGGGCTCAGAGTACCAAGCGTACCAGCTGGCTCAGACGACTTCAAGATCGACTTCGAGACCACACTCGCCTTATATGACGCCGAACTCAAGCTCGTGGGACATTGCCGGGGGTCGTAATACGTCGAGAAACCTGATGATTGAAAAGACCAACTCTGATGAGCCTACGACGACTTCACATTCTTCCAGATCATTCCCAGAGAACAAGCACGTTTCACCAGCGAGAGGTTACGATGTTGATGAACATCCAGTCGAGGATGGCGATGTGAAGGGCAGAAGACGAACCCTCCACGAGGATGAACACCCTCTTGAGCCCCAGGGGCTCCACGACCCAAAGAAGTCCCGAGACTTTGATCACGATAAGAGACGGAGCGACTTGTCATTTGTTGAGAACGAGCCTGAACGGTTGAACCATAAAGTGGTTGCGTTTAACGAGCCAGTGAAGGAAGAAGGCGTAGAGGAGGAAGAGGATGAGGATATCAAGAGAATGAAGAGTGTTTACAGGGTGTATTTTGATAGGGAGAATTCGATGAAGAGTACAAAGAGTGCTAAATCTACAACAGTTGAGGAAGACGAAGATAGAGTACCACCATTGCCAGATATTAATGTTCAAGGCTTGAATGAGGATGAACATGGTGTTCCACCACAAGCTGAGAGTAGCGACGAGGATGATTTCCACTTTGACCAGGCTGAAGCTGGCTCTAAGAATAACGATACTCTAGGAGTCTCTACACAGAAGCCTCCAAGAGCAGTTTCATCGATTTACTCAACTGTTCCCTTGCAGTTTGGTCAAGATCAACAGCGTTATCCGCAAGCCCCAGAACAGTCCTATCAGCAGTATCCTCAACAAGACTATCAGCAGTATCCTCAGCAGTATCCTCAGCAGCATTCTCAGCAGTATCCTCAGCAGTATTCTCAGCAGCATCCTCAGCAGTTCCAATCATCACCTCAGCATATTTACCAACCTCACAGACTCCCATACCAACAACAACAACATTCGTCGTCATCATCTTCGTTGCAAGAGCCTTTGGATAAGATCCCAAATCCAAGTCGCATAGACTATAACTCGATTGTCTCGGATACCCAATACGCTCCAACGAAATCGTTAACAGGTGGTACTCGTCCACCAAAGTTGGCTGTAAAGCCTTTCAACCCATTGCATTACTCTGATCAGATCTTTTCACCAACGTCACCTTCGTCACCTTATTCTCCCCAATTCCAGCAACCTCAACCGTCATCAGCCTCTACAAACGACCAATCAATACCTTCACCTCATCATATAAGACAGAGTATCGTGATGGTGAATCCTGTGGAGATTGGTAAGCAAAAGCTATACAGACCTGCTGGATCGTTCCAACAACAGATGAACAGTGCCAACAGCTCGAGAGCTGCAAGTTTGACATCGCAAAGCTATGCACCACCACCACCTGCAAACGTCACCTCCACTGATTTACCACGGTCAGGTTCACAGGCTGACTTGCGGAAACAACTAGGTTCGAGTGAGAATTACCACTTCAACTGAATATAGGACTCTATTTCTATGTTATTACCATCTTATCTACAGTCACCACGAGAAGCTAAATATTATACTATAAGCATTCTAAAGATAGAAGCGTAAATCATGCCAAGTCAAAGTCATCAATCTTGTTTCTGTACTTGAGAACATTCTGCTTGATCTTACTCGTGTCGACCCAGGTTAGATAATCCTCCATGCTTCTGGAAACGAGATAAGCAGGGTCAGTTATTACGTTTGGACCTACTCTGACGTGTCCTTGTTCCACAAACGTCACGGCATCTTTCATGTTTTGACTCATCCTCAAACGACACATCACAACCCCAATTCTACGACGGCATATCGCACTCACTGTGACCTTGTTCTCCAGGTCCGAGATCTTGGACTTTGTAGAGAGAATACCCATGCTGTACAGCTTCTCCAGTAGCAGCTGCTCATGCTTGATACGGACAGGGTCATTCGGCTGTAGTAGAGATAGCTTGTGAGCCAATTTCCGGATATCACCACAGATCTTGTTGTACTTGTGATAATCCTCACGGTTCTGTATATGGTACGTTCTCATCACCTGCGCATCTCTATGGCCCTGGTCTTGTTTCCAGTCCAGGAAGTCCACTTTCTTCAGGAGCTTCTGCTCATGATGCTTCAACTTTCTAACCATCGTTCACGTCTGTTTGCCCCTGTATATACTGACCCAACGGCTTACAAAGATCTAAGCGTATTAGTGAGGAAGAAGTACTAAAAAAAATTTCCCGATGAGCTCCCGGGGGTGAAATCCGAGGGTGAAAAATTATCGAGTTCCGACCGCTTCCCTCCCGTTCTCCTCCGTCAACAAAAAACTTCTTCTTCGAGGGCACCGAAGGACGGGACACAGCTCAATTACAGAGCATCTTGAATAGTTTTGCCAGTGTTTTGACAAGTGGAGGAAGACATGATGCTTTTGAGATCAGTGGGCAGCAAGAGACTCTTTTCGTCGAGCTCGCAGAGGTGCTCGAACATTGGTATGAAGGCCATTCTTGTGCCACAGGAGGTGTCCATTGAGATTCAGCCTCTGAAGCAGAGCATTATAAAAAGAAAAGGTAGATCCTTGCTCACGTTGTCACAGCAGGCCAAGGTCAAGGGGCCGAAGGGTGAATTGACACTGGAGTTGCCGGATTTTGTCGTCTGCGAAAGAGACCATGATAAGCTGACCGTTTCCGTCAAGGACTCCGAGAACAGACAACAGAGAGCTCTGTGGGGGACGATGAGATCTCTGATCAACAACCACGTCATCGGTGTCACCGACGGCCACCTGTCGATCTTGAAACTTGTCGGTACTGGTTACAGGGCCCAAGTTGAACAGAAGGACGGTAAGCCGTTCATCTCTGTCAAAGTCGGTGCCTCGATCCAACAAGGCCTCTTCATCCCAGAGAACCTGACCGTGACGTCACCAGCACCAACGAGAATCATCGTGGAAGGTGTTGATAAGCAGCAGGTGAAGCTCTTCGCTGCCAGACTTCGTGAGTTCCACCCTCCAGAGCCTTACAAGGGTAAAGGTATCTACGTGGACGACGAAACCATCGCTTTGAAGGCCAAGAAGATCAAGTGATGGGCCAACAGCTAAATAGATCCTATATCAGTAGTTCAAAACTCAAAAAGATGTACATAGTATGGAAGAACACACCATTGTATCGGTTAAACTAAAGTGCCATTTTGGTGCCATGTTGGAGACACGGGACAGACACGGGACAAACATCCAGACACCAAAATGTCCGAGTAATTTTTTTCCTTCCCTCCAACGGACGCCCAATGAAAATGTCCCAGTGCCACTTTGTCTGTATACAGAAGACTTAGTTGAAGAGACAAACCACCTCCCTCGCACACAATGAACCCTCTTCTCTTTAGCTCCAGGGTCCTCTCGCTAGGCTGTCGTCAGTTCCCGAAGTATGTGCGTACTGGAGCCTCATTGACGGCTCCTTCCACGGTGACGTCTGAGGCTGTCGCTGATTCACCAGAGCACTCACAGGAGAAAGCTGTTGAGAGAAGAAGATTACCGTTGAGAACCGGGCTGTTAGCTCTGAAACGTGGCATGGGCCCATGGTTTGACCAGAAGACCGGAGAGACTTTCCCAGTTACCGTGCTGGAAGTCAACCAAGTTGAAGTTATCTACAACAAGACAAGAGAGGTTGAAGGGTACTGCGCTGTGCAGGTTGGCTACGGTGCAAAGAACCCAAAGCGTGTCTCTAGACAGCTACTTGGACACTTCGAGAAGGCCCAGGTCAATCCAAAGGTGAAGGTTGCCGAGTTCATGGTGAAGTCTGAAGAAGGGCTGGTACCTGTGGGCACTGAATTGAAGGCGAGCCATTTCGAGGTTGGCCAATATGTTGACTTGAAAGGTGTATCAAAGGGTAAAGGCTTCGCCGGTGTCATCAAACGTTACGGCATGAAGGGTCAGCCAGCGTCGCACGGTACATCACTGACACACAGATCAGGTGGTTCATACGGTGCTAACACCTCGCCAGGTCGTGTCTTGCCAGGACAGAGAATGCCAGGCAGAATGGGTGGTAAGAGCTCTACAAAGCAAAACTCGCTTGTTGTTGATGTTGATGCTGAGAACGGTATCATCTTGGTGAAGGGACACGTTCCAGGACCAAAGAACTCATTCGTCAGAGTAACAGATGCCATCAAGAAACTATGAGTTACAGCTATATATAGTTGCCCATTATTATAATCATGTAAATACAAAGCTTTCTCTTTAAACCATTTATTTATCAAGAAAAACACACATAAACAGGCATGGGATATGATCAATCGTCATCTAACTCAGATGGCTTCAACAAACCACCAACCTTGGAGGCTCTTTCCCTCTCAAGTCTTTGCTTCTCCAAGAGTGCGTTCTCGCGATCTTCAGCAAACAGGTAGTCTGTTTCATCACCACCGTATTCTTTGATCTGAACGAGGAAATCACGCAAGGTGCCTTTGAACTTGGAGCCATCACGGTGTTGTGCAATTAGAACCGTTACAAAGTTTTCCACTTGAGCAGTCTTCAGGTGTGGGAAGGCATTGGACAGCATGTTTGAAATGTACTCCTTGACAAATGCGGAATTGGAAACACCGGCTGGTGCTTGTCCTTCTCTATACAATGGTTCCTTGATGTATCCACTTTCAACGAGATCGATCAACTTTGCCAGTAACTGAGCTTGGAATTTAAATCCTGCTTTATGGTCGGAGTCGGTAATGACATAGAACGTATCAGCCATGATTGGGAAGTAGAAATTTTGATAGAAGGCAGTAGTGAAAGGCGTTGATCCAAGCTTCTCAACGTTCTTGAGCAGCTCAATGGCTAAACCCAACCCACTGTTTTCAACTTCAGTGTTGTTGTGCTTGAAGGACCACAGAATAGCATTGACAAGAAGTTGGAATGCATCACCTGAAAGTTGTAACAAGGAGTTGAACGACTTCAAATTGATCTCTCTCAAAAACTTGTAAAACTCAACTCTATGCTCTGGATATTCGGTGAAGTCCTTGTTAATCATATCCAACGTTGGCTCAAAGACGTTTTGTAACATAACGACAACGGCTCCAGGGATCATATGACCAACTTTAGAAACAACGGTGGTCAAACAGTTCAAAACTTCAGCGTCACGCGCATCAGGAACGTTACTCTTGTAATCCTCCAAAATTGCAGCCAAGAGAGGTTGTATTAAAGTATCCACAATCTGCTGGAGATTTTCACCCTTGGAGATATAAGCTTCAACGAGGTGCAAAACCTCCTTCTTTATAGTACGTAATCCACGAACCTTTGGTGTCTTTGTAGCGATCAAACCATCCTGTGCAACAGCATTAGAGATCATGTTAGAAACAGCCTTGTACAAGGACAGCATGTCGTCATAGACAGTTCCCAGTTGGTTGTAGAATCCTGCGCCCAGGGAGGAGCAAACGGCAACGTTAGTCTTAATCACGTTGGCAATGATCTTCACTGTTTCCGGGTTTGTCAACAGCGTAGGATCTTCACCAGCCTTTTGCACAATGGCAGTCCATGCAGTATTTGGAAGGTGCATTAAATCTGAAAGGAGACGTTCTCTAATAGCAACAGTGGTCTGTGCACCGATGATGTAACCACAGGCTTCATAGAAAGTATGGACTTGTTGCGGCTGTAAATCTTCAGTGATGAATTGGATGTTTCTAATGATCTCATCGATGAATGGTTCAGTCTCGTTAGGTTGCTGAACCACAAAATGACGACGACACTTTAAAACAATCTTCATGAAAGTATCACATGCCATATCTTGAACACCTTCATGGGTTTCGTGCATAAACTCAAACAACTTGTTGATAACTGTCTTCAAGAACTTCCAATGAGCTTTGAGGAATCTTGGATATTGACCAACAATGTACATAATATTCGAAGCGACAACGGCTTTGTTATCCTTACCATACTTCTTTTTGTTGAGCCCAAGTAAATCGTTAATGACGTTAAACAAGAATCTCTTCTCCATTTCCTCATTCATTGTACCGGAGATAGAACCAATGGCCCAACATAGGGTGTTGATGTTGTGCCAGGACCATTCGGAGCCATCCAACTGTTTGGACAGTTTCACACTCATGATTTGTTCAGTGTCGACAACGTCCAAATGTGTCAAGTAGACAAGGACTTCTCTCATGGATTTGTACAGCGTAATTGTATCGGATTCCTTCACAAACTCACGAACAATTTCACCTTCATCGTTTTGCACCACAAGGACCTCTTCTGGTTTAGCCATGGACTCTATCACAACTAATCTCAATTCAGAGAGGATGTTGTTATAGATGTGCTTTCTCAATGGGAATTTGTTCAAAACTTCTGGATTTGGAGCACCACTGGTTTGGGAGAATCCCAACTGCATTAATGGGGAGAGTTCTTGAGCTGGGATTTGCTGAACTTCCTGGAACAACCCACTAACGAGTTTACTCCAATAATCCAAACAGGTTTTGAATAATTCTCTTTCCTCAATCTTGGACAACTGGATCAAGTATTCATGAGCCGTGAGGAGAAGTTCTCTATACTGTTCTCTCGACTCAACAGCAGACACATGGTTTGCCAAAAATGTACAAATGTACATAGCCAAGTCTTGTAGGAAGGCTTGGTCACTTGAATTTGCCACGGCGTAAGTCTTATTCAACTCAACGTTTGGCGGAACCACGGATGCAATTTGCTGCATAGAATTTTGGAACATTGTGACGAATTTCTCATCGTACTCAGAAGCGTTCAAAGATGCAGCCTCTGTTAGACATTTCAAAGTAACGGCTCTCGTATCCTGAGGCGAAAGGAATTTGTTTGTTAACAAGTTCAATAGCTCAGTTTCAAAGATGTAGCCCAGTGGAATCCATTGCATATATCTCAACACTGTGTTCAAAGTGGCCACTATGAGTGAAGGTCTTGTAGCCTTATCGAGAACCTCATAACACAGTTGGAAGATGTCCGAGAACTCTTGGCCCATTCTCGTTTTCAGATTCAGCGCTTTGGCCTGGGTCATTTGTTCCGCTGAGTAGTCAAACACTTCCTCAGAGAGCAATTTCAATATAACCATGTTGTTCTCACAAACGTTGAACCCTGCTCTTGAAGACTGAACCAGTTCCTGGATGAAAGTTGGCCAATTAGCAGGCCACTCCTGCTTGGCAATTTGGACCAAGGTCAAGTCGCACTTGTTAATCAGGGATCTCTGGCTCTGGAACTGTTCATCATCATCACACATCGCAATGATCATGTTGACAGTGAAGTTTCTGATACCCTTTCTTTGCTCATCTGGCAGCAGTTTCCATTTTGTTTGGATCAACTTGTCCAAGATGGACAACCCAATGTACTTTGTCTGCGAGTTTTGAGACAGCTGAAGGATTTTATCAGCTCTTTGCCACGCATCAGGGTGCTCTTGAAACTTCGTGATTACATCCTGTGCTGTTTTCTGCTCAGCACCGGAGCCCCTGTAGAAAGTCTCCACGACTTTGTCCAACAGGGCAACGTCTAAGTCCTTTGAGAAATCCAAAATAGACTCCATGTTCAAATCTGTGAAGGTGGGAATGTTAGTAACGGCGGTTTTCAGCAGGGGCAGTGGTTCGAATTGAATTCCACAGGGTGAACGGAACATCAACATCAACAACAACAATAACACGGCGGTAACACGGCGGTAACACGGCGGCAAACCAGAAAAGCAAAACATCCACTCAGATCACCGCTTTAGGAGACTTCAACCAAAAACCAAAAAACATCAACAACAATACTCACAATTCAGTAATAACTTCAGCGATAGATGTTCAAGAACGGGCGGCTATCGGTTCCAGGGCAAATCAACGTGGCGGCAATGCTCAAGTGAACTGGAACTAAAAAAAGGGGAATATAAACAAAGGAGAAATTCGCTTTTCTGAACGGGTAAACAACGAAAAAACACCTCACAATTGTTTCAATAAGGAGAAGCCGTTGTGTCAAGCAGTTGTACCGAAGCTTCTCTCAGCGTCTGTTGTTGTTTTTTTTTGCTTCGCTTTGCTATGCCTTGTGCTGGTGGTTTGGAAAAGGTAGTTGAAGACCAATGAGAAGAAGCCTTTTTGTCTGTGGAATTGTTGTTTTTCTTTTGATGATGTTTTGTGTTTATACAAATTTTGTCCGTGGGCGTTAGGGTGACAGTCGGTAGGGGCAGCGAATAATGGTAGGGGCAACATATATTCTAAAAGTGGTAGGGGCAGCACACAAAGCGCGAACGTGTCCGGATTGGGCGGGTCTTTGCGTCCCGTTCCTCCGCCGTATACAGGTGAAAGATTTAGTTGTACATTTTCTATTGAAACTTGTCTATGGAAACTTGTCTATTAAAGCCTGGTGTCAGATGAACGTTGGAATGCCCGTGTCCTTCCAGTCCCACGGGTCGTTGAACCGGATGCCTCTGTCCAACGAGGAAATCGTGTGCAATTCTTCATCCGAGAGGGTGAAGTCTTCGACGTACAAGTTCTCCAATAGCCTGTCTCTGTTTGAGGATTTAGGAATGACTCCCAGGCCTCTCTGCGTGGCCCATCTCAGCAGCACCTGTGATGGTTTCTTGTTGTGCTGTGCAGCAATTGCATTGATGGCCTCGTTCTCGAACAATGGCTGTAGATCCTTAGCCCGTGGGTGGTTCAGCTCGAAGAAAGACTGAGGCCCGAATGAAGAGTACGCAACAACCCACAACCCGGCTCTCTGAGCGTACTCAACAAGCCTTGGCTGGACCAGATAGGGGTGGTGCTCTATCTGTAACGCAGACGGCTTAATTCTGGCGCCTCTGAGAAGATCTTGGACGAGAGCACCACTGAAATTGGAGACACCAATGGCCTTGATCTTGCCTTGAGCATGGGCATCTTCCAGCGCACGATACGTGTCAATAATTGGCACGTCTTCAAAGACGAACTCCTCAGTAGTGCCAAACCCTGGTGGGTACAGTGTTTCCACGGGGACGAACTCAGTGGCTATCGGGAAATGGATGTAGTAGAGATCGACGTAGTCCAGTTGTAGGTCGTCCAAGGTCTTCTGTAGCCCTATAGGCACATTTTGAGGGTGGTGGAAAGTGTTCCACAGCTTAGAAACGATGAATAGCTCCTCACGCTTCACAAGCCCTTCGTCCAAGGCCCTCTTGATACCTTGGCCAACCTCAGCTTCGTTACCATAGTCCGATGCACCGTCAAACATCCTATAACCAAGCTTTATGGCATTGTAGACCTGGTCTGCAGCAGAGTCCTTGGGCATCTTCCAGAGACCCAATCCAACCTTTGGGGCCTTCAGCCCATTATTCAGAGTCACGTATGAGGCCATCTGTGCTTGCTGAACACCAACACACAGCAACTTCCTCCCTCAGACCATGCTGATATTCGGGTTCAGCTGGCAATTTAAATACACCGTCCTGAGATGGTGTACTTTGCAGAGGCAGGCCGGAACGACCTTCTTCAACAACATCTCCATGATGCGGCGACATGCAACAATTCCGGAAGAGGTGCTTATCTTTGGCTCACTGAGCTCAGCCTCGCCTTGAGCTGCTTGAAAAGCCTTACAGTGCCATGATTGCCACGGTATATAGTTAGCGTACACGAGGTACTCTAACACTATGCGATGTACATACCAGTAGAGCCTTCTACAATTGAGCAGAAACACGGGAAAAGAATCAATTAATATACTAAAGCTTCCACAACTCGGCATTACAATCAGCTGGTTCAATTCAATTACGAGGTCCAGTCGTGAATCTCCTTCAAGTCCTTCACAATGTTGAGGCCTCCCATTCTGTGCTGAAGCTCATAGATATCCCTGTGCTCAGCTTGCTCTGGTCTCCAGCCCCAGCATTTTCTCTTCTCATCATCTAGCGAGCCGTTCCCCTTTAGAACAATCTCAGAGATGTAATCACCAACAATTGGCATGTACTTGAAGCCCTTGCCAGAGTCACCAGTACCGAGAACCAGGCCTTCATGATCGGGGTGCTCACAGAATAGGAAGTGACGATCTGGTGTGTCGGTGCACCAGCAGATCTTGGCCACGGAGAAGTCTCTACACGCAATGTCGTCAGGGAAGATTTGGTGAAGAAAGGCTCTCATTTGGGCCTTGGCTTCCGAGGGAATCTCGTCTCTGTAGAGAGGAATCGACTCGCCATTCTCCATGTTGATGTAGCCGGGGAACTCATTGCAGAACTTGAGCTCGTTGTTACAGTCTGGCTCGAAGACAAAGCCTTCGTCAATGTTCAGAATCACCGGAGAGCCCTTCAATGGAGCAGCCTCCTCATCGCTGAGCTGGATATGACCCACAGTCCAGCATTTGGCCAGAAGCTGTCCCTTGAAGTCCAAAAGACCAATGGAATTGGCACCAGCACAGATCACAACCTTTGATGCCTTTATGATCTTCCCACTGAATGTCTTAACACCCACACAACGGCCTGTTTCGTCCTCGTAGAGCAGCCTGTCCACCCTGTCAGTGACAACTTTGGCACCCAATTCCAAGCATTTGGCATAGACGTTTTCAAGAGCAAGGCTGGCAAACGTCCATCCACAATGTGTTAGCTGATGATACCCCTTCCACCCTTGGAATTTGCCATCAAACTTCACAACTGAAGAGAAATCGCCTGGTGTGTCCAGTTTCTTGACAGCAACGTCCGACTTGTCCAGAAGCTCGAATCTACGGTTGATTTCCTCTATCGCCTTCTCTCCAACACCTCCGTAGACAATCCCAACCTCGTTGAATGCTGGCCTGTACAGCTCATCAGATCGCCACCTCTCGAGTGACTCCAGTGCCAGCTTGCTGTAGAACTCATCCTCAACGGTGGACTGGAACACTTTGTTCACGTCATTTCCCGCACTTAGAGGAGAAGGAACTGCGTATCCATCCACCAGAGTCACGTTTCTATGCCCTTTTCTAAGCAGCTCCACGGCCGTTGACAGCCCAAACGTCCCAGCACCAACTATGACAACGTGATCTTCAGGTTTCATTGCAATGTTCTCGGTGGTTCCTTCAGTTTTGAACTTGCTGAACGGTTCTGGGAGAGAATGACGCATGTGACTTTATAAGGTTATCTCCCCGTCGGATCGACCTTCCTCCCAAAAGTCCCACCGAGAATTATGTCCAATGGTTTCACGGCATCTACAAAAGGACCACAGCCCACGGGCCATAGCGAGGGTCTCAGGCCATCAATCGTGTGATCTCAGACGTGCAGAGCACTCAATGGGCAAGATAAAGACGTATACTCAGCGGAGTCGGGCTGGTTGTGCGGAGTGTAAGCAGCGTAGGATCAAATGTGATGAGGGAAGGCCCCAGTGTCAGCGGTGTGTGAAGCGTGGACTGGGCTGCCACTACACCGGGGTGACTTTGCTCTGGGAAGAGGATGCCAGGAAGAGAGGCATTGCGTTTGGAAGGTCGGCTGATGCCATAACTAACAAGGAGAGGCCCCCAGAAACCGTGAAGATAAACAACGTCGTGCCACTGAGACAGCACTACCCGTTTCTCAACGTATGCGATAAGGACATGTCGAGGTTGTACGATGGGAAGATGATTCATGACGGCATAGCCATGCCGGAGGGGCATGATGAATTGCAAAAGATCTTTGAAAGAGGCCTCGTGCCTGTTCTGGAGAACCCGGTAAGGTACAGTGCCTTCGACTTCAACTTTGGTGAGGCTCATACGTTCTCATTCGATGATATATTCTTGGAGTCCTTTGCACCTTTCCCGGTCTCCCAGCTCCTCAATCCTCCAGAGACAGATATCAGCCAGACAACGCTGGTGCTGAACTTCGTGGAAAAGGAGCTTGTTTCCTATTTCATAGACATGGTTGCTCCCCATTGTGTGTGCTGTAAAGTGAGCTCAAATAGTGCTATAAACAGTTACCTGGCACCGGAGTTGAATCCGTACCTCTATTTGATCATACCTCTGTCTTTGAAGTCCAGGATTGTCATGAAGACCATAGTTGTTGCTTCATCTACACAGCTTGTACTCTTGGGACACCACGAGTACTCAACCGTAGCCGAGAAGTACTTGGAAGAGATTGTCCACGAGTTGCCGTTGCTGGTGGAGTCCACCAAGGCAACTGGCACGAACTTGGATGAGGTGTTTGCCGTTGTTATCATGCTATGCTTCGCTGAGATTTCAGCGTATTGCAGCAACTCATGGCTGTCATTGCTAAACTACGCAAAGAAGGTCTTAAAGGAGTCGTCTGGGGAACGAGACAAGATAATGACGCCCATGGCGAGGTTCTTCATCAGATATTTCATATCCCATGAGGTTATGGGCGAGACAGCGTGGGAACAGGATTCATCGCCCGTGAAGAACGATCCCTCACTGATGATGCAAGATGATTCCTTCATCCAGGAGCTGAAAAAGGACGGTGACAACAAGATCGACTTGGTCTTTGGCTGCTCACCATATCTCGTGTCATTGGTACATCGAATCACCGTTATACGGCAATGCTTCGACTACCTCGAGCTCGAGGTACACCACAAGGACATGTACAACGTCGAAATTCTCAACCATTCTATGGAGACGCAGAAAATGCTAAGTGCCATCAATCAACAGCTGCCCGATAACAGCGACTTGTACTTCAACCACGACGAGATCCAGCACATCCTCATCGTCGCGGAGATCAAGCGTTTGACCGCACTGCTCTACCTCCACGGCGTCATGAGCCAGAGGCCCGAGTTCATCGCCCTCAGTCAAGTCGACCATATCGACTGCACGAACGACATCATCGCCCTAACAAAAAAGCTGCCAGAATGCTACATGTCGCTGCTGTGGCCCATATTCATCGTGGGCCTCGTCATACCAGACATCGAAAGCGTGCGATGGTTTGTACTGGACTCCCTGCAACAGATGGAGAGGAAACGGAAGCTCAAGACAGTGGAAGCTGCCCGTGAAACGCTACTCGGAGTGTGGAAGGAGAAAGACCTCGGCGTAATGTCGGTCAGCTGGAAGGAAATGATAAAGGGCAAGACCAGTGCCATAAGTTTAGCGTAATACACACCATCCAACCCTAGAATCCCCTCAATTAGCAACGTGTGACGATGCCTTGGCTCATTTACCACTCGTTACGAGTTGATCTGTAGGGCTTCGGTACGGTGAACGCGCATGGACCTTCGCTAACGCTCTGGTAAATCTCGAATCACCACTGCCTTTGCAATCAACTTGCGCTGCGCTGCCCATATGGTATTGATTTTAGTGCCTGGTCTTTCGTTGATCTGATGATTTTGAAACTAACGAACTCAACGCCTAAAGAATCTTCTAAACCTGTAGTGTAAGATTTCGTATGTGCAGATGCAAGCGTGTGTATGGTGTGGATATGTTAGAATGATACTAATTTGAGTACTGTTGGTATGGAAAAGATTTGGCTTACCCTTTATGAGTTAAAAGAGGACATCTCAAAGATCAAAAACACTCCTAGACATAGTTTTGATAAAAGTAAAGCCACCAGTATAGCTCTCCTTTATTTGCACTGAAATTGAAGTCTGTTCTGGTGTTATGCTTCTGCGCACCGAGGTAACCTCTTTAACCTCTGGTAATAAAGAAGTACGATGTTGTAAATTTGTTGGTGCTGTTAGTTCAATATGGGTAAATTCAACAACAGTCTTTGCTCTTGTTAATCCTATCTCTGTTGTTTCTTGTTGAACAGTTTCTTTAGCGGTATATAACAGCTGTGCATAACGATTGTTTTGAGATAGAAATTCACCAATTTTGCTAATGTCGTCCTCAAGTTTATTATATTCTCCATCGTTTTGAAGAACACCTCTAAGCAATTCAAGATGACAATTTGGAGCTAAGCCTGGAGCTAATGTAGAAATTTCTACAACTTTCTCTTGTCCATCTTCTTGAGCTATCAAACCATCAACTCTATGGAACAAACTCCCGTTGGTAGTCATTGGATAAGTTCCATCTCTCGAATCACCAGTACTGTTAGAACCCAAATATGATGGCGAAAGAATTGTATTGATTGTTCGAGAATATTTGGACGTGATTGGATCCAAGAAGATATCCTTCATGTACTGTGGAGCTTCTTTGAATATCTCACCGAGTAAAGCTTTGGTCCTATAACAGCAAAAAGATGGTAAATCAGCAGTGATAACGAGTGTATGATAACAATCGCAACACTTTTCAAGATCACTTGAATTTCACTCCAAATTCCGTGGCCTCCCAGGTCTCCATTGTTGTCGTTCATAAACTGGATCATCACTCTCATTAAAACCGTTGGTGGCATGCCCAATGATGTGTTCGAAGTCGGGATCATGGCCAAAAGTACCATCACACCTAATTTCTTCCGACGCTCTTTCGGCTACCTGAGCTGCATTTCTTCGTCCACCTCTCATTCTATCATCCACGGTTCCATTGTCAGGTCCAGGTTCGGGAAATGGCTCAGCTAATGGCGGCTGTTGTGGTACACCTCTGATCTCTACAGGGGCATTCTGTGACAAATCTTGGAGGCGTCTTCGCTCGATACCTTGGTCTCATACCAGCTCAGTTGGTCTGTCTCAATAACTACCGGGTCTCCTTGTTGTGTCGTACCACCATTCGTTTGAACTTGCCGCTGTGGTTCTGGATTAGCCGCTGATGTTTGCTCACCAGGCTGAGGACGTCGTTAGAAGGTTCCATGAAGAGTTCTTTGGAGTTTCTTTGGAGTGTCTTTGGAGTGCCTTTGGTTGTCACGCAGCCATTCCTCTTTATTGGCTTAATCTTTAGTTTCTGGCCATTGTTTGGTGATGTTTTCAACGTTGTGTATAAAGCTGTGTTTGTTTTGTGTCATTTTGTGTTGATAAGAATTCGAAATGTAAACAATACCTACAAAATTAGAAAACATCCTTACATTTTTACTATTGCTAGGGCAACGAAGAACCAGAATTACACAGATAATACAACACGTTGTGAGTTATTCTAAAACAACCATTGATCCAATTAAGCTCAAAGTCAGCATACATGATGATATGGATAGGTTCTTTTGCTTTCCTCGTCAGTTTTTGCAAATTGCGTTTCGTTGCTGAGATATAAAGCAATTTTATGAGTTTTTTCTAGTTATACCATACAAGCCATGAATGGCTATATCTCGGAAACCATTAAAGATTACATTCCCATACTTTGCACATCTCTTATTGAGAGTACTAGCCACAATTTGGTACTAGCTACAATTTGGTACACTTTGGGGAATTTGAAGTGGGGTTTGCTATTTTTACTACTATCATTCTAACTAGTCCTCATCACTGGTTTGCGGAGGTTATCTGCAGCTCGTCTGCACCTTCCTATGCAGCTCGTCTCGACCTTCCTCCACTAATTTGGAGAGCATCAACCAGCTAAGCTCGGTAATCCTCCACGGATGTGGTTGTTATATAAAGAGACCTGGCTCATAGATGGCAGTAACGTATGATCTTTGCCTGTGATTAGGCTACAGAGATAACCAACAAGATAGAAAGAAGGAATGACACTGAAAGTTTCTATTGCCATTGATCGTGGTGGAACGTTCACAGATGTGATCTACAAAGTAGGCACTGTGGAAAAGACGTTCAAGCTTCTGTCCGTTGACCCTGATAACTACGAGGATTCGAACATCGAAGGTATCAGGAGGGTGCTGGAGGATGTGACTGGTGCGCAGATTCCGAGGGGACAGTTGCTGGACACCAGTGCTATCACGTCTATCCGTCTAGGCACCACAGTTGCAACCAATGCGCTGTTGGAGAGGAAGGGAGAACGCTGTGCACTCGTGACCACCAGGGGGTTCAGGGATTTGCTGCACATTGCTGACCAGTCACGTCCAGACCTCTTCGCCTTGAACATCGTGAAGCCTGGTGTGTTGCACGAGTGTGTCGTCGAGGCAGACGAGAGAGTTACGATGCCAGCATTCACTGTTGACCCTACTGGATACGATGCCAAAGACCTTGTTGACGGCGAAAGATATGTCCTGGGGAGAACAAATGAGGTGTTTGAGATCATTCAGCCATTGGACACCGTGAAGCTGGAGAGTGACCTCATCAAGCTCAAAGAAGCCACTGGAATTGAGTCTCTGGCCATTGTGTTTGTCCATGGTTTCAACTTCCAACGTCACGAGAAACTCGCTGGTGAGATTGCTCGTAAAGTTGGTTTCAAAAATGTCTCTCTCTCACATGAGATTCTTCCTGTCTTGAAGATGGTTCCACGAGGACAATCTACCGTTGTTGATGCGTACCTCACCCCAATAGTCAAGGATTACATCTCACAATTCCTCAAGGGACTCAGACCTGACTTCGCCAGGTTTACAAGGATAGAATTCATGCAATCAGATGGAGGCCTGTGCAGCTGGGAGAACTTTTCAGGTCTTAAATCTCTACTCTCTGGACCTGCTGGTGGTGTTGTTGGTGAAGCAAAGACGTCGTACGACAAGATGCCAATCATAGGCTTTGACATGGGTGGAACAAGTACCGATGTTTCTCGTTTTGGAGGCCATTATGAGTTCTCCTTTGAGAATGTTATTGCTGGCATCAAGCTGGCTGCTCCTCAGCTGGACATCAACACTGTTGCAGCTGGTGGTGGATCAATTCTTTCTTACAAGAACGGAGTGTTCACAGTCGGTCCAGAGTCTGCTAGTGCACATCCAGGTCCTGCTTGTTACCGTAAAGGTGGGCCTCTCACAATCACAGATGCTAACCTGTTTACTGGAAGAATAGTTCCACAGTTCTTCCCGAAGATATTTGGGCCTAATGAGGACCAACCATTGGACGTTGAAATCACTCGCCAGAAGTTCCAAGAGCTAGCAGATATCATCAATGCTGACAACCCGGAGATGGACAAATCAGCTGAAGAGATTGCACTCGGTTTCCTGAAAGTGGCCAACTTCCAGATGGCCAAGCCCATCAGGGAGCTGACAGATGCCAAAGGCCATGATATCAGAAAGCACGCATTGGCATCGTTTGGTGGTGCTGGTGGCCAACACGCCACTTCCATCGCAAAGGTGTTGAAGATCAACAAGGTTCTCATTCACAGACATTCTTCAATCCTGTCTGCTTATGGTATCTCTGTTGCAGATTTGGTTCACGAGGAACAGCAGCCTGTTTCGGAAGTTTACTCAGAGGCAGCAAGAGATAAGCTCATTGAAGACTCTTCTATGTTGTTACAGAAGGCAATTGATGCACTGAAAGCACAAGGTTCCAATGAACAGTCCATCAAGTCCACACTATTCTTCAACATGGGATACAAAGGCTCCGACACCAGAATCATGATTCCTCAACCTGAAGATGGAGACTTCTTGTCAGTGTTCTATGCCACTCACGAGAGAGAGTTTGCATTCAATGATGCTGAGAAGGACGTTCTTGTTTCTGACGTCCGTATTAGATCTGAAGGTAACGCGGAGTTGGCCATGTCGAAGGAGCCATCACCATTTGACGAATCCTTTAATACGTTTGAGGTCGACAAGTCAAAATCAAAGATTACTACCAAGATAGTGTTCGATGAGGGTGTTCTGGACTCTCAAGTGTTCTTCCTGAACGAGCTTACCACGGGCAATGTTATCCACGGCCCTGCTATCATCCTGGACTCTACTCAAACAATCCTTGTGACTCCCGACTCCAAGGCAACTATTCATCCGAGACATGTTGTTCTGGATGTTGAAGTTTCCACTGTTAGAGACAACGTCTCAACCGAGCATGTTGACCCTATTCAGCTTGCTATCTTTGCCAATAGATTCATGTCCATTGCAGATGAAATGTCCAGAACACTACAAAAGATCTCTGTTTCCGCAAACATCAAAGAGCGAATGGATTACTCTTGTGCTCTGTTTGATAACCAAGGTAACTTGTGTGCCAATGCTCCTAATGTTCCTGTCCATCTAGGCTCTATGTCTTCTGCTATTAAGTATCAATTGGACCATTGGGAAGGCCAGCTGAAAGAAGGTGACATCTTATGTACCAATTCACCATCTGTTGGTGGTACACATCTTCCAGATATCACCATCGTTTCGCCTGTATTCCATGATGGGGAAATCCAGTTTGTTGTTGCATCTCGTGCACATCATTCTGAGATTGGTGGCTCAGCTCCAGGTTCCTCCTCTTCATATGCCCGTGAGATCTACGAAGAAGGTGTTAATATTGAGACCTGGAAGATTGTTGATAATGGAAAGTTCGACGACGAGGGCTTGGTTCACCACTTCTCAGAGGTTCCAAGGACGTATGGCGTTTCTGGTACTCGAAACATTGATGATAATATCTCTGACTTGAAGGCTCAAATCGCTTCAAACCAACGTGGTATCAACTTACTCAAGGAGCTATTCAACGAATACGGCAGTGAAACTGTGCTTTTCTACATGAGAAATGTGAAGAAGACTGCTGCTATTGCTGTTGAGAACTTCTTGAAAGAGTTTGCTGTCAAGAACAAGGACCGTCTTCCACTTGTTGCTGAAGACTATATGGATGAAGGCACCAAGATTTGCACCAAGATCGACATCAATCCTTCGACTGGCTCCATCGTTATCGACTTTACTGGAACTTCTTTAGAGTCTTACAGTAACTTGAACTCTCCAAAGTCGGTTACCTTTTCTGCAGTCATCTATGTCTTGAGATGTTTGGTTGACATGGACATTCCATTAAACCAGGGATGTCTTGATCCTGTTGAAGTTATAATTCCTGAAAACACACTGATCAATCCTTCACCTTATGCTGCAGTGTGTGCTGGTAATGGTATGACTTCTCAAAGAATCACAGACTGTCTCTTCAAAGCCTTTGGTGTCACCTCTGCCACTGGTGGATGTATGAATGGACTGAACTTTGGCACTGGTGGATATAACGAAAAGGGTGAAATGGTTAAAGGTTTCGGTTATACCGAGACAATTGGCCAAGGTAACTGTGCTGGTATACTAGAGAAGAATGGTGAAAGATATGGATTCCATGGGTTTTCTGGTACTCAAACAAACATGACGAATACCAAGATCACTGATCCTGAAGTCTTGGAGCTGAGATATCCATGCTTCCTGATACAATACACCGTCAGAGAGAATAGTGGAGGTAAGGGCAAGTTCAACGGTGGTGATGGACTCATCAGAGAGATCCAGTTCAACTCACCTGTCCACTTATCTCTTGTCACTCAAAGAAGAGTATTTGCGCCATGGGGAATCTATGGAGGTGAAGATGGTAAGAAAGGTGAAAACTTCTTAGGTAGAAACAGAGGCAACGGTGTGATTCAGTGGATCCAGCTGCCATCGCTGGCTGAGATTGAGATCAGAAAAGGTGATATTCTGAAACTTCTGACCCCAGGTGGTGGTGGGTTCGGAAGACCTGAGGACAGCGACGAGTTCTGGGGGCTGACCAAGTCCAGCGAGAAGATGAAGAAGAGAGCTTTCCTTCCACTCAGTGGAGGAACTGTTGGTAAAATCAAGGAAGCCACGGACTCTTCTCAATAGATTGGATGGCTTGTCCTGGATGTATAGTACTTTGAATCTACAAGTGTCTTTCCACAACTCACAATCCGTCGTAGTCCAATGGTAAACCTCTTGTGAGAACAACCAACAATACGACAAAGCTCCACCGTGCTGTAGATAACACCGTCCTAGATTAGTGTAATTGACCCAAACTCATCACCTGAAACAGCATGAGTAAGTGTAACTAACCAGATCATACACCATTCCACCCCCTCTCTGCGACTTCACACCTCACTGACAAACATCCTACACCCGTGTAAGCTCCTCCGATGAACAAGCTATCCCAGATGAGGTAAAACACCCACTCTTCTCCCACAAGCTTCCCATCTGCTATAGCAACGCTCCGCTTATCTACTTCTCGTCTGCACCTTCCTCCGGGAAAACCAACCACCGATCCATCGGAACTATGCATACACCCGGACACCAATCCCGCACTGGTCAGCCCGTCAGTCACACACAACTCAACATCACTCGCAATGAACCTCGTAACGACTTGAACAGTTTCACGGTTACTCCACCAGTGGAGTATACCCGGAATAAAGGATGCCAGTAGTGGAGTGTCACACCCTGTTTTAGGGTGTTTGCGTCCGTTTAGCGGTGCTTTAGTTCCCATCGTCTGGGCCTTCCTTCTCGTTTTCCCAAGACCGGAGCGTGTGCTGTGTGAGATTGATATGCGAGAAGGTGCAGACGAGGTTTGGTGAATCATCCAACAAAGCCTGGGGATCCACCTGCAAAGTCTGTGTCGAACTTATCACTTATCACGTCTGTTCTCCACATCTTGTGCTTCAAGTTGTTGAGGAGGCCGACGATATAAGAAGGCGTAGGGAAGCACTTTGGTGTTTCTTCATACCTCATACCAATAATCAACAATCAGTTATCAGTTAACGGTTGAAGAGAGTGGTAGAAACCATGGATCCTGTTAAATCCCAATCACCAAGTTCAGTCTCCATGACTAAGGAACAAGGCACCGTCAAAGAGAGCGCTCTCCCAGAGGTTGTTCTGGATAAACCAGATGACGCAGCGATCTTTCTCGCTGAACACGATGGTAAATATGAACCTCTGACTCCAGAAGAGGAAAAGAAGGCCATCAGAAAGACCGACTGGATTCTGTTGCCATGTCTGTTCTGGACTGCGACATGGGGTGCCGTTGACAAAGTTTCTCTTTCCACAGCAGCTATCTTTGGATTGAGAACCGATTTGAACCTGCACGGACAGCAGTACAGTTGGTTATCATCAATATTATTCATTGGTTCTCTGGTTGGTATGTGGCCAATGTCCATAATGGTGCAAAAGTTTAGAACTGGTAAAGTTCTGGCATGTGCTGCTGTCGGATGGTCTGCACTTACTTTGTTACAATGTTCCTGCCACAACTTTGCTGGATTGGCAAGCTTGAGATTTCTCATGGGGTTTTTGGAGTGTGTTATTGTCCCTGGTTGTTCTTTGATGATATCTGTGTTCTACAAGAAGTCTGAGTCACCACATAGAACAGCGTTGGTGTTCGCCTTTGGCTCCTCCATCATCAACGGTGCGCTCTCTGCTCTGGCTTCTACCTTTGGCAGTGCAATTCCAACTTGGAAGTACATCTACCTCCTTGTCGGCTCCATCTCCTTTGTCTGGTCGTGCTGTATGGTCTGGTTCCTACCAGACTCTCCAATCAACTCCAAATGGCTATCAGACAGAGAGAAAGTGTTCATGGTGAAGAGAATGGCCTCCAACAAAACTGGTGTTTCTTCAAACGACTTCAAATGGGACCAGGTCCGCGAGGCTTTCATGGACCCACGTACCTACATCGTTATGCTCTTCAACTTTGGCATCAACATTCCAAATGGTGGACTGTCCACCTTTAATGCCATTATCATCAAGAATTTGAAATTCACCTCAGTTCAGGCATCTCTTATGGGCATGCCAACCGGTGTGATTGCATCGTTGGCAGCGTTCGGCTTCACCTGGCTCGCTGCCAGATGGAACAACAAGCGTTGTCTTGTTGCCATTATCTCACTTGTCGTCCCACTCATCGGAGCCGTGATCTGTTACGCTTCCCCACAGAGCAATACAGGCGCTCAACTAGCTGGCCTATACATGATGTACTTCTACTTCTCCTCCTACGTTGTGATGATCTCTCTTGTCCAGGCTAACACCGCAGGCAACACCAAGAAAGCAGTGACGTATGGATTCAACTACCTCGGTTACGCCGGTGGTGCGATCACAGGCACTCAGACCTTCCGTACAAAGGATGCTCCAAAATACAGCGTTGGATTCGCCAGTATGATGGTTGGATACTGTGTGTGTATGGCTCTATCAGCACTGTACTGGGCTATCTGTATTTTGATGAACAAGAAGAAAGAGAAGAAGATGGAAGCTGCCGGCGAAGTTGAAGATCAGTTACAACTTGATGGGCTGGAGGATGAAGAGGTGGCGGACCTGACCGATTACAAGCAGTGCCATTTCAAGTACACCACTTGAATATATAAGAGTTACTGGTTTAATTCAGATATTCCTTTGTGTTTTTTCGGAAATTGATGTATACTTAACAGTGCTGTTTGTTTGATTGTTGTGTTGATTTCCTTCTGTAGGCGCCAGCATCAACACATAGAAAACAAACAACAACAACGTCAACACATAGAAAACAAACAACAACAACGTCAACACGTAGACAACAACCAACGGCGGCAGCACAAGGTTGAGAGTTCTGGGATCCCAAGCTTGGGCGGTTGGTTCTAGATCACCAAAGGTCCATTTCACGCTGAGGTTTGACGCAGCGGTACTCACCAGAGGACGAGTTTTGCCTAATGAGCCACGGCGGCGCCATTAGAAGAGTGCCACGAGAGGACAAGAACAATGACCGTGCAGCACAACGACACGTCGGAGAACAACGTCTACGCAACAATGTGGTCCATTCCGTACTGGCTCGGGTAGGGCAATGGCTTGTTCACGTGTCGTACCTGAAGCGTGCAGATCAACACATCAACGACAACAAGAGTAGGGCACATGCGAGGATGCCATTCCAAGCAGCAGCTCTCACATGATGGTGTTACCTGGTGGGAGGTATCCAAGATCGTTACTTCAAGACCCTGGATGACGACTATGGAGGCAGTTTGCTCCATTCATCAGGGCAAACAGAGCCATTCTACCCAATCTCCTCGCAGTGCATCGTACCGTCGCAACGTCACTCAGGCGGACCAGGACATCAGATCCCATTTCACAGTCTGGTCAAGTCACAGCAGAGTTGATGGGCACCGTTATTAGCCCAATTCGCACAGCTGTGTGGTGCGTTTGACACAGAGGCAAGACGCATTGGTCCATAGCACAACGGTTACTGTAACTTGCACCAAGTCGCCGTATGATTCACCAACATCGGAGTCAAGCACGCAATGAGCTGAGTCGTGGACGGCCCCAGCATCGACTGATGACTAGCAACACAGCGACATGCCGAGCGTTGGGGGCTCATGCGTTGACTCGGCGAGTCTCTCGCTCCTCTGAGCCATGCTTTGGTCCTGCTCGGTGAAGGCATCTCGTTCATCATCGATGTGCGAATCAAGGGTCCAGCGGTGGGCATCTACAGCCAAGAGGCCTACAATGCCCAGCGTGTGTGCCCGGTGTGTGCCCAGTGTGTCTGCCCGGTGTGTCTGCCCAGGCAAATGCCTGCCCAGCGTGTCTGCCCAGGAAAAGGCCTGCCCGGTATGTCTGCCCAGGAAAAGGCCTGCTCCCCTGCCTACAGCGCGCCCGCCCACGCACAAAAACACACACATTGCAAGGCCCCGGCTGCCGCTCAAGGAGCTTTCTCTCCTTTGGCGAGCAAGAATCCTGACGTTTACGCCGAGAAGCGGCTGACCAAAGGGTAAATTTCAGAACACAAACAGCACAGAAGCCCGCTTCACGGGCGGATGACGTCTGCGTTATTCGTGTGCTTCCCCAACCGTTCCGCGTCTTATCGCACGTGTTGCCCACAGGGGAAATTAACGATAGTTTCAACAGCATCAGCGAAAACGTTTTGGTTTTTTTTTGCCGTGGAGCACCACAGCGAACTCCCATGCACAGTTGGTTTATTAGCCATTTTACGCCGGACAATTGGCAATTCTGACTCCCCCACGGGCACAGACAGCTATAACACGTATACACACATACACACGGTGGGCGAATAGACGTTTGGACAAACACAGAGGTTGTGGGAGCTTAAAGTTTGTGCATTTTTCGGAAACTTTGCAACAGTTGTGTTACAGTTAATACCCACAAGAGAGAGAGAGCTTGGTGAAACCCTTCCACCAGGAGAGAAAGATTACAGTTAGCAAGGACAGGTGTCGCACAGGAATTGGTTACTTTGTGTTGTCCGTTTGCTGCTAGCCATTATAACCGTTTGACAAAGAGCAGGAGAAGGAGCGTGAGCTTGAGAACTTCAGCATCACTCTTGCACGGGACTACAAGGACGAATCATTTTGACTCAGTTGCTTCAATTCACACATCACTAAGAACCTGGCCCCAGGTATTGATACAACTGTCTTACATAGAAAGGATAGATGTAAGTCTCCACAGATGTTTCACTGCTGATTCCATGCTCATATACTGACCACAACCGTATAGGAAATTTGGTAAACATTTAGAGTCCAGGCAGTTGGAACTGCCCGAGTACGTTGGACATTTCATCAACTATAAGGCTCTGAAGAAGGTAAGTTGGCCCTAATAAAGCGATACAACGAGTTCAAAATACTGACTGGAGGATTCCTTCCCCTTAGCTTATTAAGCAACTGGCTGCTGTTCCACAGTTTGACAACAATGGTGCAGACCTTGCTGACGTTGAGCGTCTCCTACAGGAGAATAAGACGTCCTTCTTCTTCAGATTGGAGAGAGAATTGGAAAAGGTGAACTCCTTCTACCTCGAGAAGGAATCCGACCTTCAGATCAGACTAGATATCCTTATAAAGAAGAAGAACGATGCGGTCACGAAACACAGATTGGGTTCGAAGACTTCAATTGCTTACATTACACTGTACGATGGGTTTAAGAGGTTTTCTAGAGATTTAGACAGACTGGAACAGTTTGTCGAACTAAACCAAACTGGATTCTCTAAAGTATTGAAGAAATGGGATAAGCGTTCCAAGTCGCACACCAAAGAGTTATACCTTTCAAAAGCTGTGTCTGTGCAACCTGTGTTTAACAGGTCAGAGATTTCACAGCTGAGTGACCTCTGTGCAAATTCGTTGGTTGAGTTGGATGCAAATGCCGAAGGTGAACACGTTGTCCGTTACGACTATGAAAATGGCAGTATCGAAGCGAAAACCACCTATTCCGATATTTCAAAGCTACACGTGAGTTCAGACGCTTCGTTGGCACAGGCAAATGATACTCAACCAAAACAAGAAGTTGACGACTTTGAAATTGACGAGTTATACTCGGAGTTTTTGAACATTGCTAATTCATCAACCGTGAACTCGTTACTAGTTCCATTTGTTTCGAGGGTGAAGAATTCTCACAATGCCTCTTACAAGCTCACAAAAATTTTCTTCTTGTCAATAACTACAAAAGTCTCGGATGAAACGTTGTCGAGCTTTTACGACTTGGCAAGCGACTTGATCATATTGTCAACGACGGACGACTTGTCCCAAAGAAGCATCATTCATGAGGCTTGTTGTAACGTCTTTGAGAAGAGAACCTTCATCATCGAGCTTGGTATCAAGAATGCCTTGAACTTGAACTCAAAGGATATTAGTGGCCGTATCCCATTACACTACGCTGCAGAACTTGGTAGAACCGATCTCATTGAATTGCTCTGCACATCAGATGACACTCTGAACTATTTGAATAAGCTGGACTATGATGCCATGTCCCCATTGATCTTGGCGATCGAGAAGAATCACCTGGACACGGTCAAGTCACTCCTACAGCTCGGTGCTGACCCGGCACCAACAAATTCAGAGACAAACCCACAACATTTGCCATTGAACGTTGCATGTAAGTCTGGTAACTACGAGGCTGCTGAATTGTTACTCACGCAGCCAAGAGTGAAAGATTTTCAGAAAGATGCCGAAGGGCTACTGCCACTGCACGTGGTTGCTAAAACAGGGAATTTCAAACTGGTTCCATTGTTAACTGAAAACGGAGCCGACCCAAATTCCTTAGATGGGTTCAACAAATGGCCTGCCATTTTCTATTCTGCAAGTGAAGGACACCCAAGAACCACTGCTGCTTTGATCAAAGCTGGTGCTAAGATTGAGGTCAAAGATGAAGAAGGATTCACTCCCTTGTTCTATGCGTCTTGGGAAGGTCATGTGAGTGTGTTGAATGTGTTAATTAATGCTCTCCAAGAGAATCAGAACAATAGAAACCTACTGTCTCCTTTGAAGGAGATGAACAATACGTCCCTCTCTCCGGTTGTGCAACCACCGAGTTTCTCCCTCAATCCAGAAGTTATGAGCATAGATGTTATTCCGGACTTGTCTCTTCCTCCACCAATTATCCCATTGAGAAGATACGGTCATAACTTTTTGGAGAAGAAAATTATTCTACAGCTACACTTCCATCTGGGTAGGGACTCCATCAGCCTGAACCAAGACGAAGTTATCTCTTCACTGCCGGGTCGTATTGTCATCAGCTCCCGAATTAGTGATGTGGTCCCAAGAAACGTTCTCTTACCAGTGGCTGACACTGACAGTACCGTTGCCTTTCAAATTGACTCGTTGGATGAATTCACCATTGACTTTGAGATATTCCCATCCTTTGGAACAAAATTGATTGCAAAGACATCGGCTCTGTCCAACGTGTTCAAGACCGTAAGCAATGATGGGCTATCCAATAGTGTTGTTCTCCCTCTATTTGATGGTCGTCTTAAGAACGTTGGCGAGTTGAGCTTCAACTTCCAGGTTATTCACCCTTACTCTGGTGAGCCTTTGGAGATCTCCAAATATGATACGTATTGGAAATCCACTAGTGGTAACAACACAAGGGTACAGAATTCTGTGTTGAGTTTTGTCACGGCCTCCTCGTTGTCTGGTGATTACGCAAAGATCAACGTCTGCATGTTGTCTGATGGTACACCAATTGTTTGTCCAAGTTGGAATCTGGAAATTTTGGGAACCAAGCTACCACTGTTCCAATTGTCTGTTGATCAGGTTAAACAGCTAACAAACTATAATGTTGACAACTTCATTATACCCGAGACAGAATCTAAGAGTGTATTCTACAAGAACTTGAATGCTCTGCTGTCCAAGAACTATATCTTGTTTGACGATTTCCTCAGTCTTGTTCCAGAGAAGGTGGGTCTTGATGTTGAAGTGCTGTACCCAACTGAAGCTGAAGTAAAGGATATCCCACTGACGTTGCCCGATATATCTGATCTGAACGAATTCACAGATAACGTCTTGACCATTGTTTTTGAACACGTTCGTCGCTCACGCTCTCATAACGTTAAACGTACGAGATCCATCGTGTTTTCATCGAATAACCAAAGCGTTTGCTCAATCTTGAACTGGAAGCAGCCGAACTACCCCGTGTTCTTCAGCGTAAGTGGTGTGTGTTTCCAAGAGGATAAGTTTGTCATCAATTCTGCCAATGGCTTCCCTACAGGGGTTGTCAGCGATGAAGACACGACCACACGCTCTCTTAAAGAAGCTACAAACTTTGCCACCTTGAACAACTTGCTGGGTATAATGGTTCCATCAGAACTGCTTGCCCTTGTTCCAGACCTTGTTGACAGCATAAGGTCCAGAGGCCTTGTACTTGTTGCTTCCAAGAAGGGCATGAAGGACTTCGAGATTGCAGATGATGCACAGGTCTCATTGATCAAAGGCGACATCAACGGATTCAGATTCGAAGACACCTTGAGCTTCAAAGGGAACATCGACATGTAATTATTATGCTATGCTAATGAATTAAAGGAAAAAAAAGATGTATTTGCTTATTTGAGACTGGTGTTATGTAGGTTGCTTATATTCACCAGGCAATCTTTGCTAAGAACGAGCTTGGTCTCATCCTGTTGTTGTACTTTCTGAGCTCATCCCATATCATCAACAAGGCACCAAAGGCGCACGCTATGAGATAGTTCTTCCATGGGACAACCCCCGTGCCGATGTTCTGTTGAAACCATGGAATATAGTTGAAGAAGAAGGTGACTCCAAGCGCAAAGCACATTGCTGGGATCATGGCCAGGTTCTTTGTTTCACCGTGGATTGGGCTTTGATGGAATACACTGGCAGTCCTCGTTCTAACACACATCAGATTGAAGAGTTGCAAGATGACCAGTGTTACGAAGTATATGGATGAAGCTGTGCTCAACAGCCTAGCCACCTTTTCTGAGTCTATGCCATCAGGGTACTGTCCGAAGGACATCACCAATGCAGAGAATGGCACACCGTGCTCCTGGTAGTAAAGAAAGGACATCATCATGGCAACGAAGGTATCATATGTTCCAACGATGAAGTAGAAGTTCAGCAGAAGCTTCCAGTCGACGATTGTTTCTCCAGTGATGCTCCTTGGTTTCTTTAGAAGGAGTTGCTTCTCTGGCTTTTCATAGGCCAGCGTTATGGCAGAACCACAGTCAGTGAGACAAGAGATCATTATCATACAGAACGACGAGAGCATCTGTGGTGCGCCGAATAGAACGTTGAACAGGACAGCCCACAGCTCAGCAAATGTGCCAGCAGGAAGGAGGTAGGCAATGGTCTTTCTCAAGTTCTCAAACACCAAACGACCATACTTCAAAGCCATGACGATTGATGAGAAGGAGTCCAGAAGAACAAGATCAGCCGATTCCTTTGCAATGTCAGAGCCTTCAGCCATGGCTATACCGACATCTGCCTGTCTCAAAGACGGTGCGTCGTTGACACCGTCACCAGTCATAGCAACAACATGGCTTCTCTTTTGAAACTCCTCAACTATCTTCAGCTTTTGCTCTGGAGTAGTTCTGGAGAAGACAATCTCTGCGAAGCAGGTCAGGTGTTCCCATTGGTTGTCATTCAGGTTGTTGAGATCACCACTGCGGATTGAAATTGCCTCATCAATGACCCTTCTCTCAGATAGACGGCAGTTCACCATCTCAAACTGTGGGTCCAGGGTCTCCATTGTGTTGATGGTAGTGTGAGTGACGATACCACACATACGGGCAATTGCAATGGCTGTTGGCTCCATATCGCCTGTGACCATGTTCACTCTGATTCCAGCATTGTGCAATGTCGTGACAACGTCCAGGATATCATCCTTTGGTGGATCAGCAATTCCAACAAGTCCAGCCAGGATGAGGTCTTGAGATTCAGATAAAAGCGTGTCTGTTGTTTCTTTGGAACTGAAGCCGCAAGAGCTGAACCTCGAGTAGGAGAGCTTCTTATAGGCCAATAGAACCACTCTTTGACCCTCACTTGCCCATTTATCCTGGATCATGTCGACACAGCGAAGATGCTCAACAGTCAATGGTAAGACATCACCATCAGCAGTGAGTATTTTGGAACACTTGTTAATGAGAATATCCGGTGCACCTTTGATCATGAACTCCAATTCACTTCCATCCTCATAGAGTCTGACCATGAACTTGTTACTCGAGTTGAAAGATATCTCGCTCTTCAATTGCATGGGCATATCCTCCTCGGAAAGCTCGTACCCAAACCTATAGATTGCTTGATCAGTTGCGTTGCCAGATATGACTCTCTCATTCAGTGGTCTTGATAGAGTTGTTGGGTCAAAGACTGAAGAATTACAGAGCTTTGAGAGTTGAGACACCTTCCATTGACCTTTGGTACAGGCTTGTGGATCCAATATGGCACAGCCGACGGTGTGTGATACAACAGACATCTTGTTCTTCGTCAGTGTACCCGTTTTGTCTGAACATAGAACACTGACTGATCCCAAGGTTTCAACAATGTTCAACGACTTGCACAGGATCTTGTTCTTCTTCATCACTCCAGCAGTAATCATGAGACATGTGGTTAGTGCAATGGGCAGACCTTCAGGAATAAAAGAGACAAAGACTGAGACCAGATCGACGATGAGCTCTGGAACATTGATCCATTCTGGGTAATGCTTCCTGAGATATGCTCCCCAAACAATGCACACTATCACCAGGAGGATAAGCATCACCAGCACAATGCACACAACAAACCTGATAATATCTCTTTGGAGAGGACTGGTGCCCTTCTTGGGATCTGAAGAGAGTCGAGCTATCTGACCAAAGACTGTGTTATCACCAGTAGCCACAACGAGACCACAACCTGAGCCCCCAACGCAAAATGTTCCTTGCAGACCTATGGAGCATGACTCCAAGTAGTTGGAGTCCTTAGAGTCTGCTTTCACTGTGGCATGTATAGGTTTGGATTCACCTGTCAAGATTGATCTGTCGAACGAAAACTCACTTGACTCGCTGGAAACGAAACGGACATCAGCAGGCAGCCTGTCACCGTTCTTGATGAGGATCAAATCACCAGGAACCAGGTCTTTTGCCTCACAAGTGGTGAAGAGACCGTTTCTGATTGCCGGAACCGTTGATGGGATCATGCTGTTGATTGATTTCATCACCTGGGAAGACGAAAAGTCCTGCCAAAAGTTGAAGAAGGCCTGTAATAGAAAGACCATCAACAGCACAACACCAAGGACCAAGTTCGACAACGAAGGGTTTGGGTTGCCCAGTGGCTTCCAGCAGATGCAGCATAGAATTCCACCAACCATCAGCAGAAGACCAAAGCCACCAAAGAAGTAGACGATGATCTTCTTCAGCCAGTTTGTTCTCGGTGGTGATAGAACATTGGCACCGAACTCCTTACAATGCTCACGATACTGAGCATCACACAGACCATTCTTAAGATCCGTAGACAACGACCTTGCAACATCAGCTGCACTTTGACAATGCCAGGTATTCTGTTTGAACGAGCGGGCACTTTTATCAAGCTGTGACCTTTCAAGAGCCTCTGTTTCATCATCGACTTTATACGACAGAGTCTTGAAGATTGGTGGCAGAGCAACCTGTGGCTCAACATGCTTTCTGATATCAAGCGAGGACACTGTTGAGGAAACAGAGAGGTGTCTTGACAACGCTGGTCTCGGTGCTCTGCCTCCAATGTTGACGGAAGAATCGAACTGAACAGCCACATGTGAGCCTGCCTTAATGTCCTCCTCAGTCGAGTCGGACGTTTCGAACTTGCACAGGCTCTCGGACATTTGTAGAGAGGACAGTTGTATAGAGGACCTCGACGCTGAGTTCTATGATACTACACTACACAGGACGAAGCACCCACAACCACGAGACAGATCAGCTCCATTTTATACACCACGGGGAAGCTGTGTGCTGTGACTGCTATCCAACCAAGGGCTAGTTCTCTGAGGGCTAATCTCTGAGGGCTAATCTCTGAGGGCTTTCCCTGTTCTCCATGGCTCTTCCCTTCCACACTGGCCAATGAAAACCCTTCCCTGCCCCCTTTTCCCTCTCCATCCCTCCACTCGTCAAACTCCATCGCCATACAACGAGATGAACCACAGCAGTCCCACACAGGCCATCCCAGAGTAATTATTAGTCTCTACGTGTAAACCAAGGAACACCGAAACCAAAACACTGATGCATCTCGAGCATATGCCATTATGTCCATGACGTCAAACAGCGAGAAGGCGGACAGAAATTAAAGCACAGGCACACAACCGTTAAAAACCACTCGAGCAGCAGATCACAATGCCGTGATATGATTGGCCGGTGCCGTCGAACTTGCACTGCAGCAGATCGTCACCAAACTGAGGGATTTTTGTTGTGATGGAGTTGTGACTGCGATTCCATCTCATCGTGCTGGCTGTGTGCTGTGCTGTGCACCAGGCCTCTTAATCATGAGCTCAGCCCACACGTTGCTCCGTCTGGCGAGCGTAGTGTGTAGCAGCTACACACGGAGGCTTCGTAGATGCCATAGCAGTGGCAGTTTGAGCGATTTGCTCCCCGTGCTGTTGGCCAGATGTGTCACACCACTGGTGGAGATGGTGGGCAGTGGTGAGCACTGCTGCTGGGCTTGTTAGAGGCGAGGAATACACGGAAAAGAGGCGATACACAACCAATTGGACCACCAGGTGGCAGCTGGAGCACGCTGGAGCATGCTGGAGCACGCTGGAGCACGTTGGCGGGCTTCTACAGCGTTCTACAGGCTTTATAGTGCAAATCTCATCGATTCCCACGGTGTGTGTAGCGGCGATCCACCAATGGTGGCCGAAGTGTGTTGCGATTGCCCCATTGGGAAGTCAACACACACACGTAAAACTTTCACGCATACGCTGCGAAGCCTAAGACGGTGCGAGCTATAGGGCAAGCACCTTTTCAAGACTCAATTGGTGTTGATTTTTGTATGGCGATGGAGTGTTCGAGTGAGTGATTTGCCCCTTTAGACGATGTTCCTGTGTCGTTGACTTACTAACAGCACTGGCTAGTTTCCGGTAAAAGGGCTGAGCAGCCCGTGGTGTCGCCAAAGAGTGGTGCTGTGTTCGAGAAGACCTTGGTGGAACAGTACATTGCGGAACACCATAAGGACCCGATCACTGACGATCCCCTTGAGCTGACGGAGCTGATTGAGATCCGTCCTTCTTCGTACCAGCCTCCGCGTAACGGGACGCTGAATTCGATTCCGTCGTTGCTGAGTGCCTTGCAGAACGAATGGGACTCTGTAGCGTTGGAGCTGTTCCAGTTGAGGAAGCAGTTGGACCAGACGAGAAAGGAGCTATCGACTGCTCTATACCATCACGATGCAGCCATGAGGGTTGCTGCAAAGGCCATCAGCGAGAGAGACGAGGCCAGAAAGGCGTTGTCGGACCTGAGTACCTCTATCAGCCAGGCCACCACCACCACTGATGTTGCAAACGAGGATGCACAGATGAGGGATTCTGAACCATCCACAACGACCAAGATCCCTCAAGAGTTTGCTGATTTGATTCAGCAAGAGGGCACAAGACTCTTTGAGCTTCACAAATCTGTTAAAAAGCCCAAAGTTAACGTCTCACTCTCAAACGAGCTGTCCCATATATCAACACAATCGTTGGAGAAGAAACCGTTCAAATCTGTCGTTTCCACTGCCGTCACTGAGAGCGACATCTTTGTGATGTCAAGCACAGGCCTGGTGCAGAGATACGACTCTTCTTCAGACTCGTATGAAAAGGTCAACCATCCAAAGGTTGCGCACGCTCTTGCACTGGTCGATAGTAACGGCCAAATAGTTTACGGTGCCAAAAACGGACACATAGTTGCTGGTGATAGAAAGATCCAGGCTCCAATGGGAGACGTACAGATCCTTTTAGCACATCCATCGTTACACAACCTGGTGGTTGCGATTGATCCAAAGGGCTCGTTCCATGTGATTGACACCGAGCGTGGTGTCGATGTGTTTGCCCTGGAGCTTGAGAAGCCTGTCTTGTCTGCTGCATTCCACATAGATGGTGTGCTGGTCGCAGTTGGATGTAAAGACGGTGACATTGTGCTAGTGGATCTATCACAGGGAGATGTCAAGCCTTTGGCTCAAGGCTCTGGAGACGTTAATGAGGTGAAGTTTAGTAACAACGGTTACCATCTGTTTGCAGTGTACTCTGGGGATAACAGCAACAGCAGCAGCTCTCAGCTGGGTGTCTGGGACTTGAGACATCAAAGCATACAGACATACGACGTTTCGTTCCCAGTCAAGAAGGTCCTGGTCGATAAGTCTGCTCAGTTGTGTATCATCATTGGTTCAGGTCGACTACTAGTGGCTCAGTACTCGAAGAAGGCAAAGAGCTGGACGTTCAAGACCGATTTGGACGCTCCAAACGCTGTGGACGGTCTCCTGGTGGAGTCACAGGACGAGCAGCTACAATTGGTCGTCGTAACATCCAATTCTTCATTGGAAAAGATGGTTATAAGTTGAAATGGATATGTATTATATATAGCACAATGGAAAAAAGGCTAATAAATACCTAATTAGGAAATTACCGTTTGAGGAAATGACAACTCGCTTACATAATGCTTACGTAATACTTGACCTAACGCTTACGTAACTCATCGCACAAATTTTCCATGCGGGCTCATCTCGAGAAACTTTTTCCACTTTGATCTTTTACCCTTTTGAAGCAGTTTATAGAGGAATAAGTGCGGTTTGAGAGGTCGATCATGGGTAAATTCACCGGGAAGAATGGGTCAGTGGACCATGAAAACCAATCCAAGTTTGAGCGAGGCCCAAACGGTGGTAAGAAGTCTGGTAGAAGACCAAAGGACTTCAGGACAAGACAACGTATGAACAAGATTGATGACCAGTACAAGGAGGCTGTGAGATCTGCTGCTGCTACGGAGATGCTGTTGCAAGAGGATGCTGGGTACCTGGAGGCGGAAGGTATGGAGAAGACGTTCAAGTTCAAGCAGGATGAGATCAAGCAAGCAGTTGATGAGTCCACTGCCAACAAGGCGTTCCAGTTGGACTTGAAAGAGTTTGGGCCTTATACACTGGACTACTCCAGAAATGGTACCCATTTACTCATAGGTGGTGAGAAGGGCCATGTCGCATCCATGGACTGGCGTAAAGGTGAGCTTCGGGCCGAATTGCACCTAGGAGAAACAGTCAACGCCGTGAAGTATTTGCACAATGAGCAGTTCTTTGCAGTTGCGCAGAAGAAGTATACGTTCATCTACGATCATGAAGGAACAGAAGTACACAGACTGAAACAGCATGTTGAAATCAAGCACCTGGAGTTTTTGCCATATCATTATCTTCTTGCCACCAGTGGTAACTCTGGGTTTCTAAAGTACCAGGACACATCAACAGGTGTTCTTGTAAACGAGATAAGAACCAAACTGGGGCCAACGCAGTCAATGACGCAGAACCCATGGAATGCCGTTATACACCTGGGCTCAGCTACCGGTGTTGTGTCTCTTTGGTCCCCTGCTGCCAATGAACCACTCGTGAAGATCCAAGCATGTCGAGGACCAGTAAAGGCCATCGGTGTTGATAGATCAGGCCATTACATGGCCGTTGCTGGTGCTGACAAGTCGCTAAAGATCTGGGATGTTAGACAGTTCAAGGAGGTATATTCATACTACACACCAACGCCGGCGTCGAGTATATCCATCGCTGACACAGGTGTCTTATCCGTGAGTTGGGGTCCGCATGTCACAGTGTGGAAAGATGCCTTCAGAACCAAGCAAGACTCACCATATATGAACCACATGATTCCAGGATCCAGAATCAACACCATAAGACATGTTCCATTCGAAGATATCCTTGGTGTTGGTCATACAAGTGGTGTTTCCTCGCTGATCATTCCTGGCTCTGGTGAGGCGAACTTCGATTCAATGGAGGTTAACCCATTCGAGACAGCCAAACAGAGACAAGAAACAGAGGTTCGCTCGCTGCTCAACAAGCTCCCAGCAGATTCCATTGCTCTGGATCCAAACTTCATCGGTACAGTGGACAAGAGATCCAATGCTCAGAGGTTGAAACCTCATGAATTGGAAGAGCTCACCAAGAAGAAGCAACTGGAAGAAGAGTCGAAGCTGGAACCAAGACCAACTGTTAGAGGTAAGAACTCTGCATTGCGTCGTCACATGAGAAAGAGACAGCAGAATGTTATTGATGAGAGAAAGCTGAGATTAGAGGCCAATTTGAAGAGGGAGAAAGAACTAAGGGCACAGATGATTAGAAAGCAAAAGGGACTGCCAGAGGAGAAAGAGCTCCTGGGACCTGCCTTGGCGAGATTCAAGTAATTGGTATAAATTAGTGTATGGAAGACGAATCACCCTGTATTTACTATCAAGTGTAGTAGAAGTTTGACGACAGACTCTCCAAGAACTCCAGCGAGGCCTCATCACCATCGATGTTAACGGCATCCTCTGAAGACGGTGATTCGTCACCATCAAAATTCAGAAGTTGGACAGTCTTTCGAACTTCGAAAAGCCTATTGATCTGCTGATTCAGATCCTTTGAAAGCTTCGTGTAGTTCCCCAACAGCAGGTTCAAGCCATCCACCCAGGCTAGAGAGTCCGTCTTCTTAGCGAAGAACGTGAACAACGGCTTGTTCTTCCTGTTTATCAGGGTGATTCGGTGGATAACGGTGTTATCAACGAGGTTAACCATCCTTGAGTTAGTCTCATATTGACGTGAATCACCATCGGAATATGGAATCTCTGCGATTTTGAAGTGAGCAATGGAGCTCACAGGGATGGCATGACCAGACTTGTCGATGTTTGGATGACGAGGCAAGATCTTATCAAATTGCTTGAACAGCAGCTGGGTGAAGTTTGGTGACAAGATGATAAAGTAATAGCTCGAAGATGTCTGCGAAGAGTTCTTGAACGAAGGAGCCTCTGCGTACACCCACGAACCCTTAGACAGTTGTAAGAATCTTTGATGCTTAACGAAATCAAACACCTGCTCTTTCAAGATTAAGTCGAAAGAGACCATTTCATCACTGGTTGATTCATCGATATGCTCCTTAAAATTATCCAGTTGGATTTGACGGAGGTCATTGTATGTCAGCGATTTGAACTCGGATTGAATCTTCAGGCCAATATCAATCTCACCATGCTCAATAGAACCTTCAATATACTGTAAGATTATGGAGAGCAAGGGTAGCAGATTATCAACATCCTCCAGCTCGGCCTGTGACTCAATCCAAACATCGAGGAACTTTGCAATCATATTGTAATGTAAGATGTCACGAATGAAGACATTTTGACTTAGCTTGGGATACGTCTCGGTGTCTTTAGTGTACATCGACAGGATGATATCGGTGACCTTAGCAGACACAATAGAGATGGGGAATACTTGTTCCTTTTCCAGAGTGAACAGCAATTGTTGATGGTACTCCTTTTTGAAAGAAATGTTATGAGATTCCAAGAAGGAGAACAGGTCGAGCAACTGCAGCACAGAGAAATGCTCCCTGATGAACACTCTCTCATCATCTCTTGAAGTCTTTGCAAGGTCATTACAAACCTCCGAGATGATTTCATTTTGGAAGGTTGATTCGTCAGATAGTGGAATTCTGCTCAGTTTCTCTAATGCTTGAAGAATGGACTTCATAAGACCATCGATTGCAGCATGAACGTTTCCATTGAACCTCGAGTCCGTGGTGAAGTTTCCCACGAGGTAGTAGAAGTCACATTTACCCAGGGTTAAAAGGAACTCCAGTAAATGGCTCAAAGATTGAATCCCAATATGGTCAATGTTGATGTAGCTTTGCACGAAGCTGGCAATCTTGACAATAAGATCAGCGTTTCCTGTGTACATCTTCAAGGTCAGTAGGCGTAGCACGTGTCCATTGGAGTTCATAGCGTTCAAAAAGGGAACCAAATACGCTTCCTCTTGTGTTGTTTCAAACAGTCTTCCAGAGAGGAATGTTAGCAGTATCCGCAACACCGCAACATACAATTCCACAGGGCTCGACTTCGACAGAGCCTTGAGGATTCCATCAAACAACGCCTCATCGAAGAAGCCCTCGAAGCCATCGTTTGGCTTGCTCAAGTGTAGCACAACTTGAAGAGCAATGATGGCTCTGGCCTTGTCCTGGCCGTGGAGAATGAGCTCTTTCAGGTCAGATGAGCACTGCTTCGACGTTGCTTCGTCCAAATAAGTGTTGGCCAGTTTGTGCTTTTCCACAAGCTGTTCTATGCTCGTCACAGATGGTACGACAGTCATCGTCTTGCCCGTTCTCTGTCAGTTGATCGAGCAAAATGGGATGTGTTGGTAGAGTGTTAATAGTGAAAAATAGAACGTAATAGCATGGGTATTAATGTTCGAAAGACGACAGTTTTTCCCGGAAAGGGTAATGGGAATGTGACGCGTGTTTTCCAAATACGGAAGTGCGCGACGGCAATTGGCGAAGACAATTGTTTTCGCCAATATGGTCGCTATGTTCCTAATGGAGGAATGGACGTTTTGGTACTGGAGGCTTTGGAGGTTTTGGGAGTATTTGGTAACCGGTGTAGTTGGATTGGGCTTGGTGTAGCTGTGAACATGTGTGGTTTGTGTGAGTGCGTTTCTGTTTCATTCTATTGGGTATTTCTGTCCTTATATGGAGATCAATGAGGTAAAGGGCGTTGGAGGAGTTACCCGATTAGGCATATTTCGCAAAGGTTGTCCTCGAGGGAATGTGTCATATTACATCCACACACCACGATATAAAGACATGTCCTCGGATGAGCCCTCAGCAACTCAAATCAATCGATGTGAGAGGTCTCTCTTCGCTGTTGATCAGACCTCGTAATGTTAATAAACCATTCAGATGAGTCCTGATGAGCTACCAGCTCCGCTGAAATGAAATTTGTCTCTCAATAGGTGCTCAGTCGGTGCTTCAAACACCTCATGCTGCTTCCAGTCGCAATTAGCCTTCTAAGATGAGGTCTTTCAGCAGCAGTGTAAAGAGAGGATTTCGGGAACCATTGGTGCACAGTTCGTTCTTCTGAGTATTGAGAAGTGTATAAAAAGGTATGGACTTGCTCTTTCAGAACTTTTCTAATTTCTTCTGATGGCGAACCACCACCGCCCATTACTCTATCGTATCACAATGGCTATAGCACGCTTTGAGCGTAGAACGTTGTACCTTACAATATTCTTCATTGGTGCTTGTACGCTAATTACGCTGTACATGTTCACTATACTCTACGCCGCAGATGATGCAGTGGATATAAGAGCCTTGTCGGACTCTCCACTTCCAGGGACATTTATCAACAACATCACAGCAACAAACTCAACATCCAGCACCTATATCTTCAGAGCCTTATCCAGAAGAATTTACCAATATAGAAGTGTACGCACTCACAGTGCATTGGATAGGCTTGATCTGTGGTTTCAGATAGGTTCTGTACCAACAACTACGTTTGATTATAGGGTCTTCATCCAGCTAGTCCAGCCTGGTGTCTCAGAAAACTACTTGCAATCTCTCCCAAATACAAAGCCATATGTTGCCAGCATAAGGATCTTTGCTTATCTTCTCATGTTCTCCATGGCCAGCTCTTTCCTCATTCCATTGCTGATCATTTCATTTTCCACCAATTCATCCAAAATAGCTCATCATTTGGCCTATGTCACACAGCTACTCTTCCAAATCGTAACGGTCTTTCTCAGCATTATCATGCCTGCTTTGAAGAAGTATTTGTATTCAAAGATACAGTCCCCAGAAGTTTACACTGCTAGCGCTGGATTTCCCCTTTATTGGCTCGTTGCTGGTTCCAATATTACATTATTGTTGGCGAATATCGCAGTTCCCTTCTACGATCAGTTTAGCTTTGAAAGAAAAGAGAAGAAGAGGTTGGATGTGATCAGAAATGCCAATCGTATTCCAAGGATGGAGCAAGCTTAACTTACACTGGACAGTGTCGTCATTTATAATTAATACAATATATTTTGCTTATACAATGTGCTGATTATCCTATTTCTTCTTAGGTTTTTGTTTCTTGAAGTAACGTTCCTGGTCAGCTGCTCTATCACCCTTTGTCTTTTTATACCTTCTCGTAGACTCACTATCTTCTCTTGCCTCCTGCTGTTTCCTCTTCTTGCTGTTAAGCTTCTTCTTCTTGTCCTTCAAGTCATTGGCACCCTTCTTTTTATCCTTTTCAGATTCAAACCACGTTCTCTTTGGTCTGGATTGAATCTCATCTCTATATCTCAACATGTTCTCACCTTTCTTCAACTCCATCTCTGCAGCCAACATCTCCTTCTCTGCTTTCTCTTCTTCCAAGATTTCCTGTACAGTCTCATCTTTGGTTTCGATGATCTTGTTGATATCCTCAACATCCTTCCAGTTCACCTCTCTACCAACGGTCTTATTCACTCTGGAGTTTGGATTGTTCTCTGTGCTTTTAATGGCATCCTTGACGATGGCACGGTCAGATGAGCTTTCACCGACAAATGAAATGGATTTACCCTCACGACCACCACGAGCAGTACGACCAACTCTGTGCAAATACACTTCAAAGTTCTTTGGCATGTCAAAGTTGATGACGACTTCGATCTTTGGAATATCCAAACCTCTCGAAGCCAAATCAGTACAAATCAAGATTGGAACAGTCAAGTCCTTGAAGTTATTGATGGATGTTAAACGCTGCTCCTGTGTCAAAGAACCATGCAACTCTGAAACTTTGAGACCCAAGAGACCCATGATAATTCTCAACTTGTGAGCTTGTTCCTTTCTGGCAACGAATATCACAATTCTCTGGTCCTTAGTGAACTTTTTCAGTATGTTAAACAATACTGCAGGTTTTAGATGATCTCTCTTTCTGATACGGACGAATTCCTGGACCAATCCAGAAGCAGCCTGTTTTGGAGGATCAATCATGATTCTGACAGGCTTTTTCATGGAAAGTTGAACCAAAGACTTAATCTTCGAGTTCATGGTAGCAGAGAACAACATTGTTTGTCTCTTTGTTGGCAATAACTCCAAGATCTCTGTCAATTCCTTCTGGAAACCTTCTTCCAACATTCTATCGGCTTCATCAACGATCAGAATCTCCACTGAATCAACTGTGAAGGAAGAGGAGTTTCTCATATGATCGATGAATCTACCAGGCGTGGCAATGACGATATCTGGTCTCTGCTTCAGCTCTTGTTCTTGCTGTCTCAGGTTCAAACCACCAACAGCAAGACCAAATGTCAATCCATTGACGAATTTACCAATCTTCTTACCAACGTCACTGACTTGGATTGCCAGTTCTCTTGTTGGTGCAAGGACGATGACTCTGGTAGCAGCAATCTTTGAAGGTTTGAATAAGAGTCTCTCGATAACAGGAGTCAAATATGCAGCAGTTTTACCAGAACCTGTCACAGCACCAGCGATGATATCTTTACCCAGTAGGGCAATTGGGATCGTGGCACTTTGGATTGGAGATGGTTTCTGGTAGCCCAAAGCTGCCAAACCTTTTAACACTGGACGAGAAAGCTCTAGAGATTGGAAAGTCTTGTGCACTTGTTTCTTTGCAGCTTCAGATTCAACCTCTGGGGCATAGAAGTTCTTGATATCTTCAGGGGAGTCTTCTTCTTCCTCCTCCTCTCCGGATTTTTCATCTTCCTGTTCAGATTGCACTTCTTGTTCATCCTGGTCCTCATCGTCATCTTCTCCAGAGTGTTCTTCGTCATTCTCTTCGTCATTCTCCTCGTCATTCTCCTCAGCTTTCTTCACACCCATGCCAAAACCGTCCATCGCAAGTTCGTCATCATCACTGCTGTCCTCCTCCTCCTCTTCTTCCTCGTCATCGCTTAAAGACGTACCCGCAAGCTGACCCAAACCACCCTTTCTTCTAATGATGCTATCAAGGTCAACATCCTTCTTCAAGGTCTTTTCATCGCCCTTGAAGTCCCAGCCTTCAAAGTCCAGCTTGGTCTCGCCATCATCCTGGTCAAACTGGAAGTTCGGGTTGAAATCCATGTGCTCTTTATCCTCTTCTTCAACATCCTGTGCTCTCTTCTTGGACTTCTTAGACTTCTTGGACTTCTTCACCGCCTCCTGCTGCTCAACCTGTTCCTCGTCAGAGTCCAACTCCGGCACATCGGTATCCGAGTCTGAAATCGTTGGAACTTCACCGTCGATAAGCTTGAATCCCATCTCTGCTTGCCTTGATTCTCTGTTTCTTCGTAAGAAAGTAGAAGATGGGAAGAGGAAAAAGCTCATCGCATAAATTTTTCAAGCCATAGAGAATTATCGCAGATGGATTTCCCAATTCGGAGTTGCGCAACCTGGGTTCGCCAATTAGCGAATGGCAATCCATTTTAGGAAATTCATGGAAAGCGCAAAAAAACCAGCGAAGAAAACACGATGAAATTCTACAATGGAGCTGAATTAATACTCACTCAGCTCTCCAATTGGGTGCCGACGATCCGCAGATTTCGATCACACAATGCTTTCAAACGTGAGACATTGGTTCTCTGGGTTTTCCAGGCTTCCATCGTTGATGAACTCTCGGTATGACCAGTCTTCTCCTTGGACTCTGGCCAAACAGATTATCATTCTACAGGTTTTCTACTATGCCACAGCCATTGTGCTGTGCTACCTGTTGGCCCTGTTGTGGGGGATTGATTTCCTGTTTGAATGGGTGTTCAACTGGAAGCACATCCATATCAATAACACGTTCGGCGTGTATCTCATAGGGATGTGGCTGTTTGACTCGTTCCTATGCGTGGTGTTCATGACCATCATCGTTGGCCGTAGTAAGCTGGCCTGGGATTTTGCCCTGACGTTGAAGTTTATCGACTTGGTTGTTGTTTGCATCTACAGCTCCAGCTTCCCTTCGTCCATTGCCTGGTGGCTGTTGCAGATTGGGTCTGCTATTATCCTCGTTAGCCTTGGAACCTCGACTTCAAGATGGGCAGAGCTACGTGACACTTTCTTCACCGGGTTAAACGACGCTGAGCTAGGCCAGAGCCATGAAATGCGCAACTTGGAGGCCCCAACCACTACCACGACACCTGCTGCTGCTTCATGATTCGCATTTCCTGCATAGTATATATTGTACTGTATGTACTTTTCACAATCAGCTAATCTACAACGTTAGAGATTGAAAGCATTCATTAGCACCAACAGCCACCATCACTCCTGTTCTGCCCAACACCGGTCTGGAATTGATCCAAGGATATGCTTGACTGTCTATGTAGCCTTGATCTTGCGCCTTTAAACGATTGAAGAGTGACATTCCAAGGTATATCACCATACTGAACTCCAAACTGAGAGTCATCTGGGTCTATCTCCTCGTATTGTAATCGTTTCCAGAGACTCTCTGCCAGTAGCTCAAACGGCTTAGAGACGTTGATGCCGTCTTTCACACTCGTCTCAACATACTGGATCCTCTCCTTATTCTCATCGCTTACACCCCATCTTGTCCATATGGCTTCAACGTCCTCGGCACTCAACCCCTGTGCAAGATCACCCTTGTTACCAACAAGTACTACACTTGGACTATGCATCAATTCCCTAACATCTTGCCAGTACTCATCCAAGCTGGCCAGAGTGGACAGATCTGCCAAATCAAACACCATTATTACCCCGGCACTGTTCCTGTAGTATGACCTCGTCAATGATCGAAACCTCTCCTGTCCCGCAGTGTCCCACAGCTGGAGCTTGATCCTTACGTCGTCTTTGGTGCAGCATATCTTCGACTTGAAGTCCACTCCAATTGTCTGAGAGATTTGGTGCTGGTCCAACTCGTTAGTTAAGTACCTGTGTAACAATGACGTCTTCCCTGTAGATGAGGGCCCAATCACAATGATTTTCGCCAGATAGTCGTAGTGTTCCCTCACAATGACCGACGGCAGCGAGTTCACAGTGTCCATCTCTCCAGACCTTCCTCCTAAGACGGTCTGGCAGCCAGCTTGAAGACCCTGTTGACGGAGCACAAAAAGGGATCACATCACTTGCGTACGTGGATGCGGAGTCTAGACCTCCCAATGCGGTAACCGTAAACATCAGCGCAAAAGTGTGTACATATGTAATAGAGACAGAAAAGTGTTAAACTATTTAAAATGGCTCTTCCTCTTCTTGTAGGCTTTCCTCTTTGTCGATCTCCCACGCTCTTCTTCATACTTCATCACGTCTCTTTTGGTGTAGCCTCTTGAGAAGACGGCCTGCGTGTGCTTCCTCTCGCAATGTCCACAGTTTCTGAACTTGATGAGCTTATCGTTGGCCAGTAGCAGCTTATAACCTTGTGATTCTTCATCCTTGGTGATGTAACGATTGATGAGGTCTCGTGAGAGGACTCGCTTACAATTGGCAGTGTGAGCTGCAACCTTTATGCCCTCTGGAATCTCCTCGCCTGTTAGGAGAACTTCGATATACGCATCGCACTTAATCTTCTTCAATTGGCATAGATCACAGCTCGGGCCCTTTCTCTGTCTTGAGGAGTTCCCAGTGATGTGAAGTAGGCGTTTTCTCTGTGTGGTATATTGTAGATCACAACGGTGTGTGCATTTGTTTCCTGGCTCATACTCAGAGGCCTCGTCGTGACAGTGTTGCTCAGCACATTCACCGGTGTGGCACTGCATCTGTAATTCTTCCTCTTCCTCATCATCGTCTTCTTGCTCGTCAGAGTGACCATTTCCAGCATCGTCGTCCAAAGAGCTCAGTGAGGACACTGACGAGGACCGTGTGCTGTGGCCATCCGTCACCTGGGAGAATACAGAGTCTGAAGACAGTGATCTAGGCGTAGCATCAACGAGATCACTTATGCTTATCCTTCTATACCTGTACTCGCCCTGGTTCAGCTGTTGTAGTGCGGTGACATCCGCAGTTGTCAGCTGCACGCTGCTGAACCTCTGGTAGCTTGTTCTGCTCTCGAAGGCCGTGTGCAACGGTGGTAATAACACCGGTATCGAGGAGTGTCCCTGTATTATGTACGACATTATGGCCCGGCACTGCTATACACCTTACACATCAATATCAGACACACAGAGGGGAATTGAAGCTGGCTATATATATACGTACAAATTTACAATCCTCGTCTCGCCACATCGGCAAGGAATCAGACGCATCTTGGGCTTAGTTCTAGGAACCGAATTACAACCACAGTGGTTATTTCCAACTCCGAACACCACAAGCATATGCTTTACCACCCTTGTGGTTAAAAGAGGTTATAGCAGGGCCTCTGCTGGCCCAATTGCCAGGCACTGATACGCCCATCACAACCTGATCAACACACCGTTACCCTCGTCAACCACCGTGTCACCATCTACTCGCATTCTCCAACCATTGGCGGTGTGAGTGTTAACAGAAGGGCGTTGTCGATGCCGCAATGTCGTGATTACGTGTGCGAATTATGCATGGCACGCGCACGCGCGTTGGCTGTCAAATCTATGACACAGAACAATAGAAGAAAGCACCGAAGAAAGCGATGCTCGAGACTCAATTGATCCATACGTAGCAGGCCCAGTGGCCTGCTGTGTGCCTTCAATTGGCTCAGCGAAAGCGGCGTGGTGCCCCCGTCTCTCACACTGTGTATCATCACGTATATATGTCCGCATCATGCTGTAGTTGAATATCATCATGCGTTAGTGTCTCTGTAAATCTTTGTGGAAGTACGCTGATAACCACAAAGAAAGCGGAGTTGTGTAGAGATGGTAGTTCCAGTTGAGTGCGAGTTGGTGCGAGTTGGTGTGAGTGTGTAGCAGGAAGCAGCAATGAGCTCTGTCAGAAGTAGTTCGCCTCTCAAGCTCAGAGAACGGGTGTCGCACTTGTTCAGGAGAGATGCCAGCGCAGCTCGTGAGACAGCACTGGTGGGCGTGGCCAGTGGAGGCCATGAAGGGGAGGAGTTCCCGACGCTCTCATCCACCGAGATTAGATTGGACGAGATGACCTTGCTGAACACGTTGAAGAACCAGCAAATCTTATCAAGGGAACAGGAGATAGTGCTGAAGGTTACACAGGAGCTACGGGAGTTGGACCGGCCTATTGCCAAAAGACCAGTGGCTAAGAGCTGTGATGGCACGCTGCAGTACTGTTTGAATTCACATTGGTGTCTTTGGAGTAATATCGACTTACACTTGGACACTCAGGGAGCTGGTGATAAGAGCCCTGTGCCAACATCGACGACGACGCTACAACAGGTGTTTAACACGAGGTTGGAGTTGGACAAGGCTATACAAACGTGTTCACGTGTGTTGGAGCAAGATGCGAGTCCCCACATCGTGGAAGTGCACTTGTTCAACAAAGCAGTTGACTTGCCATTCGAACTAGAAGGGTTGGCCTTGAAAGTACCGGGGACCATCGGCGTCAGTGCCATTGAACAGCTAATGGAGTTGGTCTGTGATGATAGGCTTTTCCGATATGCCGATATAGACTGGTATTGGTTGAAACTGACAATGAGTGGGATAACACTATCACAGACAAGGAGAGCTCATGATGACGTATATTGGGTTATAAAGCTTTGGTTCAAGACCAACGGTGTGATTGACGAGTTTGACGATGAACTGATCAAAAGGGTTTGCTATTTGTTGTATTACTCTTGTGACTGCCTGACCGTTCAAGTCATCTCAAAACTGATGTATACAAAAGATGCGTTTGTATATAGAAGCGTGTGGAATTGATCTCTCCCCCCCCCCAGGCTCATTCCATGTTGCCGAATACACTATCATCTTCATCCTCCCTGGTGTCACTGTGTAGCTGGTCGTCTCCGCCCATCTTTGGAGACGCAACCTCATCCAGCTTTGGGAGCACATATGTGGACTCGTTCGAGATCGACGGCATTCTCGACTGCTTCAGCGGTACTGTCGACTGGACTGGCGGCGAGTCGTGGTGCTTGTCTCTATACTGCGGGTTGAACTTGATGCCGTCCTCATCCTTTTCATTCATGCTGATCAATATACTCGCAGCCTCCAACAACTGCACTTGCTGGTGCTTCGAGATCAGGAGCTTCTTCGTCACGTTCCACTCCGGCGTGTGCTCCCAGAGGTGCTTCGCCAGCGACGATATGTGCTTATAGCCCTTCCCACACGCCTCACACTTCAACTCCTCTTTGAGCCTGCCCGTCTCACCTTCGCTGATTCTTCTCACTACAAACTCTCGCGATAGCAACGGCACGCTGGAGCTCAGCTCCTTCTGTGCATGGCCGTGACTGCTGCCGCTGTGATGCTGATGATGATGATGATGATGATGCTGATGACTGTGCTGTGGACCCTTCTCCGGCGATACCTTCCCAGGTATCGTGTACGGCGCTGTGGCAGCTATAGACGCCCTTCTCGATATGTGTGAATTCGTGTGTACCGAGGATGTCATCGCTTCTCCGACCAAAGTAAGCTCAACAACAACGGAAATCAACAAATGTGAACAAATGTGAACAAAATATCAAAACTTTTGAGAGAATTGGCAAAGAATTGTGAAGGAATCTCAGAATATTTTTCACACACAAAGCGCAAAAAAACCACACAATGAGACATAAATTTTTTTTTTTTTTTTTTGTAAACAAATTCGAAATTTTTTTTTTCTTTCTTTTTGTGCGCGTTGTGGCTGAAAATTTTTACTTTTCTGTGTTTTGCCAGAAAGGGCAATTTTCGCGACGAGAATCTGCTTACGTAAAGTCTTACGTAATCGATTACGTAAGTGCTTAGTAACCATTATACAGGCCCATGGCATTAGTGGTGGTATATACAATGGTGTTGTTATACACAATGGTGTTGTTATACAGAGTGCTTCACGTTGAAAGCCCGCTGGAGATCGGCCACGTCCCTCCGTCTGTCGTTGGCGTTGGTGCTCAGCGAGCACATCTCCAGGTTGATGACGTAGACCTTGCCGTGGGCGAGCTTCAAGATGTCGTCGCCTATTGAGATGTTAGGCCTGAAGGTGACGCCGTGGCTGTGGATTCTTTGGAGCGTTTGCAGTGCCATTTCGTAGTGCTCTTTGCTGTGAGTGTCGACTGGTAGCAGGTCGTCGTTGACCTCCGTTATCGGCTCGTACATGATGAAGTAGCCGTCTGCTCTGAAGTGCAGCGTGTCGGCGTTGCTGCTAACGTCCTCCAGATAGCCGTACTTGAGCACTCTTCCAATACAGTCGCCATACAGCTCGCTGAGCTTCAGATAGGCGAGCACGTTGGTGCTCCATCTCTGTATGAGGTCCAGTGCGTTGGTCTTGAGCTCGAGAACACCGTCGACGTGGGCGTTGGACATCTTGTACATCGGAGTGGACGGGTGTCTCACAGACATCAACGCCGTGCTTCCCTGGTAATACTCGTCGTATATCGATAGCAACGAGTTCCCAGGTTTGCTCTGATTGTGATCTTGGTCCACGAACAGCTTCGCACCATCAACTATTAGCGTCTGGCACGACCACTGTGGTCCCACGGCGATGATGCCCACCATGGAACGGTCCAAGTCAACCTTGTACTTCTCAAAGTCCAGTCCATTAGACGTGGTGTACGTTATGCTGGATGGTTTGAACCTCTTGATCCGTTGACCGTCATGAGCTAGCACCAAATTGGATCTGTCCATAGAGTTGAACTCGGCCCATTCCTTTGAGACCTTTTTGTTGAGCTTTGCCATGAATTTTGAATCCTCAATGGACTGTTCAGGGGTTTCGTATAGGAAGGCTCCGATCACGTTTCTCATGGTTAATACGCTGTCGTTGTTGAAGTTGGAGAAAGTGAAATGCCTTGTCTTGACGTTACTAAGCAACTTCGAAACGTCTTCAATCTCACCGTCTAATACGTCATCGATGATGAAGCATCCACACCAGTTATAGTCCATCATTATGAATTTTCTCGTATGTGAACTGAGGCAGATCGATACACACTTGTGGAACTTCTTCATGAAGTTATCCCTCTTGGTGAATTCAGCACCGGCAACTTTGCCCTTGAATTCACCCTTGGAGCCCATACACAGCTCATATCCTTCAGCTATCGCCAGCCCTAGTTCGCAGATTTCCACATGGCATAGTAATCTGTTGATCAAAGCGTCCTTGTCGTCAAATATGCCCCATTCAAACTCGGTATCGCATAACACCCCAATCGGTTTCATATTCACAGGACACCTTGGCGATAGCGTTGGGGACTCTGGTGGAAACCTGCTACCCTTGACGAAGGCGTCAAGCATCTTCTTGTCAAGATACACCAACAGGCTGTAAATATCAACCATAGGATGCCATATCATGTCATGGATCATCATCAGGTACATATTGAGATCCAGCGCACATGGATCAAGTATCTCAGGACATTTCTGCGTTGTGCTGATGTCAATAAAGCACATCTCCACACTATCTGGACTCATGTCAATTCCCCTTCGAAGAGCTTTGAAGAACTTCTCCAAGTAGTTCTTCACAAAGGCATCTCGGGAGATCTCGCTTGATTTCGATGTCGCCTTCAAGGGCCTCAATAAGGGATAATCTTCATACACGAGGTTTGGCAGTGTTGGTAATAGCCCTCTGTGGTCTTTCGAGTACACTGAAGGATTCGAGATCCTATGTCGCTTACCAACGCTGTGTGGTATTTGAACGTCCCTGGTCAACGGGAACATGTCATCCTTCACAAATATCAGCTCCTCTTCTTCCCTTTCAACAATGAGAGGGGGCATATCACAGTTGAAAAACAGCTCAACCCCTTGTGACTCCGTGACCGTGTTGTCCAACTCGATGAAAGATCTCCCAATGGGCTTCACAACAACGTCCATATCTTGATTAATACTCCACTGCCACACTTCGTCCTTATCCCCTAAAAGCATAGTCTTCTTAGGCAGCCCTAAGGGCTGCTGTGACTTGCCTTTCTTCCTCTTCTGTTTCTTCAGGTATTTGGCCATCACCTCGTCACCGATCTCTTGCTCTTCACCTCCCGTTTACCAATGTCTCAAGACCCTAACAGCCATCAAAGCACACGCAAAATCCCAGGGCCTTGGAGCTGGAAACGAGCTTCAAATTTGTATTGGCATGTGTCCCCAACCGATGAGTTGCGAAACACCTGGACACCGCTCAACCCGGACACCCAAACATCCTAACACCCAGCAAACTCTGAAAAAACGTCCAGACGACCAAACATCAACAACAACAAAACAACGTCAAAGACCACGTTTAACGAACATTTCCCAGCTGTTGTAAACGTTAAGAACACGATCAGAGCCGAAGCTAAGATCCACGACCCTCCAAGAGACGATTCTGCCGAGCCACACAATGGTTGTTGATACTGCGTACTACGATACCCTTGAGGTATCAGTGACGGCTACTCCCGTGGAGATTAAGAAGGCCTATAGGAAGATGTCCATCAAGATGCACCCTGATAAGAACAGGGATGACCCGAACGCCACTGAGAAGTTCCAGGAGATCTCGGAGGCGTATCAGGTGCTGAGCGATGAAACACTGCGAGCCAAGTACGACAAGTTTGGTAAGGAGAGTGCAGTACCGAACGAAGGGTTTGAAGATGCCGATGAGTACTTTGCGATGATCTTTGGTGGTGAGGCCTTTGTCTCGTACATCGGAGAGCTGAGCCTGCTGAAGGACTTGCAGAAGAGTGCTGAGCTGAATGAGGAACAGGAGAAGAAGGAGAAGGAGGAGAAGGAGAAGGAGAAGGAGCGGTTGAAGTCTGAGGAGGAGAAGGAGAAGAAGAAAGGTGATGACAACATCAGTGGCACAAGCGCTGCAACTGGACAGAATACAACAAAGGAATCCACGCCTCTTCAACTGCACAGCTCCGAGCACGCTGCAACGGAAGCTCAATCCGACCATACTGATAAGCCTTCAACGGAAGAGGTGAAGAACGAGGAGACAAAGGAGAAGTCCAAGTTGCAAGAACACGAAGAAGAGATGAGAAAGAAGCGCGAGGAAACCATAACTACACTGTCAAAGAAACTAATCGAACGCCTCTCGCTATTAACGGAATCTGAGAATGATACTGCTTGTCAAGATGCCTTCAAGGAGAAATTCCAAATCGAGGCGAATCTCCTCAAGATGGAGTCCTTTGGTTTGGATATCCTCCATACTATTGGTAAAGTATATTGTACAAAGGCACAGATCTATTTGGACTCCCAGCAGCTATTTGGTATTCCCGGGTTCTTCACCTCGATGAAGGCTAAAGGTGGCATCGTCATGGACACTTTCCGTACGGTGTCTTCTGCACTTGACGCACAATCCACCATGCAAGAGCTACAGAAGTGGCAGGAGATGAAGGCAAACCCTGATGAACTACGGAATGAAAAGGGTGAAATCGTGGAAAAGCCTACAGACGAGGAGATTGCTCAACTGGAGAAGCTACTCATGGGTAAAGTGCTGAACGCCGCATGGCACGGTAACAAGTATGAGATTCAGAGTACGTTAAGAGACGTTTGCGATAAAGTACTGGGTGATAAATCTGAACCAAAGGATAAAAGAATACAACGCGCAAATGCACTGATGCTCTTAGGTAAGGTGTTTGTCAACACAACGAGATCTAAAGTGGAACAGGAGGAGGCCCAGTTATTCGAAGAGTTGGTTGCAGAAGCTACTCAAAAGAAACAGAACAAGTGAGATGTTTACAAATCAATATAAATCTATATCAACAGTATAAAGCCATTGCTCAAGACCATCTACAAGTTTGCTCTGCGTAGCTTCTGTGCCTTTGCAGCTTCTTCGCCTCTTTTGATGTCCTCTGCAACGAGTTGGTCAGCTTCAACTCTCTTTGGAATATACTCCGTGATCTTCTCAATCAATTGCTCGTCCTTTGGCACTTTGACAACACCGTTTTCATCTGCTATGAGGATATCCTCAGGGTTGATCGTTTCGTATTGTCCTTCACCAACAGTGACCTCAACTGGGACATTAATACCGACAACTTTCACCACTGGTCCTGGTGCTGCTGTGCCCAATCCATACGCAAACACTGGATAGCCCAAGTCTCTGTGCTCGTCAACGTCTCTGATTCTTGCAAAGATCACCGACCCCTTAGCTCCAAGGTACTGGGCTCGTGTACTCATCAATCCACCGTAAACGGCATTGTTCAACTTGACGTATGGCGCATGGGCACTCTGTAGTTCCTTTGACAGGGCAATCACGACGATTGAATCCTTTGGAAGGATATCGATATACTTGTCCTTGACTTCAGGTCTTGGATCGCTCTTTGGTGCGTATAGAACTGTGTAGGCCTTACCAACGGCACTGGAGCCCTGAGCATTCTTTGAGAAACGCTTTAAATTCGGTATGAACCCACCGGTTGGATGCCCGAACTTGACGAGGGCATCGCTAACGTCACAAGGCGTGAACTTTTCAAGGAATTTGACAACGTTGTTTGACATTTGTGTGTGCTGAGAAGTTCAATTGGGTGTTAATTGGCATGGTATTAGGGGGAAATAGAAAGAAATTGACACCCTTTTAGACGTGATCGATGCTTCAAATGGATGGATGGAGCTTATGGGGTTCTTCCCCTACTAAACAAAGCTTCCCAAAGGGGTTATCTCCGAGGGCTCTGTAAAATCCGATATTGTATTACGTAAGAACGTGAAGTGTTCGGGTGTTTTGGCTTGTAAGTTTAACGCTTTTCTCTTGATAATGACGGTGATGGGCTTTGTTGTTATGTTAGCTGGTGAGTCCCTGTGAAGAGTGTGCCACGTCCTATTTGTGACTCCATGAGTGCTGAAGAGAGATTATTGAAGCTGAAACAGCTTCAGAAGAAAAGAGCTGAAGCTGCGAGAGAGAACAGGCAAGAGCTGTTCAAAGAGCATCGAGAGAAGGCCATCGGGAAGGAGAAGCTACGACAACTTGAGGAGAAACAGGAGAGGAGCAGAGAGGAATTGGAAAAGATCAGAGCTCTTGAGCGAGGAGAAGACTACCAGAGGAGAAAGGCATGGGACTATACCATCGAGGAAAATGAAAAATGGGATGCGAAGTTGGAGAGGAGAGCACAGAATAGGGAAAACGCTGGGTTCAAGAACTATTCACAAATGGCTGAACAAGCGTATAACAAGGAGATATCACAGATCACAGTAGATAAAGACAGGTATAAGCTCCAGAAGGCTAAGGATGGACACGGCACAAGCGGGGTTGATTTCCACAATAAGCCTTCTAAGGAGGCCGTTGATACTCTTGTGAGCACGTTGAAGACTGGAGACTCTAGGAGAATGAAGAAAAAAAGCAAAGAAGAGGACGATACCGATAGTTATAGTGAGTACATTTACGCGATGTGTATCAAAGCTTTACGATGTTTAAGACAATACTAACAAACGCCGCTAGTCAATATCAAAAACAAACAGTTCAACGAGAAGCTCAATCGTCATTATGATAAGCACATAAATAAGTGATGACTTTGTATTGGATTCTATTACAGGGTGGTGGTGGTGGTAGTAGTAGTAGTAGTAGTAGTAGTAGTAGTAGTAGTAGTAGTAGTAGTAGTAGTAGTAGTAGTGGTAGTTACCCTACCGTGGTACTCGGAATCACCCGCGAATTTTCTCACCGGACAAAATCCACCGGCGGCTAAACAAAAAAAACATCAACATCAACAAAAGCGAAAATAACAACAAACAACGGCTTGAACTCTTTCACCAACCCATTGTTGCTCCGTTTTCACCCTCTAACAGGAGAATTCTTGAATATTGTGGTTAACCGCTACGTGCTTGTTGTTTTTAATTTGCAAGCGCCGTGCTCAATCGTGTTTTACACTTGTGGTTGATCTACTGAAGAAATTGGCAGAAGGTGCAACGTAAACAATGTCTGTTGATGACGAAGAACCAAAGATGAACCTTTCAGACGAGGGATCTGAAGGAGAAGGCGATGATTTGAGACCAGAGGCCTACGACTCTTCGGAGGAAGAGGAGGATGACGATGAAGAAGAGATCCAGAAGATCCGTGAAGGGTTTATCGTTGACGATGAGGACGACGAGGTTTCAACGCAGAAACGTAGAAAGAAACATAAGCGCCGCCATCAGGAGAAAGAGATTAAGGAACAGGACGACGGCTTGTTAGATGAGGATGACTTGGACCTGCTGATGGAGAACACAGGCACTGCAAGGGATAAGTCTACAAGTAAGTTCAAACGTTTGAAAAAGGCTACACCAGAAGAACAGCCTGAGAGATTGAAAGACTTGAACGATTTCTTTTCGGAAGATGAGGATATTGGTATGGAAGATGAACCTTCAACATCACGTAAAAGAGATACAAACCGAGTTATGGATGAATTCGACGATTTCATCGAGGATGACGAGTTCTCAGATATGGATGAAGACGCCCGTGCAGCTGCTCGTGAAAGACGCCAACAGGAGAGACTTAAACCTTTGGAGATTACAGGTATTGACTCTGAAAAAATTGACGAACTGTACGATATCTTTGGTGATGGTGAAGATTATGCATGGGCCTTGGAAGGCGAAGAGGAAGAAGGTGAATTCAAAGAAGATGAAGCCAGACCTCAACTTCAAGATATTTATGAACCTGAAGAATTGAAGGCAAGAATGTTGACGGATAACGATAAGGTTATTCGGGATACTGATATTCCAGAACGTTTCCAGATGCTTCGTAAGGGTATCAAGAATTACGAATTGGAAGACGCCGATTTCGAATACGAAAAAGAGTGGATTGCACACAGACTAAAAATTGAAACTCTCTACGGTTCGAATGACACAGTGGATGAAGAAGCCTTCAAACGGGCTGTAGGTGATGTACTGACCTTTGTAACCAAAAACAATCTCGAGGTTCCATTCATCTACTCTCATCGTCGTGATCATCTGTTGAAAACAACCATTACTGGTGAAGGTGATCATGCAGAAACAGTTGTTGTATCTCTGCTCGGTGAGAACGATCTGTGGAGAATTGTCCAGATGGATATTGAATTTCACGCTTTAATTGAAAAAAGAGACCAAATGAACATACTCATTTCCAAACTGGAATTGAATGATGAAGCAGTATCAGAGGCTGTTGGCGAAGCACGTTCAGTTACTGACTTACAAGACATCCATGACTACATCTCATTCAAGTACAGTGCTCAACTGAAGGATTTGGGATTGAAGAAGAGCCATCACAAGTCAAACATTTACGATAAGATTAGAAAAGATAACTTGTACGAGATTATTAAGAGTATTGGTATTACATCTTCAGAGTACGCTGAAAATATCACTGCAGAGACCAGGTTCTTCAACACAAAGGATTCAGAGAAAACACCAACGGAACTTGCAGAGACGATATGCTCTGAACCAGACTCTCTGTTCTTAAAAGCTTCTCAGGCATTAGAAGTAACGAAACGTTTCTTTGCTGAGGAATTGTTCACGAACTTGAAGGTCAGACGTTACTTTAGAAATCTCATGTCTGAATTATCCACAATCAATATTGAGCTTACAGAACAAGGACGTTTGAAAATCGATAAGAACAGTCCGTACGCAGATTTCAAGTACGCTATTAACCGTACTCATGATTCTATGTATTCCCAACCTGATCTTTTCCTCAGAATGTTAGAAGCTGAGTCGATGAACTTGGTTAAGATCAACTTGACAATCCCTGGTCAGAGTGGTCTCTTTGAGTCCGTCTTCAATTTACTAGCATCCGATGGTCAATCTGATTTGGCGAACGAATGGAACAACTATCGTCGTTCTGCATTAGAGATTGCTTTCAAAAAGTTGATTCCGTTGGTGGCTCTAAACGTGAAGGAAGATATACGCCGTGAATGTGAGCGTTTGTTGTTCTTTGAAATCCGTGGTGTTTTCTTGAAGAAAATTGACTGTGCACCATTCCATGCGCCAGGTACAGAAATTGGTACGGTTCCAAAAGTTTTTGCTTTAACTCCAGGTAATGGTAAGTTTGGGTCTGATGCTGTTGTTGCAGCATGTTTGGATAAGTTTGGTAAGGTTGTACAAACTTTCAAGTTTAACGAAAATCCACGTATCTCTCCAGACAGATTAAGAGCGGGAGAAACAGCCTTTGAAGCGGTATTTGTTGAAGCAATTAGAGAAACACAACCAGACGTTATTGCGATCAATGGATTCAACGTCAACACAAGTAAATTGTACAAGATCATCCAGGGTATCATCAGCAGTTATGGGTTGAAGAGTGGAGAGACCCAACACAGTTTGGAAATAATCTATGCCAACGATGAAGTTGCCATGAGATATCAAAATTCTCCAAGATCAACTGCCGAGTTCCCAGATAAACCAACTTTGGTTAGATATGCTATTGGGCTTGCACGTTATGTTCAATCACCACTTTTGGAATATCTAAACTTGGGTGACGAAGTCACTGCATTGTCAATTCACAAACATCAAAGTTTATTACCTGAGGAGAGATTTAAAAACGCTCTAGATACTGCATTTGTGGATATTGTCAATATGGTTGGTGTCGATATTAATAAGTGTGTTTCTGACTCATACTTGGCATCTTCTTTGCCGTTTATTGCTGGTCTTGGTGATCGTAAAGCATTTGGCCTGTTGAGGGCTGTACAACAGAATCCCCTTTTCAGTCGTCAAGCTTTAATCACGAACGAAAACATTCGTATCGGTACAACTATCTTCTTGAACTGTGCCTCATTCTTACGTATTCCGCAATCTAAGAGCCGTGCTCTCAGATCTGAAGATGAAGTTGAAGCCGTTACAGTTCTTGATGAAACAAGAATACATCCAGAGGATTATGCTCTTGCTGAGAAGATGGCTGCAGATGCTCTTGATCTTGATGAAGATCAAATTGAGGAGCTGAAAGATGCACCAGTTGGTGAAACTATTATTGATCGCCTGATGAATGCGCCAGAGGGCACTTCATTGTTGCAGAGTTTAGTGTTGGAGGATTATTCTAGACAACTGGAGGAAACTTATCATAAAAAGAAGAGAGCCACATTGCAAATGATATCCGAAGAATTACAGGATCCATATGCTGAAATCAGGGGAAGCTTCAAATTGATGACCTCCGAACAGGTATTTGAATCACTTACTGGTGAATCTGCCAGCTCGCTTCACCGTGGTGTTGTCATTCCAATGCTCGTTATGCGCGTAAACGACTATCGTGTGACTGGTATGACACCAAGTTCTATAGATCTTAGTGCCAATGCTGATTTCGCTAGGGCTCCTCGTGATAGACGTCGTCTAGCCGAGATCTACCAACAGGGACAAACGATCCCAGCTTCCATCCAAACAATTGACTATGAAAACTTCACCGCTGAGGTTAGTCTCTTAGATAGAGACGTTAAGAGCTCCATTGAACAGTTGAAATTTGACAAATCACCACAAATCTGGGACGTTGTCAAAGAGGAAGCAGATGACAATATCGAAAAGCGTAAACAGGAAGTTGCACAGAAGGGTACAAGGGTCATCAAGCATCCTCTGTTTCATAACTTCAATTCGGACCAAGCTCAAAACTTCCTTGCACCAAAGCTTCGTGGTGCTGCTGTTATTCGTCCATCTTCTAAAGGATTTGACCACATTGCCATAACTTGGAAAGTTGATAACAATCTGTACCAGCACATTGATGTTGTTGAACATGGAAAGGAGAATGACTATTCAATTGGTAAATACTTGACCATTGACAAGCACCGTTATACTGATCTTGACGAAATTCTCGAAACCTACGTTGGTGAGATTGTCAAACGTATCAACGAGATGGTTGACAACGACAAGTTCCGTTCTGGTACGAAAGATGAAGTTGTCGAATGGATCGAGAACTATTCCAAGGCAAATCCAAAGCGTGGTGTTTATGCATTCGCCTTCAACCATAAGAGACCTGGCTGGTTCCTGTTATTGTTCAAGACGGGACCTCAAAGCCAAATCTACACCTGGAATGTCAAGGCTGTTCCTGAAGGTTATGAGCTGAATACATATCCTTATCCAAACGTCCAGGCGCTGTGCAATGGTTTCAAGACACTGTTGAAGAACAGAAGCACACAGCCAAGCCACTACTGAAAATAAGAAACTGAAAAGAATTTGAATAAAAAAGAAGAATCTCTGTTATGTTATATGTTATATTACTGTTGGTGATTGATTGTATAAGGCCAAAGAGAGCTCTATGCCAGCTCCTCCAAGTCTTGTTGAGACTTTGCAGATCTCTTCTGGAACTCCTTCTTATCCTCTCTCTGCTGATCTTGTTCGTCCTCCTCAATCAGCTCATCGATATCGTAGTCGTAAGCATTCGGATCGTTGACCTCAGAGGGCTCGACCTTCTTGGCTGTTGTTCTTCTTCTCAAGTTGTGGACATCCTCGTTCTCCGTGGTTAACTGCAGTTTCAGAGGGATATCGTCCTTGCTATAGTTCATCTTCTCCTTCAGCGCACCTATCGATACCTTGCTCTTGCTGTTCTTCTTCTTCTGAGACTCCTCGCGTCTCTGGAGCACATCTGGTGGCACATAGCCACCGCTGTACTGATCTTGTTCCTCCTCCAATGGCTCATCCTCCACAACGGCTTTTCTGTGTGGTTGATACTTCACTTTCGTCAGCCCACTGACCTGTGGGAGCACAATCACCACGATGACCATAATGGCCATCGCTAGCAGTATGAATACAACAGCCATTGTCTTCTTTTCCTCGACTGGCTGTTGAAATGATGCTTGCTACAAAGTGAAAAGTTTTGATGTTTTGATGTTTTGATGTTGTGATGTTTTGATGTTGTGATGTTGTGATGTTGTGATATCTTGGTGTTTGGGTTTTTCACTGATTTCTCGTGCCGGCTCGCTCTTCGCTTTGAGAGGCCTCGGCCACTTCCGCAACTACCAAAGAACGCTGAATATCAGCAAATTGGTAGGCAAAATGCGCCCATTTGGTACTCGTTTGCTTAGAAGCCAAGTGCTACAGAGCTTTGTGAGATGCTCAGGTACACATTTCCCTGTCAGATGTGCTTCTACGTACCGTAAGCACCTTGTGTTGAGTGGAAAGCCACAGTGGGCCTTCAACATTAGAACCTACTCCTCCACCACTGATGGGCATGAAGTTCCACAGGAGATTGATTCTATGAGTATCAATGAGTACCATCACTTTGCTGATGAGTTCATGGAAGGGTTGCTGGATCAACTGGAGCTTCTTGGTGAAGAGTATCCCCAGATTGACGTTGAGTACTCACAAGGCGTGATGACGCTGGAGATTGAGCCTCTTGGGACCTACGTCATCAATAAGCAGCCTCCGAACAAGCAGATATGGATCTCGTCTCCCGAGTCTGGACCAGATAGATTCGACAAGATTGGTGGTGAATGGATCTCGCTCAGAACCGGTGAGAACTTGGCTACGCTGCTGGGTCGGGAAGTTGGAGAAACACTTGGTGAGGTTGTTCAATTCGAGTCATGAAGCTTTGTAATTAACTCTATATATAGAACTATTTATTTGGGTCTTGTTGTAGTTTTCCTGCTGTCTCTGTCTCTGTCTCTGTCTCTGTCTCTGTCTCTATCTCTGTCTCTGTCTCTGTCTCTGTCTCTGTCTCTGTCTCTGTCTCTGTCTCTGTCTCTGTCTCTGTCTCTGTCTCTCTCCCTATGTCCATGTCTCTCCCTATGACTACGTCTATTCCCACTCTCTTGTCTCTTCATCAGCAGCAGAGGATCCTCGAACTCATCTTCTTTAACGTCCCGTTCCTCCTCCACTTCATCCTCCTCACTGGCCATGTCGTTCGACAACTCTTCAGCCAGCAACCTCTCATACTCTTCATCAACATCCTTCTCCTCGTAAAAGGCATGGTCCACTCGAATGGTCCGACCCAACACTTTTGCACCGTTCAAATTGTCAACAGCTAACACAGTGCTCAATTGATCCTCATACTTCAGCCATCCAAATCCCCTGGACTTGCCACTTTCTTTATCCCTTACCAACTTCATATGAACAGGAATCCCATACTGGCTAAATATCACCAGCACGTCACCTTCGCTGAGTTCATAGGGCAGCCCACCGAAGTTGATATACGCAGAGTCCTTGTACTGTTGGTGCCATGAAGCACTGAACGGTATCGACCTTTGCAACTCTTCCTCGTTCAGCCGAGAGATCTGTCTGATTTGACTAGATATGAGTTAGTAATCAGTCATGTGCAATACCAATTGGAAGTACTCACTTCATTGTGTAATCAGGGCTCAATTGTAGTGGAAGTGAATGATGAGAAAGCGTAGAGAAAAAATAATTATAACAAATTATAATATAGCGTAATATAATTATAACCTTAACCTTCCTAATCGGAATACATTTCTGTTTTGGGAAGCTCATCGTCGGAATTCGCTCTCACACGTTCGAGAACGGAAAATTTTTTGTATTGAACCTCATCGCCTAAAGAACTTGTTTAATACTCGTTGAATTCGCTGCTTAATTTACCATTAGTTGAGACATAGAACACATTACAAGGATGTCTCTGTCGCAGTTATACGCTCTTGCGAAGTTTCCTCGAGTTTCAAACGTTTCCTCCCGTGCAAAAGTTGCTACGCAAACAGATGACGACAACTTATACATTGCCATATCAGGTGCTTCATTATCACACTACGTGCTGAAGCCGAGTCCAAAGCTGGTGTGGTCCCACTCTTTCCCTCCAAGCTTTGAGATAAACTCGCTGGTGAAGTTTCAGGGTCGCTATATCGTGGGTGTCTGGAATAAGAATACAAGAACACATATCATCCAGGTGATCTCTGCTTTGGAGAATGGCTCAGAGGTGGAGAGAGAATGGACTGTCGATTCTAAGGTTATCAACTTATCTCACGTTGCAGATGAACTAGTCGTGTCTACGGAATCATCCACTGTGTGCTATTCTGGTGCTGATTTCAAGAAGAAATGGGCTGTGGATTCGTTGTATAAGATTGTGTTCCAAACCATTGTTGAGTCAGATGTCATCTTACAAGTTGAACATAACGATGATCCTTCACAGGAGATTTTACACTTGAGATTGATCTCATCAGCAGAAGGCCTTGAATTGTCTTCGAAGATCACTGAATTGTCAACGCATTTGGCCAATTTGACATTTGCACACGCGAATGGTTATCTTATCCAATTTGCTAATGGTGGATTCACAACATATTCACTGCCACATTTCCAAACTGTTTCTCAACTGTCATTATCGCAATTGAACATTGAACTGCCTTCATCCTCATTCACGCTGAAGTTCGAATCGCCATCAAAGGATAGGATCCTTCTAACTGTTGGGCACGATATTTACTTGATCAACATGAAATTCGGTATAGTGATATCTCATATCCATTTCAAGAAGTCTGACTTAGAACTGCTCTTTGTCCAATCGCAAAGGAACCAACGCCAAAAGCAGCTCTTTGGTGTTGTGCTGAAGGAGAGTGAACTTTCAGGTGTTACATTCACCTTGGATTCGAACACTTTGAAGGACTCACTGGGTAAGAAAGCATCAGCTCAACCATCATCCGTCTACAGATCTGTTCCTTCAATCCTCGACATTAAACAAGAGGACATTGACGTCGAAGCTCTGCTCAACTCGAAGGACCTTGATTCCAGCCTCTTAACATTCATGGAGGCGAGAAACGACTATTACACAGAAGACGATAAAGTCATTGAGTCTAAAGTGATGAACGTGATCGTCAAACACGTCCTGGACTCACCACAGCTTCCAGAAAGATCAATGACTTATCTATTGACACATCCTTTGTTCCCAACTGTAAAGGACCTCTTGGCTAGATTAAGATCTAAACCTCGTCTGTTGAGACAAGCCATCGTCACAGGAAATGTCTCCGTTAATGAACTCATCAATGAACTGAACACAACTGAAAACGAAGAGATCTTCAAAGACATCATCACAAGACTCTTGGAGTTCCCAAAGGAAAAACTGGACTTTAAAGACTTGGACAGTTTCAAAATCGTTGAGCGTATTATCCAGTTGAACTTTGGCTATGAACTCATCTCATTGTTGATTGATGCATCTGGTTTGTTCACTTGGAATGAAGAGCTGATTGATAAACTGCAGTCAGTCTTGACGAGAAAGATCGACGCTTTGAACTCAGCATCAAACCTATATGCTGTTGTTGGTGAAATACAGGCAAATAACTTGAAGACAGTCACAAGAGTTCCAGTTTACTCCATTGAAAGATTATCCATATAACAAGGTTGGGTTCATGTCTCTATATATCTCTAAACTCGTCATCATCATCACTTTTTAAAGAGATCCCGACATCGTTTGTTCTTTGTGTATCAAGTGTAAGTACAATAGGGTCTTGCTTTAGCTTAGCAACACTGTTTAAATGTTCATCGACCATCCTTTGAAGTCTCTTGTTACATCTTGTAGAACATAATGATATGAACGATGCAAACCTCTTTGAATCGTTTCCATGGCCAACATTGACACAGATGTTTCTCTTTGCAGAGATGGAAGGATCAACGTTCAAGTTAACTTCCTCCGCTTCGAAAACTTCTGAAAAGAATAGTGTTCTCTCTTCTTCATTCATGAATCCTTCTGTCGGTTCAAATTCATTAGAAACTATACGGTCAGAGTCATGACGGTAGACAAATTTGGTAGCTGTTTTCTGATCACGACCAGGCTGCGTCGGATCGTCAAGGTCAATGATTTGAGATGCGTTCACTTTGCTGATATCGACTTTCAGACGGCGAGCTCCTAAAGTCTTTTTTGCAGGAATATTCTTCAGAAGGTTTGAGATATCAAGCATCCCTTTCGAAGGCGCCTTCAATGATTTTGATGTTGTCTTCTTGGCCTTCTTATTGATATGGACATCATCAGACGCTGTTCTCCTAGATGGTTTAAAGCTATTGGAAAGCGTTGATCCATCGTCATGGAACGAAGGATCTTCAATGTATTGCTGCTCCATCACTTTCTCAGCAGCTTCATACGGTTCAAAGTCAGAGAGCTCTTCTTCATATGAACCAAAATTCAAAAGCTTGGACACAGAACTTTCATTCTTTGACAATGATTTCAGAAGCTCTTCATCGTCAGATTGTATATTCCCTATCGATGTTGAGGCATCTTTGTGCATTTTCAACTGTTCAATTGTATCAGTGAATATATTTTCATCGTCGCTCTCTTCTGAATCCTTAATCACCGAACCACCATTGCTGGTCTTTTCGTTTCTCTCACTCGTGTCTGATCCCCAATCGTCATCAGCAAAGTCTTCTTCAAACGCCTTAGAAAAATTGAGACCAACCCTATTCGTTGTTGATTTTAGTGGGGAAGATACGATGATTTCATCCTCAATGTCTTTATGAGAATCAGATCCGTTTGTCTCCTCTGGAGAAGCTAAAATTACTTCTTCGTTGTGGTCGATCTCCACGTCTTTCCGTGTATTTAATGTCACATGTGATGAGACGATTTCTTCGTGGTCAAGGACCATACTCAGTTGGATATCTTTATTTTCAACTCTTGGGTCATCTTGGCTGTCATTCAGATCAATAACAAGACTTGGCTGCTTCGTATCAGGTTTGTTTATTGGTGTGTAACCCGGTTCTTTTGATTCTTTTGGTTCTGTTGATTTACTGAGAGGGATTTCCACACTCGTGAACCTCTGTGGAGTTGAATATTTGGAGTTCGCAGACACCTTTCCAACTGAAGTGTTGGCCGATGTTTTAGCTGTGGATATTGGGCTGTCTTTATTCTTCAACATCCCTATTAAAAAGTCACCGTCATCAGTATCACTGGACTCTCCGTCTTCTTCTTCAACCTCTTTGGAATTATCTCCACCAACCTTACGAACCAATGTAGATGATTTGACAAACCCTACTTCTGGCAAATCAGGCATGAAAAATCTCTTTTTGCGAGCTGAAGTTGGTGGTTCCGTGTCCTTCAGCTTTGAGCATCTTTTACCCAGAGTGGTACCTTTCCTACTCTTTGGGGTCTTTCCGAGCATTGCCTGTGTTGCATGCTTAATAACCTCGTCTGAATCTTCTCCTCTTGCGATGATCAAATTGCTTTCAGGAATGTCAATAAGCGTCTTCTCGCATCGAGGTTTGATGTCCTTCGGTATTATACGATCAGATTCGTTTAGCTCCAAGTCGTTTTGCTCGATCCGCTTCTGAACAAGAGCATAGTCATGCATTGCCTGGTTGAACTTCGATTCCTCATTCGAAGCAAATAAGAGTACAACTTTACCATCGTTTTTTCTACCTGTTCGTCCCATTCTTTGAATGTTCTTAATAGGACTACTGGTGGTGTCGTAACAAATGATCATATCAACCTCACCAATGTCCAAACCTTCTTCACCAATAGAAGTGGCTACTATTACTTGGAATTCACCTTTTTTGAACTTCTTGATTAACTCCTTTTGCATTTTCTGGTTCATACCTTGCAATTGTGCCTCTTCAGATGTACCTGTACGGCTTGTAGCTCTTCTTTCGGCATCTTGCTTCTTCTGGTTCTGTCGTTGTTCAGCAATTGCTAATTCCTTTTCAATTCTCTCTTCTCTTGCCTTCTTACCACGTCCTTTCTTGCTATTTTTCATCTTATACTCCTCTTCATCGAATTTTTCCTTTCCCTTAGCTTGTCCAATGAAAATATGAGCTTTACATTTATCACCAAGGGTATTATCAATGGTCTGGACAATCTCCAAGGCAGATTCCCTCAACTCTGTAAAGACAATCACCCTTGAATCTTTCTTATGGGTGCAAAAATCTTCAAGTTCGGTAATCAAATGTTCAAGTTTTGGATGGCTGATATAGTTATTGCCCTCTAATAATTCCTCGCATCTCTTCTCTATATGTTTTAGCATTGGATGGAAGAAGAATGATGCAGATAGCTTGTTTGAAGATTTCCCCAGCTTGTATTTGGTTCTAAACTCTGTGCACTTATCTGTGAAGTATGAATAGAACGATCTCACGCCGTATATCCTCAACCTACGCAGCATCTGTCCAACGTATCCAATGACCTGCAAAATGAAGAAGAATTTCCATTTAACACCTTCGTTTAACGAAGGATTTGTCACTACTGCCTTGGACTTCTGCATCACTACAAATGCGTTGATCCTTGACGGATCAGTCACATCGTAGATGTTTGCCTCATTTGCCTGCTTCAGTATTGGCTCAATAGCAGTCCCCAACATTTCAATGATATCCTCCATATCAGCATTTGAATCGACATTGATCCTCACCTGTTCCTTGTCCTTCATGTACTTGGCAATGTCGGCGCTCTCCTCAGTTCTGATTTCAATATGGGAGATGTGCAAGTTGTTCACAACTTCCTGGACACCTTCAATATCAGATGCTGGCGTCGCAGTCAAAGCTAGCACCCTGAATGAGGTGTTGAACCTGTCAATGAACTTCACAACACCGGTGTATGCGTAATTCTCTCTGGCCCTGTGTGCTTCATCGATGACGAGGCATACAATCTCCTTGGGGTTCAGAGTACCAGCCTTAAGATCATTCTCAACAACTTGAGGTGTTGTGAAGAAGACGCGCTTACTCTCCCAGATCTGAGGTCTGTTCTTCCGTGACTTGTCCAACAACACTGCGGTATCGTCACTGGGTATATCAGTCACGCCGAGACACGCTTGGATCTGCTGAGCCACAAGGGGCCTCGTTGGCGCCATGAATATGATCTTGCCCTTCGTGAACCATCTGTAGTAGTTAAGCATCACGGTCGAGGCAATGAAGGTCTTACCCATACCTGTTGGAATGGCACATAGCAGGTTTGTGTAGAGAGCCTTTGCTATGATGTCGTACTGGTAGTCTCTCACGTCGAAGTTACTCGGATAGATGTACGAGCCGAGGTTTGGCCTGTTGAGTTCGTGATGGGTCCGCTGGAACGTCACCTCCCTGTGTATCTCTTCGTACACCGGTACTTCACCTTCTAATACCTCGCCGGTCAGAGTCCTTTGAACTGCCCGTGGCCGCCGTATCACGGTCTCTTTAACCCGGCGGTTAACCTCCGCACGCTCTACCGCCTGGTCAAGAAGCTCGTCATCGAGAGAGTCGGCAAAGACGTCAGAGTCAGAGTCATCAAATCCGCTCATCGCTTACTGTATCAACGAACCGCCCTGTTGTTATGTCATCGATGTGGATTGTGGCAAGTCTAAACACTCCCAAAGCGCGTGCTTGTGTTCTCTGGTTCGCGCCACAAAACGTAAACAAACACGAAACATCACGTAAAAGAGCTTACGAAAAGTACGCGTCCCATCTCATGGCATTTGTAAAACTTCTATGTATATTCTTCTAATAATGCTATATATTGAGTGAAGCATTCAGTGTTTAGCAGCACTAAAGGCCGCAATGACATCTTTCTTTGTGAATCTCAGTTCGAGGTCTCTGTAGAACCGGTTGATTATATCGGTAAGTTTCATGGTGACGGAGACAAACTCACCTTGTAAGGAGGACCACATATTATCAACCAAGGCTGTCTGGATCTCTGATCTCTCGCTATCGTAGAGCTGTTGCTCAACGTCCTTTCTCATGTTGTTAACGATCATTGTTATATCCTTCGTTGTGAAGTTGGAGAGAAGCTTGTTGATTTCATCCTTGTTGTACACTACTCTCTTGGATGGGTCGATGACCTTATTCGTGTACTCTTTGGAGATTGCATCAACTTCGTAAACAAAGGAGGAAACCTTACCAAAGTACTGGGAGACCATTTCTGAGACATACTGTTCGCTGGCGTCCTTGAACATATCGTTCACAACGTCCAAGGACTCCTGTAGTCCATTGACCTTCATTGGTCCCAACGACTCAATAATCCAGTTACAATTCTGTAAATCATTTGTCAACAAGGTTCTGAACTTCTTCAATTCACCGCCATCTCTGATCTTTAAGATCTTCTCGCCTCTGGTGGCTGAGTTCATGTTTCTCACAATTGTGGCGCAGAACATCTTATAAGACTGCTCGATGACCTTCTTGGTGTCCAATTCACCATATGAAACTGTTTGATAACGCGATGTGGAGATAATTCTTTCACACTCTTGCTCATTGTCTATGACAAGCTGACAAAAGTTTTTGACGGCAGCAGATACACCTTCCCTTCTCACTTTGGCAGTCATATACTTATCAATGCTCTTACATTCATAAGTAACAAAGTTTTCCCAATCCGATTGTACTTTGTTTCTCAACCTGTTGAAGATACCAACCATGTATTCCTGGTTCGTGGATGAAAATCTCTTGTCGAAAAGTTCCAAGTATAGCAGGAAAGGTGGTGAGTTTCTCATGTCCGATCTGAGACAATGTTTGAAGTTCCTCAACAAAGCCTGAACTCCAGGTTGAAGCAGTGTGTTAAGCACATTGTAAATGTCCCTCACATTTTCTCTATTCGAATCGATCTCACTAACAGATGAGGTAAGAAGTGATGGACGTTCGCTAATAGGATAGGCCTTCATATATGCAGCCAAGTCATGATTTTCATTGGACATGTGGAAAAACTTCACCGTAAAGTCCTGCAATAACAGAAGATGTTTCTCCAAAGCCTGCACTGTATTAATAAGCTTTTCGACCTCACCATTTCTGTCACTGCTGTAACGAGGTATTGACGCTGCTGATGAAGAATCCAGCATGGCAAACTTCTCTCTAAGTTTTTCGTGTGTTGGCGTTGGTGTGCTTGATTGCAATGTTGATGATCTCTTTCTAGATGAAAACAATGACGATGTACCATCTGAAGAGTCGTCAATAAGAGAGTACTTGTGTTTGTTATATGCACTTTCCACTAAGCTTTCCGATAACTGGGACAGAACCCTTTGGTAAAAAGTGTTTGCATAGCCTTCCCATGAACCAATGATACCAAAGTATGTTGGCTCTGAGTTATTTCGGACAAAGAGTGTCAATCCACTGTACACCAACATCTCTGATAAAGCATCCTTAAAAGTGACATCATGGGTGCTATCATACTTACCCATTTCAGTAACAATATATCTGAATCTAGAATCCAGTTCAGATGTAACTCTTCTCATAAACTGTTCCGTGGCATACTCATACTTGGATCTTCTCTCTGTAAGTGCATGCATCTCACCTAAATTATCCTCATTATTATCACCACCTCTAATGGCATTCAAGGCTGACTCTAAATCAGATAGGGTACCTTCTAAGCTGTACAAGTCCCTGTCAAGGTCCCCAGATGCCAAAACCTTGAGCGAGCTGTCGTCAACAGAAACAATATTGAACAACTTTCTCAACTCATGTTGAAGATGTTTCTTGTTCACTGTTTCCACTTGTAAACCGTTACTTTCAAGCTCAATGTCTTTAATGTCGTTGACAAAGCCTGAAAGCTCCACAGAATAAAAGTTGAACAAAGGAGAAATCTTTTTACACTGCGAAGCAATGTTAGAAGCAGTTTGGATCAATCCACCGGATTTGCTCTTCACTTCGAGCAATGCTTTAGTCATCTCGTATTCTGTCAACGCCAGTTCCTTAACCAACTTTGCTGTCAATGTTTCAGAGTCGTCATTAGAATCCCAGTAGATCTCATCAAATACATCAGCCAATGCATTGTTCAAGTTTTCTGGTTGTGCCTCCATAAGACTGTTCATTGTAGCAGAACGTTGTCTACTTTCTTTCGTTTCAGTTGACACATTCAATTGATCAGCAGGTTTGACGTTTGCCTCACCTCTTAGCGATACTTCTTCTGCACCAGGGAACGGTTCTTCCGGTATATTATTTAGAACTTCATGACTATGATACGTCTGGTCAAATGAGTGATCATCTGAATTGTCATAAGACAGGTCTTCCTGTTCAGGAGGTGTAATAACTATAGGGGTCTCCTGTTGAGCATTTCTGATCTTGAGCGGGGATACAGAATCTTGCATTGGTTCTTGTTCATACTGTTGTAGCTGATCTTGCTCTTGGTTATCATCATCACCTGCATAGAGGTCCGCAATATCACCGCTATCAGAGTCATCTGCATCAGTCTCTGCTTCTTCTGCTTCATTTCTAGCCTCTTCTTGTTCAAACTCCTCTCTTGTCTTTGCATGTGCCACCATGTTTATGCTCTGAATACACTGTGACACATCAGAAGTGTTACTCTGGCTCTTCTCAATAGGCTTCAACAAATCATCATCCACTTCCTCATGCTGAAGTTGTCCCTTTCCACCGTCTTGAATCACCGAATCAATATCGTTTATCTTCATAGATTCAACTTTGGCAGCAAGGTCCTCATCTACTAAGGATCTCTGTTCCTGTGAATTACCATCACTATTGACATCTGCGACATTTGGTAAGAGTCCTGGTTGTTTTGCCTCTTTCAACTGTGATACTGGAGTTTGTTGCAAAGTTGAGCTGGATGCTGACGAAGGTGCAGCTGCTGGGATCACCGGAACAACAGGAACCACAACTGGAGGAGCTTGTAGTCCAGTTTTCGTCGTTGCTCTTGACCCTGGAACATCTGGTATTACCAAAGGGACAGGGACATTTCTGGTCTCCTTATCCTGTTGACGTTGTCTCTCCGGTGATCTCTGTGGGGATGTCTGTGGTACTGGTGTACTACCTTGTTCCTGTAGTTTCTTTGGTGACGACTGAACTTGTTTGGGGGTTTGTTGCAACTTCACCGGTGATTCAGAGTTTAGAGTAGGCAAATCCTTATTCAAGAACAGCTTATAAGATGCATCATCCAATCCAAACAGTTTCAAGTCCCAATTAATCAATTTCGGAACAAACCCATTCTTGAACTTCCGGTAAACCCTAACGAGACTCGTTATGAACACCTGTCTCTCCCTAGACGACTGGGTCTCCCAGTAATAAGACTTCCCCAACACAGCGGTGAATCCAACATCGTTGTGCAATTCTCTCTCCAGGGAGTATAAATCGTTCAAGGACCACGTTCTGCCGATTTGAAACGAGCCATTGGAGTTCTCACGGCCCTTGTGCAAGTAAACAGTACCGTCTTTCTTCACAGCCAACGCCAACACCCTCTGCTTCTTCGAAGACTGTGGTGAGGAAGCCGGCGGTCTCGAAGACGGGTAGCCTGAGTCCTCAACGACTCTCACGTGAGTGATGTAGCTGTCCGCCAGGACCCCATCGGAGTCATAACTCGAGAAGCAGTATTTGATCAGCCCTTGCTTATCTGACTCGTACTGCTGTGCGAGGTTCATCGCGCCGGTCGAGCCCGCTGAAGATCTGTTACTCTTCAAAGCACCACCACCATTGGCACCACCACCATTGGCACCACCACCATTGGCACCGCTCTTCACGGGCGCCTGGTGCGGTAGCGGCATCTGTGCAACCATGGGCTTCATGATGTAGCCCTCAGGCCCTGGCTCCGGCAACGACAGCCCGAGCTGGCCCAACGCCGCCGCTCTCTGTGGTGATTGAGCTCCTCCTTGCTGAACACTTGGTGATTGGCCAGACTGTCTCTTGCGCTCTTCCCGCGAGTTCTCGCGCGAGTGCGAGAACTTCTTGAAAGGAGACGTGATTGCCATTGTGATCTGCCTCTTGTTTGCGTGCTCACTGGTCTCTGTCTCTCGCTGTGTGTGTGTTTGAGTGTGCTTTGATCACGGCGGCCCCCTTTGCTCTATGTGTGTGTTCGTGATGTTTTGATGGAACCCCCCACCCGCTCTCCCCTCCGCTGCGGCGGGAAAAGGTGGCCTGTGCTGTGTCTGTCTGCTTACATAAGCATTAGAGTCTTAGTCAGTGCTTATGTAAGCATATGGATTATGTAATATTCCGGTCAAATCTGCCCTGTCCTGCCCTCCCCCTCGGAAATTACCCGATCTGGAAGCGGTAAACGTTATCAGTGGCTCAAACCCTAAACCGGTGCATTCCCTACACACCACGGCCTGTCCACCTGCCAACAGCACCACCAATTGGCACGTTGTAGTCGTAGAGCTCCAGCCATCACACACCACATCACACACCACACACTTCCTCTCACTCCAGACAACAAATCACACTCCACACACCACACACAATCCATCCCTGGGCCAACAACCACAGCCCGCAACGTCCCTGTTCTGCAGCATCTGCCCCCCCCCCTCGCCATGTGGCTCCCCCTGTGGCCCTCCCAAATCGGCACGGTCCTCACCAGGTTACCATCACCGGCTTCCGATGGGCTCCCAGCACAAGGGAAAGGCTTCCAGCAGAAGGGATCAGTTCACATGACGGGGGCACCAGCTCGCTGCCTCCTGCAACGTAATTACGTCCTGCCGTCTCTTCTCCTGATGACACATCCTCTGTGCTGCGCAGAGGGCGGAAAGCAACGAATCCTGAACGGAGAGGCGTTTTCTCTGCTGGTGCGCTGAGATTGCGAAGATACGTCGTCAGTTGACTTTAGAGGGACCATCTACTGATAAAGTGCGCTGCTGCGTATATAAAGGCGGACGTGGAAGCGAGAGTAGATCCTGCAGACGTTGATACCGGTGGCATTGTTATCATCCTCAGACTTGATACTGCTTTCACACAGGATCTGGAAGCACTAACACAGCACTAACACAGCACTAACACAGCACTAACACAGCACTAACGCTAACACACACACACAATGAGTATGTCATCCTCCACCATACACTCACAAGCATACTAACACCCCCGTCAGCCGTCAAGAAACCAATCACCCTCCATCTACACGCCGCACTCTTCGACGTGGACGGCACCATCGTGGACTCGTCACAGCCAATCCTGGACTTCTGGGTCAACTTCGGCAAGGACAAGGACTACTTCGACGGCCAGTACGTCTTTGACCACACACACGGGTGGAGAACGTTCGATGCCATCGCCAAGTACGCGCCAGACTTTGCTGACGAGGAGCTCGTGAAGAAGCTGGAAGGACAGGTTCCAGACCTCTATGGAGCCGGAGCCAAGGAGATCCCAGGCGCCATCGACCTGGTGAACAGCATCCTCAACCTGCCTACTGAGTCGCAGAGACTCGCCGTCGCAACCTCCGGTACCTACGACATGGCCTCCAAGTGGTTCAATATCTTGGGGCTGACGAGACCAGAGGCCTTCATCACCGCAGAGAGCGTCACACACGGGAAGCCAGACCCAGAGCCTTACCTGCTAGGTAGAAAGTCGCTTGGATACGCAGACTCTGGCAAGACCGTGGTGGTGTTTGAGGACGCGCCTGCTGGTGTGAAGGCAGGCCATGGAGCAGGATGCTTCGTGATTGGCATTGCAAGCACATACGACGCGGACACGGTGAAGGGCTTTGGTGCTGATATCGTGGTGCCAGACCTCACGGGCGTCAAGGTTGTGGACTACGACAAGCACAACGATACGTTCAAGCTGGTGATTGACAACTACGTCTACGCCAGCGAGCAGTTTGTTCAAAGCTGAACCTTTTCTTTCTCTTTCTCTTGATCTCTTTCTCTCTTTCTCTGTTCTTAATGGCCTGGAACGGGGCCTTAATACCGTTATGATAAAGTATATACCGAATACATGCGGCTCTGTTGTTCAACACTAGCACAGCACGTTGGTGCACTTGCTGATCACCATCTGCTCAGGGTATCCCTCTCCGTCCATCTTCCTCGTGGTGTTGCTATAGGTGATGCCCCATTTCCCGGTGAACCGGTACTCGATGGTCTTCTCACGCTCGTTATACTTCTTTCTCCAGATTGGCGGGGCATCCACGTATTTGATGTAATCTCCATGGCAGTCGTCCGCAATGACCGTGGTTCCTGGGTTGATGAGCCCAAGCGACTCCAGCGCCCTCAGGTCCAGCAGATAGTTGCCCTCGTTGTGGTTCAGCAGTATGAAGTTGACACGCTCAACGATATGGGACTTCTGCCACGCCTCAACCAGCTCATCCGGAGAGCCCTCGTGTATGATAACACGGTCCTGTAACCCGGCCAGCTCAACCACCGCCTTAGCAGCTTCACAGTACTCCCTCTTGGTGTCAAATGAATGAACCTTTGCACGTGACTGCATCTCATGGAGCTCAACTGCAATCACAATGGCAGTGTACCCGATATACGAGCCCAGCTCGACAACAACCTGGGGTTTGATCTTGTGCAACTCCTCCTTGATCAAGGAGCGTTTGCGTACATCGTTTCCTTTGAACACCTCGATCTCTTTGATAACCTTTTCCGCGTCTCCTTGTAGCTCGTCTCTCTTTGAGAGCAAATGCTCCAATATCTCTTCTGGCGACTTGGAAGCCGGCGCTTGTTAGTATCTCTGTGCTCGTGAAGAAGGTCGAAACAACCGTGGCCATACTCTTGTTGTCATAGTACCTGCTGCTCGCTGTCTCTTCTCCTCTCTGTCTCTTCTCCTCGTGATGGCGCCGGAACCTGATATTCCTTGCCCTTTTATAGTGGAAACTTTAGCGTTGTAGGTTGTGCCCCGGGTGGTCTGACCAGAAGTTGCTACGCAATAGACGGAACGAGTTTGACACATTGAGCCCCCTTCCCGAACAAAATGCCTACGTCGTGCTTCAGTTCAAGCCGTCTATGCCATCCACAGCACCCCCAGGCCCGGGTGTTGCGCCTAAGGAAGATCTCGTTGCTGTGTGGGGGTGGCAGAAGCAAGGGTTTATGACTATCAGGCACACAGGGACATGGATCACACTGTGATGAGACTACACAGGGACGTGGATCACGCTGTGATGAGACTACACAGGGAGGACATGGATCACACTGGGACATGGATCACACTGGGACATGGATCACACTGTGATGAGACTACACGGCGTAGCTATGCAATGAATATTGAAAGAGAATCCTGCTTCGTCTTTCCTTTCCGTTGGAACTCGGTCGAATAAATAGTGTGTATGTATATGTCTTTAGTTGGCCTCCTACCGGTGCCTGGAACATCAGAACGAATGCTCTGTGGAATCGCCACCAGTAGCACTGCCCATGGAGCTTCCGTTGACTGTTCTAACGATGGAGTCCACCATCTCAGCACCGGACCACTTCTGGTGGGTCAAAACGTCACAGCCAAGAGCCTTTTCTCTGCTCTGGACAATGTCCACGTAAGCCTTCATACCTTTCTCGCTGAACCCCTGTGCCAGCTCGAATGAGCTCAAGGCATTGGAGTGCAATCCAGCCAATGACACCAACTGCAAGACGAACCCACTCTTGCCGAGCTCGTTGATGAACTCCGCCAGGTCGTGGTCGTTGAAGCCATGGGCACTCCAGTTGAACGATGGCGACAGGTTGTACACGAGCTTCTTATCTGGGTAAACGTCATGGATGCGCTTAGCAAAGGACTGCGCGTACTCCAGGTTTGGAGTCTTTGTCTCCAACCACAGCAGGTCGGCATACGGAGCGTAGTTCAGCACCCTCTTGACGGCAGTGTCGATTGACGCGTCCACCAAGTGGTAGCCTTCCTGAGTACGTGGCGCATCCCAGTTGAAGTAGATTGGCTCGCCGCCAGAAACCTCGGCAAACAACTCACGGCACTCCGCGTTCGACTTGCCTTGAGCCTGTTCCAAGTAGTAGTCAAACAGCTCAGGCTTACCCAGCTCCTTCAACTTCAACTCAACAGCCTGGTTGAAAGTGTACAGCGGGTTGGCTGCGAGCCACTCGCTCTCAACTTTCTCCAACTGTGGGCCCGTGAGCCCCTGGCCCTGGGCCTCGATCAAAACCTCCGTCAACGGCTTCACAGGCGTGATCACACCCTGGATGAACTCATGGTCTCTCGGATCAACAGACGAGTTCAGCAAGTTGCCCGTCTCCGCGTCGCTTCTGGCAATGACCAAGTTCTCGGACCCCATGATATCCCATTGTAGTCTTGTGGCGATCAGACGGCGGATCTGCTCCCCTGTTGAAACCAGCACCTTGCCGGCCAGATGGCCACACTTCTTACCGCCGTGAAGTTGGTCCTCGATGTGGATCGCACTGGCTCCCTTCTCTGCAAACAGCTTGGCCAGCTTCATCACTGAGCCAACACCGCCATGGCCAGTGTCCGCATCTGCAATGATTGGTCTCATGTAGTCGACACGCTCGGTGTTTGCAGGGTCCTTGGACTGCAGCCAGGTGTAGTAGCTCTTCTTGTCGTGCAACTGCTGGGCCTTGAACAGCCTCTCCACCTGGTTTGGCACGGTGTCGTATGGATAGTCACCGAAATCAGGCCCAACCTCGTTGGTCGTGGTCAGGATCGACGAGCATGCCCATCCACTCACGTACACAACCTCCTGGAAGTGGGCGTTCTGCGACATCTGGACAGGATCTGTTGATCCCAGCACACGCACCGCCTGGCCATTCTTGAAACGCTCCTCAAACACAGCAAACAGTCGCTTGGCCTGCACTGATGATGGGTACTCCGTCAACGGCAGAGACCCACGGTACTGCGCAACATCCTCCGGCGAGTACGTTCTTTTGATGCCTTTGAAACGTGGCGATTTGAACCACTCCGCGATCGAGCTCACAACCTGCTTGTGGTTCTGCAAGGCCTCCTTCGCAGTTGGGTAGGGGAATCTCGACAATGACATCGTGGGCTTATCTTCAACACTCAACACAGCACGCATGGCAGCATCAAAAGTCGAAAAAACAGCATGCCAGAAATCATTTATACACACCACGCCCCCCTAAAACCTTCTCATCTGACCATTCCAGTACCAAATGACCCACCAGCGACCCAACGGAAGGCGCAGATGGCCCCATGGGTCAGCGTTCTATGGCCGAGAGGGCCCTTTCCCCCCTGCCCCACCAGCGTGGGTACGTTACCACGGTTTCCTATGACCGTGCGAAGTATTCCTCTTCGGGGAATTTTCGCGGGAGGCGTGATCGCGCCCGGTAGCCGTGGTCGGAACATTGCCCGATCGGGCAATGCCGATCTCGATCATGTTGTGTGCTATGGAGCGCAGTGCTTGGTTGGCCTGTCAGCTGTGCTCATCAGCTCTGCTCGTCAGCTGTGCTCATCAGCTCTGCTCGTCAGCTGTGCTCATCAGCTCTGGAGGGCTCTCCATTGCCTTGAGACGATGGTCACGAAGGTGGTGTAGTCCCCGTGTGAGAGCAGCAAGGCGATGAGCGCTGTTCTGGTGAGCAGCTTGCACACGGTTAGGATTGCGAACATGACGATGGGCTTCCAGAGGGGGAACTGGGTGATGAGCCGCAATGCCTCAACAAGGGCAACGTTTGTGCACAGCTTCATGGTGATGGACATTGTTGTCGGGTCCAGCTGGCTCGAGTCGTACGGCCAGATGAGCATCAGGAGCGGGAACAGTCTCACGCCACTGAATATCACCAAGGTCATGGATATGGCCGTCCCGGGCGTGGTGGAGTCTCTGGGGGTCCACTTGAACAGCGTGCACGTCAGCCATTGTAATAGCCAGTGCGTGAGAAGATCATCGCTGAAGCACTGTACTCCAAAGTACAAGTACTGTGTGACTGCGTCCTTCGCCAACACCTCGTTGTAAATGGAGAAGTCCTTGATACCGCCGAGGCCCTTCCTCTCCTCGTAAGCCCATGTTATATAGATCTCAAACAACACGCTCACAAGACGGATTTTGCGAGCGGTGGACATCCCCTTGTCCAAGCCTATCGAGTTGAACACGAGGTGTCTAAACACCTGGCCTTTCAACAACAGCACATCGATGAACAACAGCACATTGTCGAACTCAACGTACTTGTCACACACTTGATGACACGATGCACAGTCCGTGAGCTTGATGTGTCCATTGGGATACGTCGTGTAGAGACTGCTCACGGGCTCACCACACTCGATACAGATCATGGGATGCTTCTAGACGTGGCACAAGATGTAGTTCTCGGTCACCCTGGCCCTCGCTATCTCTGCTTATCCAAACGATTTCTTCAACTCCGCCGAGTTGATGTTGATGTTGATCTGCCAACTGTGACATGTGCACTATTTGGTGTCCGGGTGTTCTATTACGTAATCGTAGTGTTCTATTACGTAATCGTGGTGTCCGGGTGTGTTGGACGTGCCCGATGACCTCGCGAGCCACCACTAACAACAACAGCCATCCCAACACACATCGAAGGCATATTGAAGCTGCTGTAATCGTTGTTGTCCCACTGGAAATGGCTAAACCACAGTGTAGATTCTTTCAACAGGGTAAGTAGCTCCTTCTCCCTCGTGTGCTTCTCATACTAACGACAGACAGGGAATTGTAGAAAGGGTGATAACTGTCCCTTTCGCCATGATATGAATAATGGCTCCTCGAGGTCTGGCAACTCACTGAAAGATGAAGTTAGCCGGTTCTGCGATCCAAAGTCGTTGGATATGAAGGAGAAAGAACTGCGTGACACCTTGGACATCTACAGAGAATTGGACATGGTTGTGACGTCTTCGATGGGGTTGCCGTTCCCAGCATCGGTCAATCTCATAGCCGGCAGGGACTATTCATTTGAAGAGTCGAGGTGGGATTTTATACAGTCTCAGACCTCCAACACGCTGTCCCAGTACGAAACGGCGATGATCTCGAGGAAGTCAGATATGGATTGGTGTGTGAAAGAACTTTTGCGAGACACAAGAAAGGCTGCAAGATATACACAGACTGTCACTGAGAAGCAGTTCAACGGTGAACAAGTGACTGTTCGACCATTCTTGAGCAAGGAACTGGACCTCACTGGTCAGTCGAACAATGCTTTGGCACTGGGGTCTGGCTCTAATCCGTTTGGCTCTCAGAAACAGACAACATCAGCGTTTGGATCATCAGGATTCGGTTCCAAAGGTAATAGCAATGGATCTTCCTCGTTTGGCCAATCGTCATTTGGACAATCAGTGTTTGGCCAGGCTTCGAGTACAAGTGCATTTGGCCAGGCTCCGAGTACAGGTGCCTTTGGTTCTTCAGGATTTGGAGCTGCTAAGGGATCAAGTGCCTTTGGTTCTTCAGGATTTGGAGCTGCTGGAGGATCAAGTGCCTTTGGATCCTCAGGATTTGGACAACCTTCGAATAATGCCAATAGCTCGACTTCACCTTTTGGTAAGCTGGGTGGTGGATCTGCAACGACGACGTCTGCTTTTGGATCTTCAGGATTCGGACAGAGTACAAGTTCAAATACAACTTCACCATTCGCACAGATGACTGGTAATAGTAACTCTACAAGTTTTGGTCAAAGTGGGTTTGGTTCTTCGACTGATTCAAAGTCACCGTTTGGTCAGTTATCCACTGGAGACTCAAAGAGCTCGCCGTTTGGTCAATTATCCACTGCAGCCTCAAAGAGCTCGCCGTTTGGTCAGTTATCCACTGGAGACTCAAAGAGCTCGCCGTTTGGTCAGTTATCCACTGGAGACTCAAAGAGCTCGCCGTTTGGTCAACCTGCTACCTCCACTACTTCCGCCTTTGGTCAGCCTACTTCATCTGCTTTCGGTCAGTCTGCTTCGACGTCTGCCTTTGGCCAACCTGCTTCAACATCTGTCTTTGGCCAACCTACTGCATCTGCCTTTGGTCAAAGTACGACGAATAACTCACCATTTGGCCAGCAGAATACTAATAATGTCTCAACGTTTGGCCAATCCACATCGTCTGCATTTGGTTCAGGCTCGTTTGGATTCTCAAATGGTTCAAATTCACACAATACGGCATTCACTCCAGGCCTAAAACAGAGTGAAAAGGAACCTGAAAGGGTAAAAGAAGATGATTTGAGCGAGGAGATTATCAAGCTGTTTAAAGAAGAAGCCTTCATACTGGGAAAGGTTCCCGAAATTGAACCACCATTGGTGCTATGCTAAACTGGTGTAAAACCTAGGCTCCTGCCTGTGCAGCTTCTGCGTCTCTTCTCAATCCGACATAAGTGTTTAATATAACGTTTTGACTTTGCACAGACGTGGCGAAGGAATCTCTGTATAGTTGCACCATCTCGCCAGTGACTTGTTCTTTGGTCTTTACACCTTCACAAATCTTTTTCAGCTCTTCCTCCATATTCTTCCTCAAGAACGGTTTAGTCAATGAGTTGTTCAAATTTATCTTCTCAAATCCCTCAACTAACCCCATTCCAAGCACCGTTGGAATTAAGAACTTCTTACCTTGTCTGGGTGTCGATTTAGTGATGTATTCACGGCTCAAAATCTTTTCAATGTGATCTGCAATTGTTGCATCGGTTCCTATACCATTGGCATCCATCAATGCAATAAGTTCAGTCTCCGTCATTAGACTTGGTGGCTGTGTCTGTCCCGCTTTAATCTCAGCACTGTGTAATTTGATCTCCTCATTGAGCTCAAATCTGGGGAGCTGTGTACTCGAAGTCCATTTTTGATATTTGTAGACCAACAAGAAGTTCTCTTCTAGCACTGTTAACCCACTAGCATTAAACTTTTCCTCTCCCCATGTCAGCTCCACTGAATTGGTCATACCTTTAGCATCTTCAGAACAAGTGGCTAAGAAATGACGGACTATGAACTCATAAACCTGCTTATGCTTCATGGTCAAATCTGGGCATTTTGTGAATAGCACTGGATGAATCGGTGGATGTGCCTCATCATCGTGCTTTCCAGCCCTCGGTTGACTGAACTTGTCACCATCTAGAAGACCCCTTGCGTATTCGCCCCATGATTCACTCGACGTCTGTTTCGATATGAGATCCTTTAGATCCATCTTTTTGGGGTATTTATCAGTCTCAGTTCTAGGGTATGAAATGAACCCTAACTGGTAGAGCTTCTCGGCACAATCCAAAGACTCTTTTGCACTCATCTTAAAGTACATCGAGCATGCCTTCTGCAACTGTACCGTTGTTAACGGTAACGGTTTCCATTTCGAAGTTGGTGAAGACTTGACGCTTGTAACAGTGGCGATATTGGACTTCATACACCGTTCATAGATAAGCACGGTGGCCAGTCTATCAAACAGCCTCGTTCGTTTCCATGCAAACTTTGTTGGCTTATCATCTCTTTTAACAGATATGTCAATGTGCCAAAAGGGTTCAGGCTTGAACCCCTTCACCCTTTTATAACGATCAACGACAAATCCCAATGTTGGGAACTGGCACGATCCATATGAGATCACATCCTTGTTGTCGTTCCTATACCTTTCGAATACGCCTGTTAGGAACCGGGTAAAGGCCGCACCTGTTCTCAAGTCCAGCTCCATTCGAGTCCTTACAGCGTCAATAGCCTTCGCATCGAGCCTGGTTGGCCTTCTCGCAGCTTGCAAGATATGGGATCGCTCCAAATGAGAAAACTGTGCTCTCCATGTGTTTTGCAAGGTCAGCGTCGCATTGCCCTTCCTCGCAGCCTGGAGGATTTCAAACCCGATGTACTCGCCCTCTCTATCACAATCAGTCCAGATCATCAACTGGTCGCATTGTTTACTCAACTGAGTGATGTTCTGAGCAACCTTTTTCTGGTCTGCAGAAGCCTTGTCCACTATGGGGGCCTCAAACAACCTTCCTGGGTTCACCTTGCCCCAGGAGAACTCATCAGAGAAGTCAACGCCGCACACATGGCCAGCAACAGCTGTCATAACAACATCACACACACCGTGGTTCGGGAATTCGAATTGGAATTCGTAGTTCTTGACGTACTTGTACGCCGAATCTCTCGTTCTGACGCGACCGCCTCCAAGGATCTGCGATACTGCCTTGGAGATCGAGTTCTTCTCGGCAACACACAGCACTTTCATGGCTTTTGCTGCTGTGAAGAGGTTGGTGAGGCATAAAGCGATGAGGTTGAAGTGTGCTTGTCTGTTTACTTTTCAGAAACACCCGGACACCACCTTCAACACATCTGGACACCCATAAACCCAGACACCTGGACACCTGGACATCACCTGTACGCGAAGAGAAGGCAAAGCGAGGCAAAAATCTCAAACCGAGAGGTTTATGTCCGCAAAGTTTTTCACTTCTGGTTTGGTGTTAAAGGCTGTTTTGTTTTCATCTCTGAAAGCACTCTCTTTTGTTCAATACAAGCACTTCACTTCAAACTGCCACTAGCCTTCTCTCACGTTGTGGGAAATGATTCTGTGCTGAAAGCGAAAACAAACCAAAAGGAGGCAACCAAAGAGACCTGATTCTCACCTTTGTATTATAAAGCAAACACACCATTGATAGAGACGGAACGACAGAGAGAGAGAGACATAGAGAGGGAGCAATTCGGTATACGCTGAGTGTGACAACGAGAAGAGCAAACAATGGTATCCCCTGAGATGGCTAGCATCGAAAAGTACAGGCAACAGCTCAATGTGCTGCTCGGTGAAGTTACGCCGGATGAGTCTCTCATCTGTGGGATCCTCAACTTTGTACGTGGACGGTTGATGCCACTTGTCATTAAAGATATCAACAATAGCGTGAAGAGCTTCGGCAACAATGAGATCACAACGGAACAGCAAGCCCAGGTTGATGTTGAATTGACTGCGGAATCGTTAGTTGAAAAAATGTGGGTGGAATTCTTCCATCCAGTACTGAGGTATTACCAAGCTCAACATCATCAGCTGAAAAATCAGGAATCCAAACATAGGAAGAAAACAGTGGAGCTCAGGAAAGTCAACGATAAGTTTTTGAAAGTGGCAAAGCTCTCAAGAGATTTCTTCTTCGATTTGATAAAGCAAGTCCTAGAACAGCACATGTTGGAATTCCAGGTGCCTCAAGCCGTTTACAAGTTCTTGCGACTCAAGACTGACCCCAATGCCATTGAGATTAGGAAATCTGACCAGCAATCCATCATCAAGATGCTATACGTTGTTCAATTCTCAATGCTCCAGATTGGTGCAACATCACGTTACAGATCATCGTTGTCCCAATATCTTAGCGAAAAGAATAAGGAAGACTATTCCAAGGCATTGGAGATGTGCCGATACGCAGAGTTGCTCATTCCAGCTATAGGTGAGGCACGTAATCAACTGGGATTGATTTACCAATCTCGTGACGACACTTTCAACATGGTTTATGAGTTTTTGAGATCGTCACTTGCAAGAATCCCTTCAAAATTCGGTGCCCTGAATTATAGGAAGATGATGGTTTATAACTCTGTGCTCGTGGAGAAATTGAACAAGACTATCATGGAGAATAACTGCACCGATAAGAATAGGAAAAGGTACATCTCTGTATATCTCCTTGCAATTTTGGGGTTCCATACACAACCTTCTTGGAAAGATGAAGATGGAATCGTCTTAGTCAATGGAATGGAAATTGACATTTTGGAAAAGAATGTGCTCAGCTATGTGGCACAGTACGCCTCTGAAAAGAGAGATCCATCTTTCTTCCTGGAACAGATTCTCATCATGCTCATCGGGTCCGTCTTCACAACATCGCCTAAAGAATCAATGACCTCTTTAACTTCGTTGTTGCGATTCACATTCAAGTACATTGTGACCTTGGAAACCGTCTTTATAGAACAGTGGTCGATCAACAGATCCAAATCGTATTCACTCTTACCGGTGTTTCGTATTGTCGTCTCATGGTTGAAGGCTCAGAAAGTTGCACTGGCATACTCACAAAAGGCTGTTGAGTTCATTCAAGCCTCTTGTAAATTATGCAATCTGGTACTGAAAGAATTTCCTGATGAATCATTTGACAAACGTCCAAAAAGGACACAGTACTTTGATGAGGATGTGGAAGTCAAAGAGTTTACACCATTGGGCCGTATGCTGTGGGATTTCGATGACGATGAAGAAATCTTTGATGATCCTTCCAAATTAATCGGTAGATTTGCTAAGCATGACCATGAAGAAGAAGCCAATTTGAGATTGATCTCTGTTGTGTCTCTTTTCAAGACTTTGTTAACCGCAAGAGAAGGTATTGATTATGATGAAACGGCAAACGAGTTAACAATTGATTTGTCAAAGATTGTTCGTAAGAAGGAGCCTAAACAACGCAGTGTTGCATTGACTCCTAAATCAACCAATAAGAAGAACAAGAAGACGAAAAAGTCTAAGGAGCATGAGAAGGATAATGTGGCGAAGGATAAAGAAAAGACGAACAAGAAGAACAAAAAGACAAGAAAGGACAAAGATAAGAAGTCCAACAATCCAGGTCAAAGAAAATCCAAACAAGGCACTGTTGAAGATAGTTCATCGGATGAAGAGGATTCCACTGAACTTGTCTATCATAGAAAGGATGATACCGTATCAGACAAGTTCAAACCATTGGAGAATGTAAGACAAACCGAACAGTTTGCCAAGCCAACGCAAATCATTGAAACTCACAATGACAATCAGAACCAGAGACAGATGGAGCACATGGTTGATTCTATCGTTGATAGTGTCAACATTGATTCTCCAGATGGCGATAATGATGACAATGATGACAGCAATGATGACGACTATGACACGAATGAAGATGAAACTGATGAACAATCTAAATCACAAGTTATTCAGCCATCACCTGCCATTCAAAATTCACAGCATTTACCTGTCTCACAGGCAACTCCACAACACTCACAAGCTTCATTGTTTCAACAGTACTCGCAATACTCACAGTACCCACAGTATTCTCAATACCGTGAACAACCACAACTGTCACATCCACATCAACCACAACTACAGCAGCAGCAACAGCAAGTCTCACATAACTTGTATGGAAGCATGTGGTCTGCAAGTAATGCGCCAATGCCATATAACTACCCATACATAGCATCTCAACAGTTTCAGCAAGCTCAACAGCATCAACAGCAGTATCAACAACAGGCACAGTACTCATTATACAACCAGATACCACAACAATCCACGATACAAGTTCCATCATCGTATCCATATAACCAACAAATCGCACAGCAACATAATCCACAGCAACAGCAACAAGAGGTGTACGGTTATCCATACTATGGGAATGTGAATATGACTCAAAATACCCATAGCTCTTTCCAGCAGCAGTGAAACATCTCAATGAGTATATATCATACTTGTTAAAATATCTGTTTCTATGACAAGAGGTTTGCCTTTTTTTATCACTGACAAAAGAAAACTGTAGCTCTCTATGTATAGCAATGTATTATATAAGCTCTGATTGTATACGTGGTGATAGTGCAGTTCTGAGGGTATATCACAGTTTTACTTTCTTGATGCCTATCTTCTTCTTTAAAGCTGTCTTCTTCTTTATGGCATCAAGTTTCTCCCTCTGGCTCTTTTGATTATCCATGAAAACTGGCTTTTCAACGCTATATCCATCACAAGTGAGCCCCAATTTGACGCATTGTGCACAACTTGGTTTCTCCTCTGAGCATTTCTTCTTGCGGATACGACAAGTCCAGCATCCATTCTTTGAGCGTGCAAGTATGGTAGTTTTGAACTGTCGATGGCGCGCCTGTGTTTTGATCGCTGAAGGGTTCCTTTGATAGAAATTATGTGGTAGCTGTTGTTTATCTGCTCTGTAATTCTTTGCCGGTGCATTTGAACATTCTGGTGAGAAAGCTGTAGTTTCTTTACAATTACGAGAATAATCCACCATTTTGCCCTTGCGTAACCTTCTCGAACTATGCGGACTTGGTGGTAATATTGGGGTCAGAGTCTTAAACGGGTTAGGTGGTGTTGGAGACGAGCTCATCAATGGCAAGTCCACCAGACCTGCTTGCCTTCTAATGGTAGCTTGATGGTCACGCTGAGTGCCTCTTTCAAGTCCAAAGACGTTCAGTGAGCTCAGAGGCGGTAGAGAGTGGTGTTCAAAAGAGTTCAAATCAGAATTGACCGCATCGGCCCGGTCGTTCGGAGGGTCAGATGGTTGGAATGGCGAGTTATTTACCATCTCTTCCAAGAAGAAATCTATTCTGGGTTCGGGGAATTCCATATGGAACTCACTTGAGTCCTCAATCATAGGTGGTGTTGAACGCAAGAAGATTCTCCTCTCCTCATCCTTGGTTAAAACATCACCCCTACCACCGCTCGTGGCACCCTCGTCATAGCAATGCTTATAGATCTCCATGTCGAACGGTGTCATTGTCGTATCCATGGACGTGTGAGCCTTGGAAGAGTCAAACATACCATCAAAATCAGTATGCGTATAGTTATTTGACCCGGACGACCACTCGGTAGCAGCGGCAGCGTCTATCAAGTCGTTGATAGACAAGTGCTTCCTCTCCTGCACTTGTTGATGGAGTTGCTCCTCTTCATTGTCAGCGGACCCTCCGCTGGTTAAAACCATGGCGGTTAACCTCAGCGGCATCACAGTGGAAGCTGCCAATGCGTTGCAGGTGGAGTTTGCACGCTCTGGTGACAGCGTTGGCGTGTTTGAAGGAGCATTGTCAACGGTTTCCATCTTTATCCTTCAACTGCTAAGATCAACAGTGGTACTGTTACCTTGGCGGCAAAGGGAGAGATCTGATTGGTTACAACAAGTAAACAATGGGAAACACCACAAAATCAACACTTCCATTTAAGCTTTTTTGGTGTCATTCCAAATCGGGAAACCCATTGCATGCATGCTTATGTAAACATGCATGAACATGTGGTGTGCGGATGTCTTTGTTTGCCGGCCGTTAGGGGCAACACAGGGTATATACGCTTTTCCTCCCTCGCTCGTCGAAGCTGGTGCGGTGTGGAGCCATAGGCATTTGCTGATTTTGATCACATTCTTGATACTTTCCCCTTCATATATAAAGGTTTTGTTGTTGTTCGAGCCATGGAAGAAGCAATTGAGCTCGACTCGCGTTATAAGACTCTCAAAGAGGAGTTTTCCGTTCCGACATTTGGCTCGTTTGGCATCCCTGGTGACGCTGATACGAAGACGACGTATCTATGTGGTAACTCGCTTGGATTGATGCCATTGGCCATTAGAAGGGCTATCAACGATGAGTTGGACGCATGGGGGGAGAGGGCCGTTGACTCGCACTTCCGTCACCCTGGTTTGGATGACGGGAAGACCAATTGGATGGACATTGACCTGCCAGTGATACCTTTGATCAAGGACATTGTTGGTGCACAGGAGGACGAGGTTGCGATTATGGGGTCCTTAACTGCCAATCTGAACGCTTTGATGGTGGCCTTCTACAAGCCACAGGGCAAGAGAACAAAGATCTTGTTCGAGAAGGGCTCTTTCCCCTCAGATTACTATGCCATTTTCAACCAGTTGAGACTGAACTCCCTGGACCCACAGACTGATATGATTCAAATGGAGCCACGCAAAGGCGAGTATACGCTGCGTACCCAGGATATCATCTCCCAGATTGAGTCCCACAGTGAGACTTTGGCGTTGGTGTTATTACCGGGCATCCAATACTACACAGGACAGCTCTTCGACATTGAAGTCATCACCAGAGTTGCCAAGTCGCACGGTATCATAATCGGGTGGGACTTGGCTCACGCAGTGGGCAATGTGCCATTGAAATTGCACGATTGGGGTGTCGATTTCGCCGTATGGTGTTCCTACAAGTACCTTAACAGTGGACCAGGTGCAATCTCTGGAATATTCGTCCACAGCTCTCATGGAACCAATGAGGAGGACAAGTACATGCCCCGTCTTGCCGGATGGTGGGGTAATAACGCCTCAACACGCTTCAAGATGATGGAATTCTTCGACCCAATCCAAGGAGCACTGGGATTCAGACAGAGCAACCCAAGTGTGATCGACGTTGTCAGCGTCCATGCCTCTTTAAAGCTATTCCAAGAGTACGGTGGCATTGGAAAACTACGTGAGAAGAGCGTGGCATTGACAAGATACCTCGAAACCTTGCTAAAGGACTCACCATACTTCAACAACACTGAATACGGGTTCAAGATCCTAACACCTGATGATCCTGAGGACCGTGGTGCTCAGCTATCCTTGCTTTTCTTCCCAAGAACAACAGACTCCACCCCCGGCATCATGGACGACATACATCAATTCATGACACACAGAGGTGTTATCTGTGATGAACGTAGACCTGATGTCATACGTATCGCTCCTGTTCCACTGTACAACACTTTCCAGGACGTGTTCCACGCTGTTGAGGTCTTAAACTCGGCATTCGACACAAAATCACCAAAGAGCTCTTAGTGGAAATCGTATATATACATGTATATACTGGCCTGTGTCTGAATAAACATCTCTTGACTGTTGAGCATCTGGTTGGATAACTCGTGTTCTCACGGCTATGCTGGCTCCAAACAACCATTGTCCCTCGCCTCTTGAGTCTCCGTGGGAGAGCTTCAGCACTACAACCTCCCTGTCGCAAGGGTTGGCATCAGGTGCCTATAAGTTGATGAGCACCTCACTTTTGAAGTGCTCTGGCACCTCTACGTCGTCCATTCCAACGTCTATGGGTCTTTCACCAAGAGACGTTACTGGTGAATTGGAAAGGACCATCTCTACGAACTTTGATAAAGTTGAAAAGATGAGGTTGAAGGCCGTCAAAGAGCTTCATAAGCAGCAGCATGCCTGTGCGAAGCTTATGGAGAGAGACTCGTCGTCGCATGTGGACTCCAAGACGAACTGGGAGTACTACAACATCGAACTAGAGCTATCCGAGGTGAAGTTGATGTTATACGATGCAACCATCTTGTTGAAAGAGGACTACTGCAATGTCATCCAGCACGTGAAGCTCATTGAAGACCCTTACAACACAAGGGGAGAATTGGAGGCACTACAAGCTCAATTTGATGCTCTCCTTTTGAAACTTGACGATTCTTTGAAGAAAGTTCTCTATTTGACCATGCAAAGAGATATGCTTGTGCAGTCCAAAGAGAGACTAAGTTTATCATGGAGAGAGTGGTTCAGGTATAAGAGAGCGTTGAAAAGCCATAAGCATTCAACTACACAGCATTCACGTCAAAGCACTTAGATGAGTACGGAGAGTGGAAAAGAATTATAATTAAGAAGGGGAAGCGAACGAATTAACCATTAGCAAGTGTGTACCTATTTTGTATAGTGTTGCAATATGTTTCATAGCGTGGTATTGTCATGATGTAGCAACAGCCTCCCTCCATTCCAACTTTGGGTTGCTGGATATGATAAATGACTTTTATTAAGACTTTGGAATAGAGAAGACGTCAAAAATGCAGAAAACAAATACAAGAGTGTTCTTCCTTCCCTCCTGTTAACTGTGGGAGCATGAAAGCAATCAGTGGTATGGATCAAAGAATCTCTGGATTCTGTCAAAGCCTCTAAACACCCTCATCCCCATGGTTGTACCATGTGTGAAATCATTCTCCCTTCTGGCCTTGAGGAACTTCAACTCTTGATGTCTGATGTAGGGCCAAATGGCACCAAATGAGATAAGAGCATAACAACATCCTATGAGCAAATCGATTCTGAAATGGTGATCCAGGTACATAGTTGCCCACCATTGGACGCATACAAAGCCAATGGCAAGGATTCTTAGAGCGATGGAGTTGGCAAAATACCATACAAAGATGCAAACTTGAACAGCCATTGCACTGTGCAACGATGGCACAGCACCAAACACAATTGGAGACTTGTGGAATCCCTTTGAATGCAGGTGTGTACCCAGGGCAACATCGACTCTTGTCAGTCCAGCAGCGTAACCTGGCATATCGTAGTTGGCCTCGGCTTCAGGACCATGCATGTGAATAAACCACGGTGGTGCTGTTGGAAACAGCATATGCGTACAGACACCAGCGATGTTTTGCAATCCCAGAGCAATTGAGAAGCACTTCAGAGCACCAGGCAAATGGAACACGTAAAGCCATACAGCAGTCAAAATTGGGAAGGTGATATGAGCCAACACGTAGAACAACCACGCCGTCAGGTCCTTAGGCACCGTGAGAGGTGTTGCAAACCAGTGTGCAGTGTTCAGTACGGGCCATATGAGACATAGAAGTAGAGGAGTGAGGTACAAAGCATGTGTTTTGGCCTTCGGTATCATGCCATGGGACAATCTGTAGCCCAAGTCCTCGACGATATCGTCCGAGGAGTCGTCTCCACTAGTGGAGGACCCGGAATCGGACCTTGAGTCCGAGTCCATCAACTGTATCGAGTCGAACCCACCTTCCAAATCCTTCTGCGGAGGTTGTGTCAGATAGACAGACTTGTTCTTGACAATATGATACCAGATAAACGTGACCACAACCATTAGCACGGCCCACGCAGGGAACCACCAGGGGGAGAACACCGTGGAATCGGTATAATATGCCCATCCAACGTGGATTTTGGGACGCCATTCGTTTGGTACAACGCCAGCGTTCTTGAACATAAAGAGCCATATGAACACGGGAGAAAAGTTCACGGCGAACCTGAGAACGAGCTTGTACAACGGTCTGCCATTGAGAGCTGAGGACCAAAGCCTTTGGATAACCTGGAAGAGTATGTTGATCGGGTTCTCCATGTTACTTTGATATGTGCTTCGGGATCAAAAGTAGTAGTTGTTGTTGTTTTTTCCGTTAGGCTATCTGTCCCGAATGTCCTTCTTTGTGTCTTGCGATGTCTGAGTGTATTGTCTTAATGCTGCAAACGGTCCGGTTTAATGATTAATCAACGAAGGATAATGAGTCGATGACAAGAATCAGCTCTGTTTCAAGTATCAAAGGACAAAACAGTTAAAAGAAGCAAGGAGAAAGAGTCTATTCTGAATTTTTTCTTTCCCTCTCTCTGTCTCTCTCTTTGATGCTCAAGGACAAAATTAGCTACAAGGAGAGACAAAAAAAAGAACGGGAAAAAATAAACTGCACAGCGCAGCAGCAGAAAACCTTCGGCTTATATCCTAGAAATTTGTGTTTTGGTTTTTTGCGTATACTAAGCCGCGCGTATCTGTCTTGTGGTGCCCTGGAGTCGCGATAAGTTTACATATAAGCCAGTAAGCTCAGCTGTGGACATATGCGTGGTGATGTACGCTCAGCCATGGGTTGCCAGTGTCCATTTTGTCTTTCCTTTGCTAGCTTGTCCCAACTTCTTGTCCAAGAGATCACGACGGTAAAACTTATACTTCGACGGGCTGAAAATCTCAAGCGTTTTGTTTCACTTCCATGGTGACAGAAAGCAGAGCCCGTTGGAGAAGGAATAAGGATTTGTGTGTGCTATTGTTGGCGGCATGAAAGACCAACCTCAATTAGTTGTCCAATGATGATCAACCCCTCAAGAGACATGAACTTTGTAACTGGCTTGCTGGACATTAGCCATGATGCTTATTTTTTGGTCTTTTCCTCTGCCGGGCTGTGCTCCTACTTTTGTGTCACACGCCTCCATATGGGCTTATACAGGGGTTTTGTTTTTTTTCGCACTCGACAGTGTTTTTCAGTGACGCGGATTTTGGTGAAGAAATTTGAGGGTCTCTACTATGCGCCTTACAACTCAGCCACGATTGAAGACAAGCTGTGAATTAATCATAATGCTCACTGATCACATTTGCTCACTATGCTGGAACTATCCTTGCCCACACTACAAATGTCTGAGCTCCAGCATTGATATAAATCGTCCGACTGAGGCGAAAAGTGTAGTCATGGGTTGCCTTGTTGACGATGACACGATTTTCTCAGTTAAGCCTCGGTTAGTTTTCTGGGGATTCTATAACCAGTTCCAGCCCGAGTGTCGTTATCATCTGTCGGTGCAGGGATTCCACATGGGAAGTGTGGAGCAGAAAGGCTCATTTCCAGGATTGTTGTGTAAGCATAGACGGAACAGGGTCCTTGCAAGGTAAAGTCTCTTGCAAAACATCACTTGTGTTATTTAGCAAAAACGCTGCTGGCGCAGAGAGTAAACAACTCGCCCACCCTCTCTCAACTCAAAAATGTCCCATTAAGATTTCATCTATACGCATACCTTTGGCGTGTCTGTCCTGCGTGTTTACACAGCTGCCCAAATGTCTCTGTTGTGTTTACCATAAGCATGCATTATCAGAACCAAGAGACAGGCGAAATGGAATGAGTTCGAAAAGGGGCACATGAAGCACGAGTTACTGATGATCCTTTTATGGTGCGATGTCCGACCCCATTCAACAAAGTTTTCACTCTTTGCATTAAAACATGTCTCTCTTCTTATGACTAGCCCCTTAGTGGTGACTTGGTGTATTTGCCATATGGGTTCGAGAGTCGAGGCTCGGGATGATTGGTGTCTGTCTGATGAAAACCTGCCAAATATTTGTAGCTAAACCAATTATCAAAATCTTGTCGTTAGACGGTGTACCTGGTAAACGTCTTGGAATCTCATGCGTCACTTAGTTCTATAGTTATGGTCCCTCAGACGCCTGCCCAAACTCAAAAATGGTAGCTATCGGGACATTTTTGCTCGGTGAAATCTTCGGGTAGCTATTGGAATTTCACTACTTTGTTGTTGTTGTTTTTTTTTTCAAGTTGCTCAGCCCGGGGACATATAAGCACCCCGACACAGATGGCGTTCATGCTCCAAGGGGCAGGAGGAAAGGGCTTTCGACGTTCTGCTGAAAACTGATTGGATCACACTTAAAAAGAGGAAGTGATTGACC